AGTGGTGGCTCACGCCTGTAATCCCAGCACTTTGGGAGGCCAAGGCAGGTGGATCACAAGGTCAAGAAATCGAGACCAGCCTGGCCAAAATGGTGAAACCCCGTCTCTACTTTAAAAATACAAAAATTAGCTGGGCATGGTGGTGCACACCTGTAGTCCCAGCTACTCGGGAGGCCGAGGCAGAAGAATCACTTGAACCTGGGAGGCAGAAGTTGCAATGATTGAGATCGTGTCACTGCACTCCAGCCTGGGTAACAGAGGGAGACTATGTCTTCAGAAAGAAAAGAAAAAGAACTACTAAAGAACTTCTCAGCCTCCTGAGTAGCTGGGACTATAGGCGCGCACCATGCCCAGCTAATTTTTTGTATTTTTAGTAGAGATGGGGTTTCACCGTGTTAGCCAGGGTGGTCTCAATCTCCTGTCATCATGATCTGCCCACCTTGGACTCCTAAAGTGTTGGGATTACAGGCATGAGCTACTGCACCGGCTTTCTTTTTCAAGTTTTGTAATAGCTGCATACCATTTCTCACTTTATGGATGTAGTCTAACTGGTCTTCTATTTTGATTTTGGATCTATTGTATTGTTCTTCTATTATAAACTATAGTTTAATGAACATTGATTCATTCTTTTTTTTTTTTTTTTTTTTTGAGATGGAGTCTCACTCGGTAGCCAGGCTGGAGTGCAGTGGTGTGATCTCAACTCACTGCAACCTCCATCTCCAGGGTTCAAGTGATTCTCCTGCCTCAGCCACCTGAGTAGCTGAGACTACAGGCATGTGCCACCGTGCCCAGCTAATTTTTGTATTAGTAGTAGAGACGGAGTTTCACCATGTTGGCCAGGATAGTCTCAATCTCTTGATCTCATGATCCACCAGCCTTGGCTTCCCAAAGTGCTGGGATTACAGACGTGAGCCATTGTGCCCGGCCTGAACATTCTCATAGATTCATCTCTTTTTTTGTCATTCTGATTATTTCCTTTGGACATATTTCTATATGTAGCTCAAATCAAACGACTATTTAAAAGCTTTTTTTTTTTTTTTTTTTTTTGAGACAGAGTCTCACTCTGTTGCCCAGGCTAGAATACACTGGCACAATCTCGGCTCACTGCAACCTCCACCTCCTGGGTTCAAGTGTTTCTTCTGCGTCAGCCTCCCGAGTAGCTAGGATTACAGGCGTGTGCCACCATGCCCAGCTAATTTTTGTATTTTTTAGTAGAGATAGGGTTTCACCATCTTGGCCAGGCTGGTCTTGAAATCCTGACCTTGTGATCTACCTGCCTTGGCCTCCCAAAGTGCTGGAATTACAGGTGTGAGCCACCACACCCAGCTGTTTAAAAGCTTTACTATGAAGCCAAGCGAGGTGGCTCGCGCCTGTAATCCCAGCACTTTGGGAGGCTGAGGTGGGCGAATCACCTAAGGTAAGGAGTTCGAGACCAGCCTGACCAATATGGTGAAACCCCATCTTTAAAAAATAAAATAAAAATAAAAAAAGCTTTACTATGAATTGCACATTGTCTTCTAGAAAATTTGCTTCCATTATAGAGTAGGTTGCTTTTTTCTCTATGCCTTCAGTAACACTGGGCATTTCCAGTGACGGTGGAAAATGGTGAGAACCAGATATTGCATACCAATATTATTATTATTATTTTACCACTGCTACCACCCTATTAGTATTATTATTAAACTATAGAGAGGAGGTCTCGCTACATTGCCAAGGCTGGTCTTGAACTCCTGGCCTCAAGCAATACTCCTGCTTCAACCTCCCAAAATGCTGGGATTACAGGTGTGAGCCACCTTGCCTGGCCCATGATAACATATTTAATGCCAGCAAAGTATGCCATTGTATGAATGTTTATCATTATTATTATTTTTTTTTTGAGACAGAGTTTCAGTCTTGTTGCCCAGGCTGGAGTGTAGCAGTGCGATCTCGGCTCACTGCAACCTCTGCCTCCCAGGTTCAAGCAATTATCCAGCCTCAGCCTCCAGAGTAGCTGGGATTACAGGCGCCTGCCACCAGGCCCAGCTAATTTTTTTTCTATTTTTAGTAGAGACGGGGTTTTTGACCAGGCTGGTCTCGAACTCCTGATCTCAGGCAATCTGCCCGCCTCAGCCTCCTAAAGTGCTGGGATTACAGGTGTGAGCCACCGGGCCCGGTGAATATTTGTCATTAATTTAGCTAATTATTGGTCAGGCGTGGTGGCTCATGCCTGTAATCCAAGCACTTTGGAGGCCAAGGTGGGCGGATCACCTGAGGTCGGGGGTTCAAGACCAGCCTGACCAACATGGTGAAACCTCATCTTAAAAAGGAAAAAAAAGTTTAGCCAATTATCTTGTCTTCTTGTTTTGGTGTTATAACCGTCGTTTCAATCAATAGCTTTTAAACGATGTCGGTTTTCTCATTCTTAACTTTGAATTTACGATAAATTTCTGGCCGTGGAATTGTTGAAGAAAAAAAGTATTAGTTTTTTTTTCGTTGTTGTTTTGAGACGGAGTCTTGCTCTGTCGCCCAGGCTAGAGTACAGTGGTACAATCTCAGCTCACTGCAACCTCTGCCTCCTGGGTTCAAGCGATTCTCCTGCCTGAGCCTCCTGAGTAGCTGGGACTACAGGTGTACATCACCATGCCCAACTAATTTTTGTATTTATTTATTAATTTTAGTAGAGACAGGGCTTCACCTCGTTGGTCAGGATGATCTGCATCTCTTGACCTCATGATCTGCCCCACCTCAGCCTCCCAAAGTGCCAGGATTACAAGTGTAATCCACCGTGCCTGGCCAGTATTAGTATTTTTAAAGCTGTGAATACATAGAGACAAAACGCTCTTCAGAAGAGCTGTGTTCTTGCAGAATATCAGCAAGGCACGGGAAGGAACATCTCTGTTTTTTTGTTTGTTTGTTCGTTTGTTTGTTTTTGTTTCTGTTGCCAAGGCTGGAGTGCAGTGGCGCGATCTCAGCTTACTACAAGCTCAGCCTCCTGGGTTCCAGTGATTCTCCACCCTCAGCCTCCCGGGTTCCAGTGATTCTCCTCCCTCAGCCTCCCAAGTTGCTGGGACTACAGGTGTGGGCCACCACACCCGGCTAAATTTTTGTATTTTTAGTAGAGGCACGGTTTCACCATGTTGACCAGGCTGGTTTCAGAGTCCTGACCTCAGATGATCCGCCTGCCTCGGCTTCCCAAAGTGCTGGGATTACAGAGGTGAACCATCGTGCAATGTAATCTAACCTAACTGGAGAACTACACCTTTATTTATTTTTTTCTTTTTCTTTTTTTTTTAAATTTATTTTTATAGTACTTTGAGTTGCTGTTTAAGAGAACTACACCTTTAATTGCCTCAACCAAACTGAATGCATCTAAGCATGATTGTCTATGAAAAACAAGTTCAAATAAAATTCTTAAATGATGCCATTTTTATACATCGTGCTGTGGTTAAGGTCCAAAATCTGAAAGATTTTGATTCTAGCTGTAGCTGTTCCATGACAAATAAGAATAATTTTCAACAGCATTATCTTGGTGATCAAGTCATCACCTTCCTTCCTCTCTTCTCCCCTCCCCTCCTCTCCTGTTCTCTCTCTGGAGTCTCCTTCTGTCACCCAGGATGGATCAGGGACACCTCCAGAGGTCAAATAAGGTGGAAACAACCTTCCTCCCTCCCTCCCTCCCTTCCTTCCTTCCTTCTGATGGAGTCTCCTTCTGTTGCCCAGGTTGGAGTGCAGTGGTGCAGTTTCAGCTCACTGCAACCTCCACTGGATCAGGAGCACCTCCAGAGGTCAAATAGGGTGGATCAATTCTCCCTCCCTCCCTCCCTTCCTCCTTCCTTCCTTTCCTCCTTCCTTCCTTCCCTCCCTCCCTCCTTCCTTGCTTTTGATGGAGTCTCCTTCTATCGTCCAGGGTAGAGCGCAGTGGTGTAATCTCAGCTCACTGCAACCTGCACCTTCCAGGTTCAAGCGATTCTCCTGCTTCAGCCTGCAGAGTAGCTGGGACTACAGGCAGGCACCACCATGCCCAGTTCAGTTTTGTATTTTTAGTAGAGACAGTGTTTCACTATATTAACCTGGCTGGTCTCGAACTCCTGACCTCAGGTGATCTGTGCCTTGACCTCCCAAGTGCTGGGATTACAGGTGTGATTCACCACAGCCCACCTAGGATGGATTTTTGAATCTGAGGGCTTCAAATCATAGTGGTTTGAAACCAGCCTGGCCAACATGGTGAAACCCCTGGCTCTACTGCAAATACAAAAAATTAGCTGGGCGTGGTGGTGCACACCTGTCATCCCAGCTACTTGGGAGGCTGAGGCAGGAGAATAGCCTAGTGGATGCAGTGTGGCCAGGGCTGGGGGGCTTTAGGTTGGAAAACTAACCTGCACCATGTACTCCTGAACCTAAAAGTGTGTGTGTGTGTGTGTGTGTGTGTGTGTTTTAAGAAAACATTTCAGGCCAGGCGCTGAGGCTCATGCCTGTAATCCTAGCACTTTGGGAGGCCGAGGTGGGTGGATCACCTGAGATCAGGAGTTCAAGACCAGCCTGGCCATCATGGTGACACTCAATTTTTATTAAAAAAAAAAAAAAAGAGAAAAAAGGAAACACTTCAGTTGTAAATTCTAAGAGGAATTTCTGTTAGGTTGAATTCACTTTGCACTTTGGAATCTCGCTGGCATCTCCCGTTTTTTTGTGGCTTAACGGTTGACCAATAGGTTCAGTTCTCATTGATGCAGGTCTTGAAAATGCTTTTTTTTTCCCGGAAAACAAATGACCAAAGTCATTACTGTACCCGCAAAAGGTAAATATATTTCGATTAGTCTCTGCAGACACCTAATTCTTACTGACACCAGAGTCTTGGCGTGATACGTGAGCGCCAAGAGCCTTCTTGGGCAGCTGAGAGAGACGCCGGGGTTCACTTGGGCGTCGCTGAAACCCCGCCAACTGACGACGAGCCCACCAGGGCGCATGCGCTGGGAGCGCGTCCGCGCCGGACACGCCCAGCAAGTCCAGTCTGAAAAGGAAAGGGGCGGAGTCTGCTCCAGGCCCCGCCTCCTATTGAGGTGAGCGCTTGGCCCGGGCTGGTTTTCCGCTTGGCGAAGGGTTACTTCCGGGTCGGACCCCGCTAGCTGCGGGAGCGGAGTGTAGAGCAGTGCTGGGCGGGCCAGCGGGGTGGGCTGCGGCCCTCGCGCCGCCGGCGATGCAGGGGGGCAGCTCCGGGACCCGCGAGCGCGAAGAGGAGGGCGACGGGGCAGGGGCTGTGGCTGCGCCGCCGGCTATTGACTTTCCCGCCGAGGGCCCGGACCCCAAATATGACGGTGAGGGACCGGAATGCGGCGTCGCCGCTCTGCTGTCTCCGTCCACCTGCGTCTGGGCGGTCCAGGGGGCCCCGAGGTTTGCCTCAAGACCCGGGCAAATTTGGCTACCTCCGGGCTTGAACCCGCGAGCCAACCGGGGTTGGGATGGCGGGCAGGCCATCGGGGTAAGGTAAATATTTATTGAAAAGAACGTCCGCTTCTAGCTCCTTTGATTACACTTCTGTTCCTTGGTTTTCTCTCTGGGGACTCAGGCCTTCGGATGGCTGGGGTCATCCCTGAGGCCACCGTCCCGCCCCCAAACCTTGTGTTTTTGTCATTCATTGAGAACGATCTCCCTTCATTAATGCAGTGAGACTTCGCAAACTGCGCTGAATAGTTTGGGTTGAGAGTTGTAATTTGTAGCTTTTGTCTTTTGCTTCATTGATGGGAGAACTAAAGATTTCTCATAGTGAGGCAGCATGGAAATAAGTCAGCTTCTTTGGTTTAAAGAATAAAAAGGCCCAAGGTTTTTTGTTTTGTTTTTTTTTTGAGACATCGTGCTCTGTCACCCAGGCTGGAGCGCAGTGGCACAGTCATAGCTCACTGCAGCCTCCAACTCCTGGGCTCAAGTAATCCTCCAACTTCAGCGTCCCGAGTACTGGGACCACAGGTGCACACCACCATGCCGGGCTAATGTTTTGATTTTTTTTTTTGTAGAGATGAGGTCTTGCTGTGTTCCCCAGGCTGGTCTGGAAGGCCTGGTCTCAATTTATTCTCCCGCCTTGGCCTCCCAAAGTGCTGGGATTACAGATGTGAGCCACCACTCCCAGCGCCCAAGTTTTCTTGAGGCATTTGGTTACTAGAAGTAGGGTAGCTAAGTTACTTAGTCTAGAGTAGGAGATGCTTAAAACATTGACTCTAACTAGGTAAAAGTGTCCACAATTTTGATGAAAGTGAAATAGAGTCCTTAGTTGCTGCCAGGTGTTTTGGCAATATTAAAAATCGTGCTATCAAGAATGAATACATTGGCTGATGGGGTGGTTCATGCCTGTAATCCCAGGATTTTGGGAGGCTAAGGCGGGTGGATCACCTGAGATCAGGAGTTCAATACCAGCCTGGTCAATGTGATGAAACCCCGTCTCTACTAAAAATACAAAAATTAGCTGGGTGTGGTGGCGGGCGCCTGTAATCCCAGCTACTTGCAAGGCTGAGGCAGGAGAACCACTTGAACCCAGGAGACGGAGGTTGCAGTGAGCCGAGATCACATCACTACACTCCAGTCTGGGAAACAGAGGAAGACTAAATCTCCAAAAAAAAAAGAATACATTGATTCAGGGATTTTTTTTTTTTTTTTAATGGAATGCTTCAGGAATTTGTGGTTCATCCTTGTGCGGGAGCCACTCCAATCTCTGTATTATTCCAGTTTTTAGTATATGTGCTGCTGCATTGAGCATGACTCAGGGAGGTTTTAACTATATGGTAGTTCCTATAGAATGAGAATACACATTGATTTGAAGCATGAAACAAAACAAATATGTTGCGGTTTATTTAAAGGTGCAAATTGTTCCTGTAAGATAAAGCATATGAGAAAAAATAAAGGTGCAAACTAAGTTGAAATGGTTTTGATTGATTCAAATGGAATAAACATGTGGAAATGTTATTGCACTTTATAGCCTTAACACAACCTATAATTTTTTTTTTTTTTTGAGACAGAGTCTTGCTGTGTTGTCCAGGCTGGGGTAAGGTGGCATGATCTCAGCTCACTACAGCCTCCACTTCCTGGGTTCCACCTGTTCTGCTTCAGCCTCTGTAGTAGCTGGGATTACAGGCATGTGCCATCATGCCTGGCTAATTATTTTTTTTTTTTTGTATTTTTAGTAGAGATGGGATTTCACCACGTTGGTCAGGCTGGTCTTGAACTCCTGACTTCGTGATCCACCCGCCTTGGCCCCCCAAAGTGCTGGGATTACAGGTGTGAGCCACCGTGCCTGGCCAATTTATTTATTTATTTATTTAAAGAGATGGGATATTGTTTTGTTGCCCAGTCTGATCTTAAACTCCTGGGCTCAGCAGATCCTCCTGCCTCAGCCTCCCAAAGTGCTAGGATTATAGGTGTGAGCCACTGTGCTCAGTCCTATAATTTTTGACCATAAAGAGGAGCAAGAGCAGAGTGTGGTGGTAATTCAAGTAGGCTATTAAAAGAAAAAAAGTTACTGGGTGCGGTGGGTGGCTCATGCCTATAATCCCAGCACTTTGGGAGGCTGAGGTGGGCAGATCACCTGAGGTTGGGAGTTTGAGACCAGCCTGACAAACATGGAGAAACCCCATCTCTACTAAAAATACAAAATTAGCCCAGCATGGTGGTACATGCCTGTAATCCCTGCTACTCATGAGGCTGAGGCAGGAGAATCGCTTGAACCTGGGAGGTGGAGGTTGTGGTGAGCCAAGATTACACCATTGCACTCCAGCCTGGGCGACCAAGAACGAAAGTCCATCTCATAAAAAGAAAAACAAAAAAATTTTAACAATGATTTTTTAATGGACAAACAACTTTTCCCCCACATGTAAGGTGGTATATGATAGCTTAATAATATGGAAAGTGTTATGTCATAGGAAGAGTCCCAACTGTAAACATGAAAGTGTGCCTTTTCTGTAACATTGTGATAAGGGTTTCTGCAAACTAAAGATTATTCTTGAAGGGAGTGATCTTAGATAAGCTTTTAAAATTTTTCCTTTCCTGGGTTACCGATAATACTGTTGTGCTGATACATGGCCTTTTCCCCCAGAATGTCCAGACACAGTTTGTGTTTAAAAAATTTTTTTAGAGACAGAATCTTGCTCTGTCACCCGGTGCAGTGGTGTGATCAGAGCTCAATACAGCCTTGTTTTCTCAGGCTCAAGCTATCTTCCCTTCTCAGCCTCCCAAGTAGCTGGGTCTACAGTTGGGCGCAACCATGCCCAGCGAATTTTTTGTATTTTTTCTTTGTAGAGACACGGTCTCAGTATGTTACCCAGGCTGGTTTTGGACTCCTGGGCTCAAGCAATTCTCATGTCTTGCCTTTTCAAAGTGCTAGAATTACAGGCATGAGTCACCACCCCAGCCCATTTTCTTTTTTCTTTTTTTAAAAATTTAGAACACTAGAATTCCACCTGATCATTTTTCATTAGATGTAAAAATGGAATAGCTAAAAAATAGGTGGTCTGTATGATTTGAATAAGTCATTCTGCTGGTTAATGGCAGAGTCAGAACATTCAAAACCTAAATGTAACTTTAACATTTTTGGCAGTTTGTTTGTTTATTAAATGGAGTTTGGCTTTGTCGTCCAGGCTGGGCTGCAGTGGTGCAATCTCTGCATAATGAAACCTCCATCTCATGGGTTCAAGGAAGTCTCCTGCCTCAGCCTCCTGAGTAGCTGGGGTCACAGCTGCATGCCACCATGCCCAGCTAATTTTTGTACTTTTAGTAGAGATGGGGTTTCACCATGTTGTCCAGGCTTGTCTTGAACTCCTGACCTGAGATGATTGTGCTAGAATTACAAGTGTGAGCCACTGCACCCAGGTTTTTTTTGTTTTTGTTTTTTTTACCTGTTTAATAATGTCTTAAATAAACAGTAACTGAGAATTTAGGACCTTCAGCCTTGGTGCCAACTCGTCTGTCTGCCTAGTGTCAGACAGTGCAGAGGATGGGCTTGGGTGTCAGTCTGATCTGCCTGTTTCACTGGTTCCTCAGTCTTCTGAAATCAGTGTTTTCATCTGTAAAATGGGGATGAACACTTACCTTATATTAATTTGTGAGGATGGAAGGAGATTGTGTATGTACATAGTACATAGTAGCACATGCTCATCAAGAAAAATTTCCATTTTTCCTATCTTTCCCTCTCTACTCTGCCCAACTCCCTCTCTCCCTCCCTCTCTCCCTTCCTGCTTTCCTTCCTTTTCTTTCTTTTTTACAGAGTTTTGCTCTTGTTGCCCAGGCTAACAATGGTGTGATCTTGGCTCAATGCAACCTCCGCCTCCCAGGTTCAAGGGATTCTCCTGCCGCAGCCTCCCGAGTAGCTGGGATTACAGGCATGTGCCACCATGCCCAGCTAATTTTGTATTTTTAGTAGAGACAGGTTGGTCAGGCTGGTCTTGAACTCCCGACGTCAGGTGATCCACCCTCCTCGGCTTCCCAAAATGCTGGAATTACAGGCGTGAGCCACTGTGCCTGGCCCCAGCTAACTTCTTTCTTTGTGCCTGGGTCTTCTCAAAGGAGGGAAGCCATTCTAGTCCCACTTCCTTGCATATTTATTTATTTCTACTGTTGGACACATCAGAAAACTGTTTCTCCTCTGTCTCATGGCATCTTTCTGCTGATCCTCCAGCTTCCAGGATTCAACTCCAGAGTCACTTCCAGAAAGCCTTTCTTGACTAACCCAACTCAGCATAACTGTTCTTTTGGTTTTTGTGTGCTTACATTTAAACAGTTTGTGTTTCATTAATTAGAGTATATGCTAAAAATTAAAACAATTTAACTGATAGAGTAGAATGATGGTCACCAGAGGCTGGGAAAGATAGTGGGGCGGGGGTAGGGGAGGATGATTAATGGGTACAAAAATACAGTTAGAATGAGTCGGATCTATTACTTGATGGCACAGCAGGGTGACTATAGTCAACAATCATTTACTGTACATTTAAAAATAAAAAGATGGCTGGGCACAGTGGCTTATACCTGTAATCCCAGCACTTTGGGAGCCGGAGATGGGTGGATCACTTGAGGTCAGGAGTTTAAGACCAGCCTGACCAACATGGTGAAACCCTGTTTTGTCATTATGAGACAGGTTTACCATTAATTTAAATGTATTTTCTTTTTTAATTTTTAGAATCTGATGTTCCAGCAGAACTCCAGGTGTTAAAAGAACCTCTACAACAGCCAACCTTTCCTTTTGCAGTTGCCAACCAACTCTTGCTTGTTTCTTTGCTAGAGCACTTGAGCCATGTGCATGAACCAAACCCGCTTCGTTCAAGACAGGTGTTTAAGTGTAAGTAAGAATGTATTAATCATGCTAAATAAAGCTCATGAAGGCTGGGCTCTGTGACTCAGGCCTGTAATCCCAGCACTTTGGGAGGCCGAGGTGGGTGGATCACCTGAGGTCAGGAGTTTGAGATCAGCCTGGCCAATGTGGTGAAACCCTGTCTCTACTTAAAATACAAAAATTAGCTGGGTGTTGTGGCAGGTGCCTGTAATCCCTTAGGAGGCTGGGGCAGAATAATCTCTTGAACCGGGAGGTGGAGGTTGCAGTGAGCTGAGATCATGCCACTGCACTCCAGCCTGGGTGACTGAGTGAGACTCTGTCTCAAAAATAAATAAATAAATAAAGTAAACTCGTAAAAAAGAAAAAAAAGACCATGCTGCTGTCCTCACTTATTTGTGGGAGCTGAAAATTAAAACAATTAAACTAATGGAGATAGAGTAGAATGATGGTCACCAGAGGCTGGGAAAGATAGTGGGGGGGTTGGGGAGGATGGTAATGGGTACAAAAATACAGTTAGAATGAATCAGATCTATTATTTGATAGCACAGCAGGGTGACCACAGTCAACAATAATTTACCGTACATTTAAAATAATAAAAAGACAGCCGGGCACAGTGGCTCACACCTGTAGCCCCAGCACTTTGGGAGGCCAAGATGGGTGGATCACCTGAGGTCAGGAGTTGGAGATCAGCCTGGCCAATGTAGTGAAATCCCATCTCTACTTAAAATACAGAAATTAGCCGGGTATTGTGGCAGGTGCCCGTAATCCCATCTACTTGGGAGGCTGGGGCAGGAAAATCTCTTGAACCGGGAGGTAGAGGTTGCAGTGAGCTGAGATCATGCCACTGCACTCCAGCCTGGGTGACTGAACGAGACTCTGTCTCAAAAATAAATAAATAAATAAAGTAAGCTCGTAAAAAAGAAAAAAAGGCTATGCTGCTGTCCTCACTTAATTGTGGGAGCTAAAAATTAAAACAATTAAACTAATGGAGATAGAGTAGAATGATGGTCACCAGAAGCTGGGAAAGATAGTAGAGGTGGGGGGTAGGGGAGGATGGTTAATGGGTACAAAAATACAGTTAGAATGAATTGGGTCTATTATCTGACAGCACAGCAGGGTGACCACAGTCAACAATAATTTACTGTACATTTAAAAATAACAAAAAGACGGCCGGGCACAGTGGCTCACACCTGTAATCCCAGCTCTTTGGGAGGCTGAGATGGGTGGATCACTTGAGGTCAGGAGTTTGAGACCAACCTGACCAACGTGGTGAAACCCCGTCTGTACTAAAAGAATACAGATTTAGCCGGGCATGATGGCGCACACCTGTAATCTCAGCTACTTGGGAGGCTGAGGCAGGAGAATGGCTTGCACCCAGGAGGTGAAGGTTGCGGTAAGCTGAGATCACGCCACTGCACTCCAGCCTCGGCAACAAGAGTGAAATTCCGTCTTAAACGAAAGAAAAGAAAAAGAAAAAAAGAGTATAACTGGATTGTTTGTAATACAAAGAAAGAATAAATGCTTTAGATGATGGATATCCCATTTATCCCGATGTGATTATTACACATCACATGCATGTATCAAAATATCTCATGTACCCCCATAAATATATACAGCTACTATGTACTCACAGAATACAAAATTAATAAAAGTATGTTCAATGCTATGAGTCTGAAAAGCAGCCGGTATACAAAAATTGGAGTGAAATAAATATGAATGATGTCCCCACTTCAATTCAGCTTGTATTTTCGTTTGAGTAATTCCTTATGAATATGATCACTGTGGATCCCATAATTGCATAAAATTGAATAAATGAAAGATAGTTCTTTTGCATCTATAATATGATTATGCATACAATTTTTTTTTTCTTTAAGATGGAGCCTTGCTCTATTGCCCAGACTGGAGTGCAGTAGTGCCATCTCTGCTCACTGCAACCTCTGCCTCCTGGATTCAAGTGAGTCTCCTGCCTCAGCCTCCTGAGTAGCTGGGATTATAGGCACATGTCACCACGCCTGGCTAATTTTTGTATTTTTAGTAGAGCTGGGGCTTCACCATGTTGGTCAGGCTGTCTTGAACTGCCGACCTGGTGATCTACATGTCATGGCCTCCCAAAGTTCTGGGATTACAGGTGTGGGCTACCGCACCTGGCAAATTCATAGAATATTTGAAGATTTGTTGGGTAGCTGGTGAGCAGGTAAAAGAAAATCATGTGAACTCATTCTGAACCAGTTCTTGACCAGAGAACTAGAGCCAGCCACACATTGTGTTGTTGAAAATGTTTATTTTTATACCTGTTGTAGGGTACTTATATGAGAAACTTGAGCACAAAAGTGAGTAGAAATACAGGTTATGATGTTTATAGTTTAGCTTATTGACAGACCATTGTGGCCTCTTTGCTAGTTCTGGCCACAAGTTGGGCATGGTGGCATGTGCCCTTAATCCCAGCTACTCAGGAGGCTGAAGTGAGAGGATTACTTGAACCTAGGAGTTCAAGGCTGCAGTGTGCTGTGATCACGCCTGTGAGTAGCCACTACACTCCAGCCTGGGTGACATAGTAACACACCCTGCCTCTAAAGAAAAAAAAACGAATAGTTCCAGCCAGAGATTCTGAGGTTCTTTTTTTTTTTTGGAGACAATCTCGCTCTGTCGCCTAGGCTAGAGTGCAGTGGCGTGATCTCGGCTCACTGCAGCCTCCGCCTCCTGGGTTCAAGCAATTCTTCTGCCTCAGGCTCCTGAGTAGCTGGGATTACAGCCGTGCATCTGGCTAATTTTTGTTTCCTTAGTGGAGAAGGGATTTCATCATGTTGGTCAGGCTGGTCTCTGTCTCCTGACCTTGTGATAACACCAGCCTCGGCCTCCAAAGTACTGGGATTACAGATGTGAGTCACTGTGCTCAGCCCTCTGAGGTTCTTTTTTACTAAATCAGTCTCAAATTTATAGGTACTTTTATGTGGTCTTAAAACTGAATTCGGTTTTAGTTAAAGATACATTATCATTTTGATAAACTTGATGGGACATGAAAAATGGTACAAATATCTGTACATTGTACATTTACTGTTTCTTGAATAAAGCAAATATTATGCTCTGCATTCCAAGCAGTGGCATATGTGGTGGGAGGTGGGTGAACAGCAGGAAGTGTGTTCCTTAGGTTCAGAAGTATTGGTGCCTAGGGATTATTGTATTAGTCCCATCAAATAGAGAAGCAGATTAGAGTAACTTTAATACCGTCATCTTGCTCATCATTAAAGCAATCCTGTGACTTTTACTGATTTTAAGATAATTCTGAATTCCTCATATATAGCCTCTTTAGATGACTGAATTTTAAAACAAAGTTATTTAAATAAATGTTTTTAATGTGATCAGTGAGTTGATAATCTCCATTTGGAGAGTTTTCTTTCTTTTTTTTTTTTCTAAGCAACAAATTTTGCTTTCATAAATGTAGACTTTTTGATGCAGAAAGAATATTCTCAGCCAGGAACGGTGGCTCACGCCTGTAATCCCAGCACTTTGCAGGGCTGAGGTGGGTGGATCACTTGAGGTCAGGAGTTTGAGACCAGCCTGGCCAACATGGTGAAACCCCATCTCTGAAAAACAGAAAAATTAGCCAGGCGTGGTGGCAGGCACCTGTAATCCCAGCTACTTGGGAGGCTGAGGCATAAGAATGACTTGAACCCAGGAGGTGGAGGTTGCAGTGAGCTGAGATGGCAACACTGCACTCAGCCTGGCAGATAGGATGAGACTGTGCCTCAAAAAAAAAGATAAGAAAACATTAGCTGGGCATGGTGGTGGGTGCCTGTAATCCCAGCTACTCAGGAGGCTGAGGCAGGAAAATTGCTTGAACTCAGGAGGCGGAGGTTGCAGTGAGCTGAGATCATGTCATTGCCCTCCAGCCTGGGCAACAAAGTGAGACTCTGTCTTAAAAAAAAAAGCATATCCTCTATGGTATCTGTATTTGCTGAATGAGTAGAAGCCAAGTCACCTTTGTGGAAACTTCTTTTTCTAAGGAGCCTGGTATTTGGTTTACACATATATGTATGTAACATGCGCTCTTTGAATGTTGCTTAAAGATATTTCGTGATGATAAATTGGTCCCATTGTTGTAAGTTGTCATCATATGATTGCACTCCTGCCCTTATTCTTCTCTTACTGCCTATCAGCAAAGGGTAATGTGTGGAATGTTAGAAGACTTTACTTTTTTTTTTTTGCCCTTTTTTCAGAAACAGCTTATTAGTACTTTACTGACTAGGCTTGGTAAACAAATGACTATGCAGAATAAGAGAAGTAATTACAGTTGTGCTTTTCTGTCAGTGAGTGTACTAGTTGCTCCTTCTCTTTTAGAGAATCATTCCCCAAGTTTCTTCATTAAACAAAAATTTCTCTAAGGGCTGGGTGTGGTGGCTCATGCCTGTAATCAAAGGACTTTGGGAGGTGGAGGTGGGCAGATCACTTGAGGTCAGGAATTTGAGACCAGCCTGCCAACATGGTGAAACCCTGTCTCTACTACAGATACAAAAATTAGCTGGACATGGTGGCACAAGCCTGTAATCCTAGCCACTTGGGAGGTTGAGGCCAGAGAATCGCTTGAACCTGGGAGGTGGAGGTTACAGTGAGCTGAGACTCTGTCTCAAAAAAAAAAAAATTCTTTAAGGTATTTTATAGAACATTCTCTTCGTTTATTGTGTTTATAAATATAGTATTTTTCTATTGAGGTTTGTGTGTATATTGCTGTTATTACACTTTATTCTCTGTGTATGCTTTAAAATTGCCATTTTATTAAAGATGTTTCTAATAATAGTTTTTCGTATTCTTTTTGTAGTACTTTGCCAGACCTTTATCAAAATGGGGCTGCTGTCTTCTTTCACTTGTAGTGATGAGTTTAGCTCATTGAGACTACATCACAACAGAGCTATTACTCACTTAATGAGGTCCGCTAAAGAGAGAGTTCGTCAGGTAAGCCCTAAGAAACATACTTTGGGTATGATAGAAATATACTTTAATTTCATGAGAATGGTATTTTCAAGCACTATGAAGTTCTGAGGGCCAGGCGTAGTGGCTCATGCCTATAATCCAGCCCTTTAGGAGGCTGAGGTGGGGGGATCATTTGAGGCCAGGAGTTCAAGGCTGCAGTGAGCCATGATTGTGCCACTGTACTCCAGCCTGAGCAACAGAGTCAGAGTGAGAACTTGCCTTAAAAAAAAAATAGAGAGGAGAGGCAAGGTAGAGGGGACAGATGGACTGGGATCTTGAGACCATTTTAATTTGTGGGTTTTTGTTTTGTTTTGTTTTGTTTTTTGAGACAGAGTCTCCCTCTCTGTTTCTCAGGCTATAGTGCGGTGGTGAAATCTTGGCTCACTGTAACCTTCGCCTCCCAGGTTCAAGTGATTCTCCTGCCTCAGCCTTCCAAGTAGCTAGGATTACAGGCATGTGCCACCACGCCCAGCTAATTTTTGTATTTTTAGTAGAAAAGGTGTTTCACCATGTTGGCCAGGCTTGTCTCAAACTCCTGACCTCGTGATGTGCCCACCTCGGCCTCCCAAAGTGCTGGGATTACAGGCATGAGCCACTGCTCTCAGCCTAATTTCTGTTTTTTACTTAGTAAGATGGGAGGTGGTGCAGGATTTTGATCAGAGGAGTGACACAATCTGACTTAGATTTTAGCGGGGTCCTACTGGCTGCAGTGTTGAGAATGGACTGAGGGGGCACAGGCAGAAGCAGGGGCCAGGTGCCACCATACACACAAGAGAGGTGGGGCAGACAGGAGGGGTGGGCAGCTCCTGCATGGATTTTGAAGGTGATGTCAGCCTTGTCTGCTTTCTGGTAAATTCTTAGCTTTGAAATATTGTCAGTTGTAAACTCTTAAGTAATAGTGAAAAAGCTAGTGGTTTTAAAAATGTTGTTTATGTACTGGGGCTGTTAATGTGATGTTGAATTTGGATAGATTCTTTATTCCATGCAAGTTTTCAAAATGCTTTTTAAAAACATTTTTTTAATTGTAGGATCCTTGTGAGGATATTTCTCATATCCAGAAAATCAGGTATGTGTTAAAACTTGATTATGCAGATTATTGAAAAGAGATCAAAATGAAGAAAATACTGGTTTTGAGGTCAAAACATATTGTTAGTGTTGTTTATGAACATTAAAAGCTTTATTCTCAGCAATTAAGCAGTAGCTCCAAAATTTGCTTTGCTTCTTATTCCCTCCTCTTTGATCCTGCCTCCCTTCCATTAATCGTGGATTCCATGGGCACACTTTTTTTTTTTTTTTTTTTGAGACAGGAGTCTCACTCTGTTGCCCAAGCTGGAGTGCAGTGGTGCAGTCTCAGCTCACTGCAACCTCCGCCTCCTGGGTTCAAGCAATTCTCTGCCTCAGCCTGCAGAGTAGCTGGGATTACAGGTGCCCATCACCATGCCCAGCTAATTTTTTAATATTTTTAGTCTTGGCCAGGCTGGTCTTGAACTCCTGCCCTTGTGATCCACCCATCTCAGCCTCCCACAGTGCTGGGATTACAGGCGTGAGCCACTGTGCCCGGTGGGCACACTCTTAATTCAGATTCCTGATACCCAGTCTGTTAGGAGACCATTGGGTTTTTGCTAGTTTAAATACTAGTTTAAAATCTAGCTGGTATGACCTAAGTATTCATCAGGTAATGAATATGAAAACATGTGGTCTATCCCTGCAAGAAAGTGTTATTCAGCTATTGAATGGAATGAGGCCGGGCGCAGTGGCTCATGCCTGTAATGCCAGCACTTTGGGAGGTTGAGGCAGGTGGATCACGAGGTCAGGAAATTGAGAACATCCTGGCTAACATGGTGAAACCCTGTTTCTACTAAAAATACAAAAAATTAGCTGGGCATAGTGGCACATACCTGTAGTCCCAGCTACTCAGGAGCTGAGGCCGGAGAATCACTTGAACCTGGGAGACAGAGGTTGCAGCGAGCCAAGATCATGCCATTGCCCTCCAACCTGGGCAACAGAGCGATACTCTGTCTCAAAAAAAAATAAAGGAATGAAGTACTGATTCATGCCGCAGTATGGATGAACCTTGAAAACATCCTAAGTAAAAGCAACCAGTCACAAAAGGCCACATATCGTGTGGTTCCATCTATATGAAATGTTCAGAGTAGGTGAATCCATAAAGATGTAAAGCAGATAGTGGATTTCAGGGAGTGGGGTAAGGGAATGATGAGGGGTGAAAGCTAATGGATACAAGGTTTATTTTGGGGGTGATGAAAATATTCTGAAATTAGATAGTGGTGATGGTTGCACATGTCTGTGTACTAAAAACCACTGAATTGTATACTTGAGAGAGGTGAATTTGATAGTATGTGAATTATATCTTTACAAAAATAAAGCACTCTACATTAAAAAAAAATCTAACTGGTCTGTATCATTAAGAAATTCAAGTGGCTGCATGTGGTGGTGCATGCCTGTAGTCTCAGCTACTTGGGAGGCTGAGGCAAGAGAAGTGGTTAAGCTCAGAAGTCTTGGGCTGTAGTGCACTATGCTGGTCTGGTATCTACAGTAAGTTTGGCATCAAGCATGGTGACCTTGACGTCTTTTTTTTTTTTTTTTTTTGAGATGGAGTTTTGCTCTTGTTACCCAGACTGGAGTGCAGTGGCACAATCTCGGCTCACCGCAACCTCCGCCTCCTGGGTTCAAGCAATTATCCCGCCTCAGCCTCCCGAGTAGCTGGGACTACAGGAGTGTACCACCATGCCCAGCTAATTTTTTTGTATTTTTAGAAGAGATGGGATTTGACCTTCTTGACCACGATGGTCTCGATCTCTTGACCTCGGCCTCCCAAAGTGCTGGGATTATAGGTGTGAGCCACTGCGTCTGGCCTGACTTTGACCTCTTAGGAGCAAGGGACCACTGGGTTGCCTGAGGAGTGAACTAGCCAGCTTGGAAACAGAGCCGGCCAGTATCTCGTGCTGCTCAGTAGCAGGATCACACCTGTGAAGAGCCACTGCTATCTAGGCTGGACAACATAGCAAGACCCTTTCTTAGAAGAAAAAGAAATAAAAAAGAAATTTCAGTAAATTTATTACTGAGCTTAGTTAGCTAACCAACTGCTGGCTGTTAGTGATTCTTAGGATTTCTGCTGTACGACATTGATAATAATTTCTACTTGGAGTACCAGTGAGTGGTAAACACTTGAAAGAAGTGTCATAACCCCCTTGCTGTTTTTATTACACTTTTGATCTGCTGAGCCAGTGTTTTCTTCATAGGGATGAAAAATTTCATTTAATCCCATCCGTTCCAAATCAGCATGACTTGTTATAAATGAGGTTTGTGAGGTTAGTAATCCAGAGAGTGTGAAGTATCCTAGAACATTTTGATTTTCTTATGTTTTAATACTGATTATTTGTATTTAACTTTTAGATCAAGGGAAGTAGCCTTTGAAGCACAAACTTCACGTTACTTAAATGAATTTGAAGAACTTGCCATCTTAGGAAAAGGTGGATACGGAAGAGTATACAAGGTTGTCTTCCACATACTTGTTTTGACCTATTACCCTAAATAATTGTATTTTCAGACATTGTTTTCATTATTTATTTATTTATCTATTCATTCATTCATTCATTTATTCATTCTGAGACAGTCTTGCTCTGTCGCCAGGCTGGAGTGCAGTAGCGCAATCTCAGCTAATTGCAACGTCTGACTCCCTGGTTCAAGTGATTCTCCGTCTTCAGCCTCCTGAGTAGCTGGGATTACAGGCTCGCGTTACTACACCCAGCTAATTTTTGTATTTTTAGTAGAGACGGGGTTTCATCATGTTGACCAGGATGGTCTCGATCTCCTGACCTCATGATCTGCCCGCCTTGGCCTCCTGAAGTGCTGGGATTACAGTCATGAGCCATCGTGCCCGACCTGTTTTCATTATTATTATATGAAGTACTCAAAGGAAAATTCCAAAAAAAATCATGTATATTTACTTTTCATTTTGTCATTTGCAGAGAAGTGGGCAGGTTGTACTTTTTTCCTAACCATGTTAGTTGTTTACATGGATTTTGGAAACTTTGGATTTTTGATCTATAGTTAATTTTAATTAAAAGTGTGTTAGTAAAAAAAGTTGTACTACTGTGTTTTGAGCTTACATAGACCCTTTGCTAACATTCCCAGCCTGGAGCTTCATAGGAGCTAGACTCCTAACGCTATCTGAAAAGCTCTTAGTCTGGCTGACTTTCCTGAACATAGTAAGGAGACATGTCTCTAACTATATTTTAACTCTTTGGCTAGTTTGGATTGTCTAAGCTCATATTAAAATAACTTCTTTTTTCAGTTAAAATTTAATGACACAACATAGTTTGTCTTTTCTTCTACTTTGCAGGTCAGGAATAAATTAGATGGTCAGTATTATGCAATTAAGAAAATCCTGATTAAGGGTGCAACTAAAACAGATTGCATGAAGGTATGCTTTTAAGAAATTACTTATTTTGAATAATTGTGTATTTAGTTTTAATTTTTGTAAGAGCAATACGTGTATGTGTGTATATTTGACAAAAGTAGGCGGTGTGGATTTCCAGATTACTAGGGATAGGGTTATAGTAAAGTACCAAAACTAAGTTATTATTATTATCATTGTTGAGTTGGAGTTTCACTCTTTCACCCAGGCTGGAGTGAAGTCACGTGATCTTAGCTCACTGCAACCACCACTCCCCAGATTCAAGCAATTCTCTTGTCTCCCAAGTAGCTGGGCTTATAGGTGCCTGCCACCACGCCTGGCTAATTTTTTTTTTTAAGAGTCAGTGTATTGCTATGTTGCTCAGGCTGGGGTGCAGGCGATCCCAATGCTGATCAGAATGGGAGTTTTGACCTGCTCCGTTTCTGACCTGGGCTGGTTCACTCCTCCTTAGGCTACCTGGTGGTCCTCTGCTCCCAGGAGGTCACCATATTGATGCCAAACTTAGTGCGGACACCCGATCAGCATAGCACACTACAGCCCAGAACTCTTGGGCTCAAGTAATCCTCCCACCTTTGCCTCCCGAGTAGCTGGGACTGCAGGCACGTGCTACCATGCCTGGCTAGTTTTTATATTTTTAGTAGAGATGGGGTTTTGCCAAGTTGGCCAGGCTGGTCTCAAACTCCTAACCTCAGGTGATCTACCTGCCTTGGCCTCCCAAAGTGGTAGGATTACAGGAATGAGCCACTGTGACTGCTAAACTATTATTATAATTTTTAAATGTCTCGCTCTCTTACCCAGGCTGGAACTCATGGTCTCAAGTGATCTTCCAGCCTTGGCTTCCCAAAGTGCTGGGATTGCAGGCACTTTGGGAAGCCATTTTTTTTTTTTGAGACAGAGTTTTACCCTGTTGCCCAGGCTGGTGTGATCATGGCTCACTGCTACCTTGACCTCCTGGGCTCAAGCAGTCCTCCCACCTCAGCCTCTCAAGGAGCTGGGACTACAGGTGTATGCCATCACATCCCGCTAATTTTTAAACTCTTTTTTTGAGATGGAGTTTTACTCTTGTTACCCAGGCTGGAGTGCAATGATGCAATCTTGGCTCACCACAACCTCCGCTTCCCAGGTTCAAGGATTCTCCTGCCTTAGCCTCCCGAGTAGCTGGGATTACAGACGTATGCCACTGTGCCTGGCTAATTTTGTATTTTTAGTAAAGACGGGGTTTCTCCATGTTGGTCAGCCTGGTGTCTAACTCTTGACCTCAGGTGATCCCCCTGCCTTGGCCTCCCAAAGTGCTGGGATTATAGGCCTGAACCACTGTGCCCAGCCAGTTTTTAAATTTTTTATAGACAGGGTCTCACTGTGTTGCCCAGGCTTGTCTTGAATTTCTGGGCCCAACCAACCCTCTAGTCTTGGCCTCCCAAATTGCTAGAATTACTAGCATGAGCCTCTGTGCCTGGCCTAAATTTTTATTTGATGTAATTTTTTATAGGCACTTCAGACCACATTTCAGGGTGATTTTTTGGAAAATTGATTTTTTAAAATAAGTAATTGATATATAATTTAGCTAGTTATGAAAAATCATAAGCCCAATTCCAATTCCGTCTTCTCCCTGACATGCTGCATGGTTCTGGACAAGTTGCCCAGTCCTCTGAGCCACTTCTGTCACCTGCCCTGAAATAGTAGTGACAGTAGTGATTTTACTTACCATGCAGGACTGGGGTAGGAATCAGAAAAGAGAATGGTGATAAGGGGGCTATAAAAAGTATACAGTGCTATATACATATGTTATTTAGTTGCTCTAACAATCACCATTTGTTTCTCAAAAATATTTTCATTATTTTGACCAGGCACAGTGGCTCACACCTGTAATCCCAGCACTTTGGGAGGCTGAGGCAGGCAGATCACTTGAGACCAAGAGTGCAAGACCAGCCTGGCCAACATGGTGAAACCCTGTCTCTACTGAAAACACAAAAATTAGCCAGGTGTGGTGGTGCATACTTGTAATCCCAGCTACTTGAGAGGCTGAGGCACGAGAATCACTTGAACCCAGCAGGCAGAGGTTGCAGTGAGCCAAGACTGTACCACTGTACTCCAGCCTGGGCAATGGAGCCAATACTCTGTCTCAAAAAAAATTTTTTTTCCATTATTTTAACACAGTTTAAATGTTTAAACTATGTTTAAAAATACCTCTTGTACAGAGGAGTTTTTTTTGTTTTTGTTTTTGTTTTTTTTCAGATGGAGTCTCACTCTGTAGCCCAAGCTAGAGTGCAGTGGCCCAATCTTGGCTCGCTGCAACCGTCACGTCTGGGTCTCAAGCCATTCTCCTGCCTCAGCCTCCCAAGTAGCTGGCACTAGAGGCGCATGCCACCACACCCAATTACTTTTTGGATTTTTAGTAGACGCAGGCTTTCACCATGTTGCCTTGGGTGATCTCAAATTCCTGACCTCAGGCAATCCACCTGCTTCGGCCTCCAAAAGTGCTGGGATTATAGGTGTGAGACACTGCCCAGTCCAGAGGAGTTTTTTAATTTCAGATATTCCTCGTCTTATGTTGGGATTATGTCCTGATAAACCCTCCTAAATTGAAAATATTATGAGTTGGAAATGCATTTTAATATATATAGCTGACCAAACATTGTAGCTTACCCTTCCTACCTTAAATGTGCTCTGAACACTCACATTACTCAATATTTGGACAGAATCATCTAGCACAAGCCTATTTTTAAATAAGATACCACATATCTCATGTACTACGTTTTGCAAGCTGGGGAAAAGATCAAAATTCAAAGTATGTCAAAATTGTGATGTCTTCACACCATTGTGAGTCAGGGGCCATCTGTATTTTGCTCTGGAACAAGAAATATTTGACTGCATAAACAGTTAACAAGTTATCAGCAAAAGGCAGATCTAATTCCATGTCTTTTTTAGGTCCTACGGGAAGTGAAGGTGCTGGCAGGTCTTCAGCACCCTAATATTGTTGGCTATCACACTGCATGGATAGAACACGTTCATGTGATTCAGACACTAGGTAAGCTGTTTTTTGATGATGTGGACCAAATCTGGCCTGCCCTTGTTTTTGTACCTACCACAAGCTAAGAATGGTTTTTACATTTTTTATATAGTTAAAATAAAAAGATTTTATGAAAATTATGTGAAATTAATTTTTTTTTTAAATTTTTTTGAGACAGAGTCTTGCTCTGTTTCCCAGGCTGGAGTATAGTGGTACAATCTTGGCTCACTGCAACCTCTGCCTCCAGGGCTTAAGTGATTCTCCTGCCTCAGCCTCCCAAGTAGCTGGGATTACAGGTGCCTGCCACCACACCTGGCTAATTTTTATATTTTTAGTAGAGACGGGGTTTCACCATGTTGTCCAGGCTGGTCTCAAACTGCTGACCTCAAGTGATCCACCTGCCTTGGTCTCTCAAAGTGCTGGAACTACAGGCATGAACCTCTGTGCCTGGCCCAAAATTTTAATGTCAATAAATTAACTTTATTAGAACACAGGCACATTCATTTATTTATTGTCTATGGCTGCTTTTTAAATTTAAATTTAATTTTCTTTCAAAAATGGAGATGAGGAGTCTTACTGTATTGTCTAGGCTATTCTCAAATACCTGAGCTCATGTGATCCTTGAGCCTTGGCCTCCCAAAGAGTTGGGATTACAGGTGTGAGCCACTGGGCCCATGGCTGCTTTTATATTATAACAGAATTGATCAGTTACAGCAGGGTCCCAGAGGGCCCTAAAACCGGAAATATTTACTATCAAGTCCTCTGTAATGTTTGCCAACCCCTAGTATAGTTGTGTGGCTTTGTTTTTAGCTTTCCTAACATGTGCCATTTAAATAAACTTTTTGTATTTTGCAGGAAGGTCATGACATTTTTAGACTTATAGTCTCATTTGATACTATTTGTATATTTTAACTCTGCTTTTGACTACAAATTGAAAAACTGGGCTGTTTGAAGATTTTTGTTGTTTGTTTTTGTTCAGCAGACAGAGCTGCCATTGAGTTGCCATCTCTGGAAGTGCTCTCCGACCAGGAAGAGGACAGGTATGTGAACTGGTGTGTCCCTTTACATGTTAGGATATTACCTCTTGTCACCTGCGTTGGGCTGTCTTTTTTTTTTTTTTTGAGATGTAGTCTTGCTCTGTTGCCCAGGCTGGAGTATAGTGGCGTGATCTTGGCTTACTGCAACCTCCGCCTCCTGGGTTCAAGGAATTCTTCTGCCTCAGCCTCTCAAGTAGCTGTGACTATAGGGACCTGTCACCATGCCCGGCTAATTTTTATATTTTTAGTAGAGATGGGGTTTCACCGTGTTAGCCAGGATGGTCTCAATCTCCTGACCCTGTGATCCGCCCGCCTCAGCCTCCCAAAGTGCTGGGATTATAGGCCTGAGCCACTGTGCCCGGCCTGCATTGGGCTGGTCTTTGCCTTTTGCTACAAGGATCTCAGGAGGAATATTTTAGACTTTATTTATTTTCATTACAAAATGTTACTTCTTCCTCTCAGATATTTCCTGTCAGTATTTTCTCCCAGGCTGGAGTGTAGTAGCACGATTGTAGTTCACTGCAGCTTCAAATACCTTTCTCAAGGGATCCTCCCGCTTCAGCCTCCCAAATAGCTGAGATCTCAGTCTGTACCACCGTGCCTGACAATTTTAAAAATTTTTAGTAGTGATGGGGGTCTCACTCTGTTGCCCAGTCTTGTCTTGAGCTCCTGTCCTGTCAGTATTTTAAATAAATGTTGCTATTAGACAAATTTGATGCCATATTTATCAAAAGTTCATCAATAAGATTAATATACGCTTGAAGGAACAGTTGAGTTACTCTGGATCTTTTTTTACATTGACTTTTTAATTTTCTAAATTTTAATTTTATTTTTAATCACTTCATTTTATTTTTTGAGATGGAGTCTTGCTCTGTTGCCCAGGTTGGAATGCAGTGGCACGATCTCAGCTCACTGCAACCTCTGCCTCCTGGGTTCAAGTGATTCTCCTGCCTCAGCCTCCCAAGTAGCTGGGATTACAGGCCTGTACTACCATGCCTGGCTAATTTTTTGTATTTTTAGTAGAGATGGGGGTTTTGCCGTGTTGGCCAGGCTGGTCTGGAACTCCTGAACTCTAGTGATCTGCCTGACCTGGCCTCCCAAAGTTCTGGGATTACAGGCGTGAGCCACCACCGCACCTGGCCTATTTTTTATTTTTTTAATTGAGATAGGGTCTCTCTCTTTCGCCCAGGCTGGAATGCAGTGGTGTGATCTCAGCTCACTATAGCCTTCGACTCCTATATTCAAGCAGTCCTTCCACCTCAGCCTCCTGAGTAGCTGGGACTACAGCCTTGTGCCACCATGTCTGGCTCGTTTTTATACTTTTTGTAGAGATGGAGTTTTGCCATGTTGCCCAGGCTGGTCTTGAACTCCTGGGCTCAAGAGATCCTCCTGCCTTGGCCTATCAAGTTGTTGGGATTACAGGCATGAGCCACTGTGCCAGACCTGTACTTTGACTTTTTTTTTTTTTTTTTTTTTTTTTGGAGATGGAGTTTCACTTACTCTTGCCTAGGCTGGAGTACAGTGGCACGATCTCGGGTCACTGCAATCTCCACCTCCTGGGTTCAAATCATTCTCCTGCCTCAACTTTCCCAGTAGCTGGGAATATAGGTGTGTGCCACCATGCCTGGCTGATTTTTGTATTTTTAGTTGAGATTGGGTTTCACCATGTTGGCTAGACTGGTCTCAAACTCCTGACCTTAAGTGATCTACCTGCCTTGGCCTCCCAAAGTGCTGGGATTACAGGCATGAGTCACTGCCCTTGGCTCATTGACTTTTGTCTTTACTATTTTTTTTTTCAGAGACCAAGATGGAGTTAAAAATGATGAAAGTAGCAGCTCATCCATTATCTTTGCTGAGCCCACCCCAGAAAAAGAAAAATCCTTTGGAGAATCTGACACTGAAAACCAGAATAACAAACCGGTGAACTATACCAACAATTTAGTCATAAGAGACAATGGTGAATTTGAGTCGACCCTGGAGCTCCAGGAAAATGGCTTGGCTGCTTTGTCTACCAGTTTGATTGTGGAACAGCAGCTGCCGCTCAGGCGGAATTCCCACCTAGAGGAGAGTTTCACATCCACTGAGGAATCTTCCGAAGAAAATGTCAACGTTTTGGGTCAGACAGAGGTAGATTACTTTTCCAGACCCTTCTCATTTGATGTTAGCCAGCAGTAATTGTATTGGGGACTGTGCAGGTGTGTGGCCTTCCCCCTTCCCTCTTTTGGCTCCTGCTCTTCTGCCCTGCATCCAGTCTCTTGTACTGGCCATGTTCTCCTTGCCATGTGGCCTTTGTATTCGGTTCTGCCTCCTCCACTTAGGTAACTCTTACTCATCCTTTTCTGGCCTCCCCCACCTGGCCATTTGCAGCTCTAGATTATCTCGGGTGTGTACCCTGGAGTTGGAGGCCTCACTCACACTCTTTTTCTGTTGTATGATAGCATCGTGCTATAAAGATACATTTATGCAAAAAGATTTTGCAGCATGACTTAAGGTGAGTCCCAGTAGGATTACCAGGTCAGTATTCCGGATATTCTTTTTTATTTTAAATTTTTTTTAGTTTAGTATTCAGGATGCTCTTCTTGAGGGTTAGACTCATAGAACCCTCCTTCCCTGGTCATACCACCACCATGCTTTCACTAGTATTTTAAGTAGTAATATTAAAAACATATGCTGGGTGCGGTGGCTCATGCCTGTAATCCCAGAACTTTGGGAGGCTGAGGCGGGGGTCACAAGGTCAAAAGATCGAGACTATCCTGGGCAACATGGTGAAACCCTGTTTCTACTAAAAAAAAAAATACAAAAATTAGCCGGGCATGGTGGCACACACCTGTAGTCCCAGCTGCTCAGGAGGCTGAGGCAGGAGAATCGCTTGAACCCAGGAGGCGGAGGTTGCAGTGAGCTGAGATTGTGCCACTATGCTCCAGCCTGGCAACAGAGTGAGACTCCGTCTCAAAACAACAACAGCAACAAAAAATCATGAACATTAGGCCAGGTGTAGTGGCTCACGCCTGTAATCTCAGCACTTTGGGAGGTTGAGGAGGGTGGGTCACCTGACATCAGGAATTCAAGACCAGCCTGGGCAATATGGTGAAACCCCATCTACTAAAAATACAAAACTTAGCTGGGAGTGGTGGTATGCGCCTCCACACAGCTACTCAGGAGGCTTAGGCAGGAGAATTACTTGAACCCAGCAGGTGGAAGTTGTAGTGAGCCAAGATCACGCTACTGCACTTTAGCCTGGGCAACAAGAGTGAGACTCCGTCTCAAAAAAAAAAAAAAAAAAAAAACCATGAAAATTAACAGGGTCTACACGTAATCTGTCTTGCTAGGATTATAAAACTGTATACCATCTACACAGACACAGTGCAGATTAATTTTTGTCCAGGAATATGTGTTTCTGAGCCTGTGCTTTTTTTTTTTTGGAGACAAAGTCTCACCCTTGTCACCTGGGCTGGAGTGCAGTGGCATGATCTTGGCTCACTGCAACCTCTGCCTCCTCGGTTCAAGTGATTCTCCTGCCTCAGCCTCCCAAGTAGCTGGGACTACAGGCGCCCACCGCTACACCTGGCTAATTTTTTTGTATTTTTAGTAGACACGAGGTTTTACCATGTTGGCCAGGCTGGTCTTGAACTCCCAACCTCGGGTGATGCACCCTTCTTGGCCTCCCAAAGTGCTGGGATTACAGGCATGAGCCACTGCACCCGACCAAGCCTATGTTTTTTTATGAAACATAAAACTTTGAACACTTTCACTTGAATCTGGAGGACTTCAGTTTAGGGGACTTTTAATCAGAATAGTTTCATTTCTCTGCATTTTATTTAGAAAATTTTCTTAAATGCCTAAATCAGATGGTATATACAGTCTGCTACAGTAAGCTTAATGCTTGCTTAACTTTTTATTGAATAAGTTATTAGTTAATTATGTGAAGCCAGACAAAGTATATATACTTTGTAGTAAAGTATACAGAGTAGTAGAATATCATACAGCCATTCTTTGATGCTTTCTCTTAGCTTTAAAAACTGTTTATGTAGGGCTGGGCGTGGCTCACACCTGTAATCCCAGCACTTTGGAAGGCCAAGGTGGGCGGATCACAGGTCAGGAGATTGAGACCATCCTGACCAACATGGTAAAACGCAGGCTTTACTAAAAATACAAAAAGTACCTGGTGTGGTGGCATGTGCCTATAATCCCAGCTACTCGGGAGGCTGAGGCAGGAGAATTGCTTGAACCAGGGAGTTGGAGGTTATAATGAGCTGAGATCTCGCCACTGTGTTCCACGAGATCTCGCCGCTGCGCTCCATCCACGCTGGTGACAGAGTGAGACTCAGTCTCAAAAATTAAAAAAAAAACTATTTATATAGTGAGCAGACCAGTTTCAGGACCAGTTCCTCAGGGTCAAAGTTGGGAGTTTCTGCCACTGGAGGGAGCCCTGCTTGACTTCAGCCTGGCCCCCGCTTCTGCTGGTATTGCAACAACCGCTTATTTCTTCTTTTTTATTTTTTTGAGATGGAGCGTTGCTCTGACACCCAGGCTGGAGTGCAGTGGTGCAGTCTCGGCCCACTGCAACCTTCGGCTCCCGGGTTCAAGTGATTCTCCTGCCTCAGCCTCCTAAGTAGCTGGGATTACAGGCACATGCCCCCACACCTGGCTAATTTTTGTATTTTTATTAGAGACGGGGTTTCATCATGTTAGTCAGGCTGGTCTTGAATCTTGACCTTGTGATCCTCGTGCCTCAGCCTCCCAAAGTGCTGGGATTACAGGTGTGAGCCACCTCGCCCTGCTTACAACCCTGTTTTAATTATTGCTCTGCTTATCTGTTGCTTTCATTAGACTCTGGGCTTCTTGGGTGGACCTGTGTCCTCAGCAGTTCCATCTTGCAAAGGGAAGTTCACACAGGTTAAATGACTTCCCTAGAGGCTTATTCTCTTGGCCCAGAATAGAATTTGTTGGTTAAATGAATAATGTGAGTGAATTGTCCAAAGATGGGATCCAGCACTACGTCCTCTCCTAGGTGCAGTACCACCTGATGCTGCACATCCAGATGCAGCTGTGCGAGCTCTCGCTGTGGGATTGGATAACCGAGAGAAACAAGCGGGGCCGGAAGTGTGTGGACGAGTCTGCCTGTGAGTACCATCTGGGTCTGCATGTGCTGGGCCGGGAAATAGACCAAGTCACCTCCTCCCCATCTCATATAGGAATTGCCGCCAGTGCTTTATTTTCATTTGTATTTTTTATTCACTTTATTTTATTTTTTTGAGACAGCCTCACTCTGTTTGTCACTCAGGCAGGAGTGCAGTGGTATGTTCACTGCTTAGTGTAACCCTGGCCTCTCCGGCTCAAGTGATCCTCCAGCCTCAGTCTCCTGAGTAGCTGGACTACAGGTGCATGCCACCATGTCTGGCTGATATAAAAAAAATTGTAGAGATGAGGTTTCATTATCCTGCCCAGGCTGGTCTCCAACTTCTGGTCTCAAGCAATCCTCCTGTCCTTGCCTCCCAAAGTCCTGAGATAATAGGCATGAGCCTCTGTGTCTGGCCAGACTTTTTCCTTTTTCTTTCTTTTTTTTTTTGAGACGGAGTGTCACTCTTGTTGCCCAGGCTGCAGTGCAATGGCGTGAACTCGGCTCACCACAACCTCTGCCTCCAGGATTCAAGCGATTCTCCTGCCTCAGCCTCCTGGGTAGCTGGGATTACAGGCATGCACCACCACACTCAGCTAATTTTTTGTATTTTTAGTAGAGACAGGGTTTCTCCATGTTGGGTAGGCTGCTCTCGAACTCCTCACCTCAGGTGATCCGCCTGCCTTTGCCTCCCAAAGTGCTGAGATTACAGGCTTCAGCCACTGTGCCCGGCCTCCAGACCTTTTTATTGAATTTTGTGTTAGTCCTGTAAAACCTCTGCATCCTCCAAATTCACTTATGTCATCAAATATATATATATATTTTTATGTTATCATATTAAGAGATGAATTTATTTACATTTTTGGGGGCAATATGCTGTCATTTTTGGAAAGTGAAGCTTTCCAGATGATTGAATCTTGCTCCTGGAAGCTAACATATTTTATCTTTTTTCTTAATCCAGTATTTGTAATAATGTATTTAATCTGCTGTGGGGTAGGATACCAGATTTATTAGTATTAAATCCCAAAATGTCAGGGGTTGAAGGGGACTTAAACTATTGAAACTAGTTGCCTGATACCTGAGAATTATTTAAAAAGTTACTATATACAAAGGAGGGCTCTGAGTGAAGTTAGAGGCACTTTCTTTCTGGTTGACAAAGTCCATCAGCTATTGAGTGCTGGTTTGTGATGGTTTCTTTGCTAGCTGAGGAGGCCTTCTTGCTTGTTTCTAGGTTTTAGACCATTCTGCAGCATTGACTTTGTTGAAAATCTGAATGTTCTTAAGTGTCAGATGTTAATGTATTTAGAACGACATTAATATTTAGATGCTAATGTAATGAGTAAAAAAATAAGACAAATAAAATTTTTTTTTTTTTCTACTTCAAGGTCCTTACGTTATGGCCAATGTTGCAACAAAAATTTTTCAAGAATTGGTAGAAGGTGTGTTTTACATACATAACATGGGAATTGTGCACAGAGATCTGAAGGTAAGTGGGGATGATGAAATAATGGAAAGCAGTGGTAGCTGACCATTCGAGGTGGTTCAGGCCTGTAATCCCAGGACTTTGGGAGGCCGAGGTGGGTGGATCACCTGAGGTGGGGAGATCAAGAGTAGCCTGACCAACATGGAGAAACCCTGTCTCTACTAAAAATACAAAAACAGCCAGGCATGGTAGTGCATGCCTGTAATCCCTGCTACTCAGGAGGCTGACGCAGGAGAATCGCTTGAACCCAGGTGGTGGAGGCTGTGGTGAGCCGAGATCGCACGACTGCACTCCAGCCTGGGCAACAAAAGTGAGACTCCATCTCAAAAAGTAAAAAAATAAAAAATAAAATAAATAAGCAGTGGAAGCTTTGTAACAGGGAAGACTTGATGTTGGTTCACTGAATTAAATAAGATGACATGTCCTACCTCATTTACTTAGGAGATTATAATTCCTGTTAGATAAATCATTGTTCTGTAGATTCAGAGTATAAAAATATTAGGTTGAATTTTTTGTTTGTTTGAGATAGGGTCTCACTCTGTCACCCATGCCAGAGTGCAGTGGCATGATCACAGCTCACTACAGCCTCGAACTCCCAGGCTCAAGTGATCCTCCTACCTCAGCCTCCCTAGTAGCTGAGTCTACAGGCATGTGCTACCATTCCCAGCTAATTTTTAATTTTTTTTGTAAAGATGGAGTTTGACTATGTTGCCCAGGCTGGTCTTGAGTTCCTGGTCTCAAGTGATCCTCCCATCCCAACCTCCCAAAGTGCTGGGGTTACAGGTATGAGCCACTGCACTTGGCTGTAAGTTGAATTTAAAGCAGTAATTTTTGGACATTTGAAAATCCTCTGTTGAGTACTTTTTTTCAGGTACTAAGTGTGCTCTGAGTACTCATATAATCAGTGGTGCTAAAGGTACTTAGTTTTAGCAGAAATGCTCATTTGTTTTTTCAGTCTTAGAGATAAACTCTATTTCTGTAATTGTTCATGTTAAAGTTGAACAAAATGGGATTTTTGTTTTTGCTGTTTAAAAAAAGTATATAATGACTGTTTGATTTTTATCCACAAAAGACTTATCAAGAAAGAGAGAACGTATATTTGTTTCTTTGGCTGAAGAGATTTAAATTAACTAAGCAAATTAAGTCATGGGCCTGAAAAAAAACCTAGGAACTCCTTTGACACAGGTTAGAGGGGAAAAAGAAACCACCTAGGAACAAAAATGTTAAAAGGCAGATCACTTTTTTTGAAAATGTTTAGGAACCAGTAGTGTGTACATTTGGGATGTAAAGGGTGATAGGTTAAGCATTTTCTGGTACATGTCTAGCCAGAAAATGCAGTTTGAGTGACTGACATTCCCTGCTGCTGTGAAATTGGAGGTCCTATTTCAAGAGGTACACAGAGTCATACCAACAGTAGACAGAATTCCATATCTTCACTGGGAGAAGTTGCTTCAAGTATTGTTTGTATTTCTCACCATAAATATTCCGGATGTTTCTTTTGCAGATATCCTGTAGGGATAAAGGTTTTTTCGATTGCTTTATTAGGGTGTCCCTTAAGAAGCGGAATTCTGGTAGCATGATTCCTGTAGGTAAAATTCCTTGGTTATTGGTAATTCTCAGAGGATAAGTGCGATTAAGAAGCCTGGACAGAAGTGCTGTGTGTCTTATATTGAAACTGCGCTGAAGGTACATGTAAATTGGAGATTCCCCGTTTTTTGTTAAAATATTAATATTTGCTTCAAATTCAAGCAAAAGATCAATTATTGGCTCTCTGCCTCCAAAGCATGCCTCGTGGATGGCTGTTTGGCCTTTGTAGTCCTGGGCATTGACTTTGGCTCCGTGAGTGAGCAGCAGACAGATGCAGCTGACCCCTGCCCTGAGTAGTCGGCCTGCTTTGCTTGACGCAGCGCGCACTGCCAGCTTCAGAGCCGTGTTCCCCGTGGAAGAGACAGCACAGTTGACGTTTGCTCCATAGGCAATGAGTGTTTCCATCATCTCCTTATTCAGCATGTCTGCGGCCATGTGAAGGGGTGTCATGCTGACTTCATTAATAGCATTGACATCGGCACCATTTTGGGCCAAAATGGAGAGAACTGGATTGCAACCATATTTGATGGCCAGGTGGAGTGGTAATTGATTGTTGCTGATTTCCACCCGAGCATTAACTTGAGCTCCATGCTCACACAAGGTGCGGAGACACGTGATGGCGTTATTCTGAATGTCTGTCAGGATCCTTTGGAGTCTGTTGCCTGGTTTTGCCCACCAGATGGAAGTTACCGGCCAGTGCAGTAGCAGTAAGTTGAGTGTGGTGAGGCCCCTGTCGTCCCTAGAATGGGTATTGATTATACGTTACACTGAATTCATGGTGGGAATGGCTCTACGTGAACATTTAATGCTTAAGAAGCCAGTATTTATACCCTTTAATTACCTTAAGGATGCGTTTCAAAATCTGTATTGCTGGTTAGTTTCTCAGGCTATCCCAGGGTTTTTAGGGGGATGTGGTGGGATGCATCACTACATGATGGGGCCTAGCTTCTGTTTTTTTATATATATAATTTTTCTTTTTGAAAAATTCTTTTCACTTTTTGACAGTGACATGAAGGAGGCCCAGCTTCTTGGAGCAGCCTATTTTAACTGTGCTGCAGTCCCTTCAAAGCTATATCTAAGTGATTTCTGTATCCTGGCACCTGGCACAGTGCTGGTCTGGGTTGGTCTTCCTGTGACATTGTGTGGACTTGTGTGGGATCTGTTATTGCCATAGAAGTGAGCCGTAAAGGCCCGAACTCCTATTGACTCCATTCTTAGTGGTTCTGTTTCTGCTCTCCTACCCATTGTTTTTATGCATGAGTGTATAGGGAGCAGAAGAGGTGATGAGGGTTGAATCTGAAGACCTGTGGATTCTGAAGTTAATTCCTTGCTCCAAGCCAGGTGGAATGAGCATTTTACACCTTGGCTGTCATCTCAGAAATGCTTCCAAGAATTCCTTTTTTTTTTGAGACAGAGTCTTGCTCTGTCATCCAGGCTGGAGTACAGTGGCGCAGTCTCTGCTCACTGCAACCTCCACCTACCAGGTTCAAGCAATTCTGTCTCAGCCTCCCGAGTAGCTGGGACTACAGGCGCCTGCCACCATGCCTGGCTAATTTTTGTATTTTTAGTAGAGACAGGTTTTCACCATATTGGTCAGGCTGGTCTTGACTGCTGACCTCAGATGATCCGCCCACCTCAGCCTCCCAAAGTGCTGGGATTCAGGCGTGAGCAACTGAGCCTGGCCCCAAGAATTCCTTTGTTTTGGCAGAGAAAAGGGAAGGTTTGTTATGTAAATCTAACTGCTCCACTGAAATTAGAAAGTGATTTTAGTGCACGTATGTTTGTTTAGCGTGAGGCCCTAGGCTGGGAATGTGGTGAAACAACATGTGGCCCCTACAGTCTACTCTGGTAGGGAAGATAGACAAGAAACAATAGAACAGCTCAGTAAATACTGGAAGCAGGCTGAGTTCTAGAGAGGTGTTGAAGCTTCACACGGCACATGTTATGCAGGGTAGAAAAGGGTCTCCTGAAGAGAACAGGGTGAGTCTGTGATGGTCCAGATGTGGAAGGGACTTCAAGAGGACTTGCAGAGCTAGGTGGGGTGCTCAGGGATAAGCTGAGAGCAAGACAGGTCAGGTGAGTTCTTCTGGAGCAAGGTAAGGATTTGGGGCAAGAAGTTCTATTATTATTATTATTTTGAGACGGAGTTTCGCTCTTGTTGCCCAGGCTGGAGTGCAGTGGCGTGATCTCGGCTCACGGCAACCTCTGCCTCCTGGGTTCAGGCAATTCTCCTGCCTCAGCCTCCTGAGTAGCTGGGACTACAGGCACACGCCACCACACCCAGCTAATTTTTGTATTTTTAGTAGAGACAGGGTTTCACCATATTGACCAGGATGGTCTCATTCTCTTGACCTCATGATCTGGCCGCCTCGGCCTCCCAAAGTACTGGGATTACAGGTGTGAGCCACCACTCCTGGCCAAAGTTCTATTTTAATACTGCTTAATTCTTTCATTCATTCAGATAGCATTACTGGGCACTTACTAACTTACTAAGTGTCAGGCATTTATGTGGTTGAGGTGGTGGAGATATAGTGGTGCACAAGATGAACTTCTCTTTCATGCTGCTTACCTTCTAGTGGAGTGTAATAAACAAGAAAATCCATTGTCTATTTATATTTTATTTTTCACACCTAACTTTGCTGGTTAAACTTACTCAGGGCCATGACAAGGACTTAATGCATTCCCCACATTGCCACCATTGAGCACTTAATTCTCAGAATGTGCATTAATTTGGCAAACTGTTTGTGATGTTGCATTGTTCCCAGTATTTTTTGTTGGTTTTTATTTTTTTTGAGATGGAGTCTCACTCTGTTGCCCAGGCTGGGGTGCAATGGTACAGTCTCGACTCACTGCAACCTCTGACTCCCAGGTTCAAGCGATTCTCCTCCCTCAGCCTCCTGAGTAGCTGGGATTATAGGCACACACCATCACACCTGGCTAATTTTTTGTATTTGTAGTAGAGCTGGGGTTTCACCATGTTGGTCAGGTTGGTCCCAAACTCCTGACCTTGTGATCTGCCCGCCTCGGCCTCCCAAAGTGCTGGGATTACAGGCGTGGCACCGCGCCCAGCCTATTCCCAGTTTTTCAGAGTATCTCATCTACTCAGTAAAGACATTGATTGGTTCATTCATAACATGATCATGTATAGTCTATCACCTTGAAGAACAAACAAGTCCAGACATAAATGGAAAAAATGTATGAACTGAAAAAAATCTATATCACGTATATCCTCACTTAGAAATGATTGCTGGTGAGGCTGGGTGCGGTGGCTCAAGCCTGTAATCCCAGCACTTCGGGAGGCTGAGGCGACTGGATCACTTGAGGCCAGGAGTTAGAGACCAGCCTGGCCAACATGGCAAAATCCTGTCTTTAGCAGAAATAAGAAAGTTAGCCGGGTGTGGTGGTGCATACCTGTAATCCTAGCTACTTCGGAGGCTGAGGTGGGAGAATCTCTTGAACCTGGGAAGTGGAGATTACAGTGAGCTGAGATTGTACCACTGCACTCCAGTGACAGAGTGAGACCCTGCCTCAAAAAAAAAGAGAGAGAGAGAAAGAAGGAAGGAAAGGATGGAAAGGAAAGAAGGAAAGAAAGAAAGAAAGAAATGATTGCTGGTGCCGGTGGAGTTAACTTACCTGACTTCTGGGTCAGCACCATGCCATAAGAGGCAGCGCAAACTCTGGGCCTTGTGGCTCTTGGCAGCCAGATGGATGGGGATGATAGATTCTGCATGCTTCAGAGAGAAAACAGAACACATTACAAGTGGCCCTTTTAGTTAAAAATAATACTTGTGTCAGCTTGCCATTTCAAAGGCAATACATTTATTTAGTGTCTTACTGGCTCACTATTTTTATGGTATGTGCATTGAAAATTTTCTTTTCTACTGCCTGTTTTAAATGGTCAAAACTCAGTTAATTCCATGTTATAAAATCTGTATTTTACAGAAATGCACATTTACTGAGGCACCAGAAATAATACTCAAAAGCTTTGGAAGTTTTTGAAAGTTGATTCTTCTGAAGAGCCTGTGGTGTGATATTAATGGCACTTGCTATGAAGTCATTTAGTCCTTAAAGTAACCCACAGGGGGATGGACAAGTAGGTGTAGCGTTGTATTGTCAGCTGTAAAACCTGAATCTTCAGGATTTTCAAATATAACTCAGCATATGTTCTGTCTATGATTAGTAGAGCTGTTTGTGCCAGCACTTAAAATACACACATATAAGTAGTGGTTTTACACCGTTGCTGCAAGATAAGACAGTAAGGTGCAAGAGAGGGTGATTTCCTTTTTTAAAAAGAATTTTAATTGTAAAGGTAATAATCATTGTATAAAAATTTAGAAAATAAAAATGTATATATTAAAAAGAGAAAAACTAATTTTTGTTTGTTTGGAGACGGAGTCTCGCTCTATCATCCAGCTGGAGTACAGTGTTGTGATCTCGGCTCACTGCAACCTCCGCCTCCTGGGTTCAAGCGATTCTCCTGCCTCAGCCTCCCAAATAGCTGGGATTATAGGCTCCTGTCACCATGCCCAGCTAACTTATGTATTTTTAGTAGAGCGGGGTTTTGCCATGTTGGCCAGGCTGGTTTCGAACTCCTGACCTCAGGTGATCCACCCACCTCGGCCTCCCAAAATGCTGGGATTACAGACGTGAGCCACCATGCCCGGACACAAAAGGGAAAAACTAATTTGACCACATGGAGGTTATCACCGTGGATATGTTTGAGAGATGACATGAATGGTCTTCTAGCCACACAAGATCTGGTATGTTCTCCTGTTGGTTTGTGTGTGACATGTATAGGGGAGGCTTAGCAGACTTTGGGGAGCATTGATGTGTGTGTGGAGTGAGCTGGAGTCATGCCTCGTAAGGACTATGAGCTTAGTGGATTCATCAGCATTAGATCATGCTCCTTTCTAAGCAGCCTGACTTTTTCCCAGAAGTGACTGAGCAGAAAAGAGGGTACCTGGCTCAGAAGTAATCTGTTGCTGGTGGAGTTGGGCAGAATGATGATGGGCTGGTTGATGGGGTGATTTCTCAACAGTGCCTCAGTGGTAGCACAATCTTCGTCCATGATGGCTTCAAAGAATTTCAAGTGAAGTGCTATGGATGGGCCATCTTCCAGGGACTTGGGACTGTCAACCACCAGGTCTCTGCATCTTTTCCTGGTTATATTCCCCATGGGAAAAACTTAAGACTTAGGGGAAAATGTTGTTATGAAATTGGTCAGTTTCAGTCTCTTTATGATGATTCTTTCAGTTCAGTTCTAGAACTGTTCTAGAATTTATTGAGAATTGTATCTGTGAACATAGTCTGTCAAATTTTGTAACCAAACGTCCAGACTTTGTTCCTTGATCATATATAATGTTAACTTTAGCAGTTTTTAGGGTTTTCTACTCAATCGTAAAAGCGTATCCAAGCTATCATCTTAGACTTTTATTTCTGATTTCTCTCCAATTCAAGCATAGTTCAAACAGTGATCAAAGCCAAAACAGGGGAATTTCTACATTAAAATAAAAAGCTAAAATTATTATGTTTGAAGAAAACTTTTAACCTAAGTTATTTTTTGTTTTTTTACTATAATAGAATCTTCTCTTTCCCATTGCAGGTTCAGTTTTTCACTGGCATAGGAATAGTTTGGGAGATATTTTGGGTCTGCACTCATTGCTTAAATACAGCCATTTAGTGTGATCTATTAGTTCCCAACCCTGGCTAGGATATGTGAGTTATCTGGGAGCTTCTAAAAAATATAAAAAAGTTTTTTTCATAGTGTGAGAAACATACTCATCCATCCAAACCCAAAGAATGGACTTAGAGGCAAAAAGAACAGTGAAAGTGAGACTTTAATAGCAGTCTAGCAAGACCAGGTGTCTGGTAGGCAGGGACAAAAAGGGCAGTTACAACAGGTAATTTATCTTCCAGCATGCAAGTCCCTTCTCTAGTTCCTCACTGGTCACTACTATGGGGTTAAAATCTTCCCTAAAATCTGCCTAAGGTTTTTTTTTCTTTTTAAGATGGAGTCTTGTTCTGTCACCAGGCTGGAGTGCAGTGGTGCGATTTCGGCCCACTGCAACCTCCGCCTCCCGGATTCAAGTGATTCTCCTGCCTCAACCTCCCTAGTAGCTGGGGTTACAGGCATGTGCCACCATACCTGCCTAATTTTGTACTTTTAGTAGAGATGGGGTTTCACCATGTTGCCCATGCTTGTCTCAAACTCCTGACCTCAGGTGATCTGCCCGCCTCAGCCTCCCAAAGTGCTGGGATTACAGGCGTAAGCCACTGCAGCCGGCTGGATGTTGAGATTTTTAAAACTCCTCGATGATTCTAATGTGTAGGTGAATTTGGGAACTATTCCTCAAATATTTTTGAGGGGGCTGCTTGCTCCTGAGTTCAAAACACTTAACATTTACAGGTTTTTACTATTTGTTTTAAGAAAGCCAAAGAGTTGACTTGTTTTTTTTGTTGATAGCCAAGAAATATTTTTCTTCATGGCCCTGATCAGCAAGTAAAAATAGGAGACTTTGGTCTGGCCTGCACAGACATCCTACAGAAGAACACAGACTGGACCAGTAGGAACGGGAAGAGTAAGATTTTGTTTTGTTTTGTTTTGTTTGCATAAGCAAAATACATGGTTGCATGTGTTAGTATTTAAAGAGAATCATAAAGATTTAATAGCAAAGGTAAGATAAAGATAAAAAGCAACCTTGTTCCCTGAGGTGCTGCACTGCTTGCTCGTCTTTAATGTTGACAGTGCTAACACTACAATGTTTAATATGTGGCTTTTGAAATGCTAGGAACACCAGCACATACGTCCAGAGTGGGTACGTGTCTGTACGCTTCACCTGAACAGTTGGAAGGATCTGAGTATGATGCCAAGGTAGTATTTGTTGCTTTCTGCCCTTTCATTCAACTTGATTCTTCAGTCGTAAATAACAAACAGTACAAGACTAGGCACGGTGGCTCATGCCTGTAATCCCAGTAGTTTGGGAGGCTGAGGTGGGTGGATCACCTGAGGTCAGGTGTTCAAGACCAGCCTGGCCAACACAGTAAAGCCTGTCTCTCCTAAAATACAAAAATTAGCTGGGCATGGTGGTGTACACCTGTAGTCCCAGCTACTTTGGAGACTGAGGCACGAGAATCGTTTGAATCTAGGAGGCAGAGGTTGCAGTGAGCCGAGATCGTACCATTCCACTTGAATGACAAGAGCAAAACTCCATCTCAAAGAAAGGAAAAAAAAACCCAGTACAATGAAATGTAGAGGTTCTATCATAGAGATGTTTTTGGAGATAACTGAGTACTATGGATTATTAACTGGATCAAACTGCCCTAAGAAGCAGCCTCACTTTTCAGTGGAATCTGTGTTGCCTACTTTACCATTGCAAAATCCACGGGTGTCACAAATTATTTTGTTTGTTTATTTGTTGTTTTTGAGACAAGTTCTTGCTCTGTTGCCCACGCTGGATCGCAGTGGTGTCATCATAGCTCATGGTAGCCTCCAACTCCTGGGCTCAAGTGATCCTCCCACCTCAGCCTCCCATGTAGCTGGGACTACAAGAGTTGTGCCACCACACCCAGCTAATTAAAAAAAAATTGTTTATTTGTAGAGATGGGGTCTTGCTTTGTCCAGATTGGTCTCAAACATCTGGCCTCAAGTGATTCTCCTCCCTTGACCTCCCAAAGTGCTAGGATTACAGGCATGAACCACTGTGCTTGGCCTAAATTGTTTTTGAAATGAGCTTTCGCTTTAAAACACCACTGTTTACCTCAGGAAGCTAGAATTCATGGAAGCCTATTTTCAGCCTTTCCTTCTAATTATTTTTTTTTCAAGCTCTGACAAATAAATTCCACAGGGAAGCCTGCCCCTTGACTCCCCTTGAAATAGAATGAAAATGCTGTAAAGTTTGAATCACCATTGTTCCTTGAAGAAATGCTAAAATCCATTTTTCTTTTCTTTTCTTTCTTATTTGAAATGGAGTTTTGCTTTGTCACCCAGGCTGGAGTGCAGTGGCGTGATCTCAGCTCACTGCAGCCTCCACCTCCTCGGTTCATGCAATTCTCCTGCCTCAGCCTCCCCAGCAGCCGGGATTACAGCCATGCACCACCACACCCAGCTAATTTTTGTATTTTTAGTAGAGACAGGGTTTCACCATGTTGGCCAGGCTGGTCTCGAACTCCTGACCTCAAGTGATCCACCCACCTCAGGCTCCCAAAGTGCTAGGATTACAGGTATGAGCCACCGCGCCTAGACTAAAATCCATTTTTCAAATGGATTGTCTTCCCTTTGATGGCTCATCGAGCTTTTTATTGATTGAGAAAGAGCTGTCAGAGAAAATGATGACTGCCCCTAAAATCTTGTTTAGTGAAGACCTTCCTAAAAAATCTGTTTTTAGGAGTAGTAGCACAGATTTTATACAGTTAAGTGTCACTGAGAACACTTGTTCTGGAGTACAGAGGTGAGACCAGAGGAGAACCTGTGACCCTCTTTGGCTCCCCCACAGCTGGCACTAGCAGGCGTGAGCTCACGTCACTCTGCTTGGGTAAGGCCTGGATTGTTAAGGGGTGCTGAAGAGAGTTGTATGGTTGTGACTATTGTGGGTGGGGGGATTATTCCTGGCCTCTACCTGACCATTCGTTCTGCCTGCCCACGGATGCCCCTTTTTGGGGTTGTGAAAGTCCCTGTCACTGATGAGCCATCCTGCTCTGCTCCTCCTTGTGGGTGACTATATATCCTCATTCTGAGAAACCCTCTCCTGTTAGGAAGGGTGGAACACAGAAATGGAAATGTTCTTTTAACTTGATTTCACTACTGAGTTGCCCCTTTTTTTCTTTTTCTAGTCAGATATGTACAGCTTGGGTGTGATCCTGCTAGAGCTCTTTCAGCCATTTGGAACAGAAATGGAGCGAGCAGAAGTTCTAACAGGTTTAAGAACTGGTCAGTTGCCGGAATCCCTCAGTAAAAGATGTCCAGTGCAAGCCAAGTATATCCAGCACTTAACAAGAAGAAACTCATCACAGAGACCATCTGCTATTCAGCTGCTGCAGAGCGAACTTTTCCAAAATTCTGGAAATGTATGTGCTGTTTTTTTCTTGGTCCTGGAGTGAAGGTGGTTTTTATTTCAACTCTTAGGAAAAGAAGGGGTGGGTAGTGCCCCCAGAGGATGGGGCTGGAAGAGCCAGATGATGGTTCTGGAGTTGGGGGGTGCCTGTTTATTCTCTTCCACTTCCTGGCACTCAGTTGCAGAGGATGCTCGCAAGACTCACTCCCCTTGGGGTAGCAGCTCTGACCTCAGCAGGCACAGGAGGGATCTTCTTGTGTTCACTAAGAGGAGCAGAGGGCTGGGGGCCAACCGCAGGGTAGGAAAGCTTCCTGAGGCCGGGTGGGTGTGACTGCTTCCCAGAAAGGCCTGAGGGGCCCACAGGGAATGCTCCTTCTGATGTCTGGGCCTTTAAATGTCCTTGTCAAACTGACTCTTAACCACTTGTGTGCTGTTCTGGGCTGTTTGGGTGTCTGTCGGGGGCTCATCACTGGCAGGGCTGGTGACCCCGGAACTGGTGGGCTGGTCTCTCAAGGGTGTTTTGGTCACTGGTGAGTTTAGCACTCTCTTTGGGAATGTCAGATTGTAGATGATCCTGGCACCTCCCTGGATAGTGCTCAAGAGCATGCCCCAGGGAGGCTGCCACAGTCCCAGCAGAGTACACAGCCACTGCAGACCACCTGGGAGAGGTGGGGCTGGCCTGGCTTGGGGGTCTGGCTGCAGCTGCTGCCCTGGACATGGTTTCTATCCATGATTTTTTTTGTTGTTTTTAATGCTGAGGAAAATATGAAGCTTAAAATAGAACTTGTTTAAATTGTGAATCCTGGCCAGGCGAGGTGGCTCGGGCCTGTAATTTCAGCACTTTGGGAGGCTGAGGTGGGAGGATCACTTGAGGTCAGGAGTTCGAGGCCAGTCTGGCTAACATGGTGAAACCCCATGTCTACTAAAAGTACAAAAATTAGCCGGGTGTAGTGGTGCATACCTGTAATCCCAGCTCCTGGGGCGGCTGAGGCAGGAGAATTGGTTGAACCCAGGAGGTGGAGGTTGCAGTGAGCTGAGATCACATCACTGCACACCACTGGTGACAGTGAGACTCCGACTCAAATAAATAGTGAATCCTGTTTCAGTGAACAGTTGAGCTTAGACTCCTATTGGTACAAAAAAAAATATTTAAATCCATTCTCAGAGTTCCCTGACTGTATGAAGCACTAGGTTGAGTATCAGTAGCATGCTCATACTCATTGTCCACGTAAGCAGGTTGACTCCCTACTACCCGTCTACTCTTAAGAGTTATCAGCTTCAGTTTCTAGCCTCATCTTGCTAAGTCAGTGAAAGGGTTTTTTTTTTTTTTTGCTCTTTCTTCCAACTATGATATATAACCTTTTATTGTGAATGTACCTATAAGTGTCCGGGTGCAGTGGCTCACACCTGTAATCCCAACACTTTGGGAGGCCGAGGTGGGCGGACATGAGGCAGGAGATCGAGACGATCCTGGCCAACACGGTGAAACCCCGTCTCTACTAAAAATACAAAAAATTAGCTGGGCGCAGTGGCACGTGTCTGTAATCCTAGCTACTCGGGAGGCTGAGGCAGGAGAATTGCTTGAACCTGGGAGGTAGAGGTTGCAGTGAGCTGAAATTGCGCCATTGCACTCCAGCCTAGGTGACACAGCGAGAGACTTTCTCAAAAGGAAAGTACCTAATAGTAAAAAGAGCTGCATATTGAAGGGTAAAAGGCAGCAGTAATTCTAATGGTGAGTTGGAGATGTAACCATATAGCCCTTAGCCAGTGTAAGGGCTTTCAGCTTTCAACAACGTGGTTCTGGCTTTCAGTCCTGCAATGTGTTATTGCCCCAGAGCCGCCCCCTTCCCTTTCTCCTTCCTCACCTGTCCTTAGAGTGCTATGTCGTCTCTCAGCACATGCTGGAAACCACAGGTTTCCTCTAGAAACCATTCTGTTCCTCTAGAAACTTTCTAAGATTTAATAAAAGCCTAATTCAAGATACACTCCGATTCTTTAGTGCTTTGCCACTCAAAATACTGTCCTCAGACATGCTACATTGGCATGACCTGGGAGCTCTGCCCCCAACATAGTGGGCAGAATCTGTATTTCCACAAGATTTCCCAAGTGGCTGACATTCACAGTGTTTGAGCAGCATTGCATGAATGCAGCAGTTCTCAAAGTGTAGTTTCCAGAACAGCAGCATAAAATCACCTGGGAACGTCATAGAATTCTCAGACCCTTCAGTCCCCTGACCTATTAAAAAAAAGAAATTTAGGGAGGAGATGGCGCTGCATCCTGTACTGTGATGAAACTTTAAAGTGATTCTGATGTATACTAGTTGGGGAACCACTTGTAGTGATTGTTCAAAATAATCAGATAGTTGATTTATCTTCTATTTAAGGCTTATTGTCAAGCAAGACTGAATTTTCTTAAATGGTAAAAACAGGTAGGTGTGGTACTTTTCTCTTTTTGAAAGTGTTTGAAAATAACAGATGAAGCTTTTTTTTTTTTTGAGACAGAGACTCACTCTGTCACCCAGGCTGGAGTACAGTGGCATAATCTTGGCTCATTGCAACCTCCACCTCCTGTGTTCAGGTGATTCTCCTGCCTCAGCATCTCTAGTAGCTGGGATTACAGGTGCTCGCCACAACACCTAGCTACTTTTTTTTTTTTTTTTTTTTTTTTTTTTTTGAGACAGACTCTTGCTGTCTCCAGACACCAGGCTGGAATGCAGTGGTGCGATCTCAGCTCACTGAGCTCCACCTCCCAGGTTCAAGCAATTCTCGTGCCTCAGCCTCCTGAGTAGCTGGGACTACAGGCCCGCGCCACTACGCCCAGCTAATTTTTGTATTTTTTTAGTAGTGACAGGGTTTCACCATGTTGGCCAGGATAGTGTCGATCTCTTGACCTCATGATCTGCCCGCCTCGTCCTCCAAAAGTGCTGGGATTACAGGTATGAGCCACCGTGCCTGGCTACTTTTGGTACTTTTAGTAGAGATGGGGTTTTGCCATGTTGGCCAGGCTGTTCCCGAGCTCCTGACCTCAGGTGATCTGCCCACCTCAGCCTCCCAAAGTGCTGGAAATACAGCAGTGAGCCACCAGGCCTGGCCACAGATGTGGTTCTTAAAATCAAGTGTAAACATTTATCTTCATGGCTGGGCATGGTGGCGCACGCTTGTAATCCCAGCACTTTGGGAGGCCAAGGCAGGAGGATCAAAGTCAGGAGTTCAAGACCAGCCTGGCCAACACAGTGAAACCTCATCTCTAAAAAAACAAAAACAAACAAACATTTATCTTCACATATGAAGGGGATTTTCTAATGCCCAGTTAAGATAGCTGTTAGAGACCTATTTGTGGTAAGGATTTCTACTATCCTGTAAAAGTTTTTTCTATAAAATGAAATCTTGGTCGGGGCTCACACCTGTAATCCTAGCACTTTGGGAGGTCGAAGTGGGTACATCAGTTGAGGTTATGAATTCGAGACTAGCCTGGCCAACATGGCAAAACCCCATCTCTACTAAAAATAAAAAATTAGCTGGGCTTGGTGAAGAGCATCTGTAGTCCCAGCTACTTGGGTGGCTGAGGCATGAGAATAGCTTGAACCTGAAAGGCAGAGGTTGCAATGAGTCCAGATCATGCCACTACACTCCAGCCTGGGCAACAGCAAGAGTGCTCAAAAAAAAAAATTAAGTTATTTTAATAGAGTTTAAAATTTTCTCCTTACAGGTTAACCTCACCCTACAGATGAAGATAATAGAGCAAGAAAAAGAAATTGCAGAACTAAAGCAGCAGCTAAACCTCCTTTCTCAAGACAAAGGGGTGAGGGATGATGGAAAGGATGGGGGCGTACCTGTCTAACCTTCCTCAGCCTGTATCTATAGGATGAAAGTGGACTTAAACCTTTAAGGTAGTTAACTGGAATGTAAATTTTTAATCTTTGTTAGGGTATAGTTGATATAATTCTTAGTTGTATTTAGTTGGCCTTTACAAGATTTATTAAAGATGCAAGAGTACCCCAAGCTCCTGCTCCTTCCCTTTCTGCCCCACAAGCTCCTTTTCCCCCAATTTCCTACCTAAATATTACTATATGCCTAGTCTCTGAAACCAGAAACCTTGACCTCATCCTCAATTACCTTCTCTTTTCAACTCTGTTGACCCTCTCTCTGGTCTTCCTTTAGAAGGTTCTACTGCAGAAATTGACCTGTGCTCCCTGCCACTGTCACTGCCCAAGCCCAGGCCTGCACATACTCACTGGACTGTTCGTTTTTATAGCTGCCAGTCTTCCTACCCACTTCACACTGCCGCCTATGTTAATTAGCAGAAGGATGCCTGACCATTTCATTCCTTGGCTCCAAATCTTCTGCTGCCTCTAAGATAAAACTCAACTTCTTAACAGTATAGTGTGCAACTTCCAAACTTTTTATCTGTTCTCTCCACCTTCAACTTACTGTCATCCCAAAACCACACCCTTGCAAAACTTTGTACTCCTCACCCCAGATGATCTCAAGGCAGCTCAGATGTCTTTCCCACCTTTGCCCTGCCCTGTCCCCAGTATTTCCTCCTTTATTACAACACTCAACTCTCCAGACAATTACATCTCTCAAGGGCAGCAAGCTGAATTGGTTTTTGAATCCCAGAAAGGGTCTGTCACGGTGGTCGCAGTCATGATGGTAGATGGCACATGATTTTGCTGAATTTTAAATAAAATGAGAACCACAAATTACATGATGCTTTTATTGACACTTACAACTGGCCTAAATAAAAAGATCTTGAATTTTAATACAAGTCCCTTAACTGGTAATAGGCATGAAACAGCACCATTCTTAAGATCTAAACCCTTTAAAATCAGTTATGGAAATTCACTTAAGGAGCTTGAGGGCTGTGTTAAAAGGAGCCAGGTTTTCACAAGATCTCATCCACCTCTGCACGTTGGCTGGCACTGTCACACTGCAGCCTCCGGTCTGCTGGAGTACAGACCACAGCACCACATCTGCTACGGTGAGTTCATTCCCAGCGAGCCAAGGGCTCTTCCCAAGAGCAGAGTTCATGGAGCGGAAAACAGCAGCTTTTTCTTTACTGCTTCCCTCTTTTAACTGAAAAATGGCAATATCTACCCAGCTATCTATAAGAGTTGCATTGACAGCATTATGCTTCTGGCCAAACAGAGAGAACAAGAAACGTGCAATGTTCCCTTCTCCTTCGATGGGGCACATCGTCTGGACGCTGAATTTCATCTGAGTCTTCGGCACTGAAAAGAAAAAACACACACCAGGTGGCATTACAGGAGTAGCCCTGAGGGAAGTACCTGCAGTGTGGAAGGGGACAGTCACCAAAACCACAACTGATGACATGGGAAAGGGTGTTTCTAAGAACATCACATTTTCAGTCTGTCTCCAAGATGCTTAATACTGAAAAGGGTTTAAGTGCAAACTATGTTGTTAAAAAATAATCAAAGAGCATTCCTCCAATCCCTGTTGCCTAAGGATCTGGGGGCTGAGGACTGGAAACCCAAGTTGCATCTCCCAGGCTCTCAGTCCTCGTAATTGCTCCCCTTATGTGAAGCTGAGGGCAGTTAAGGTACCACTGGATGAATGACATGAACTCACTTCCCTCCATAAAAACCTAACCAGAAGAGGCATACATCCATGGGATAGTGAATATATGACATCCATCTTTATATGGCCATATGAGGAGATAACTTTGGCGTCCCTATGATAGTAAGTTCTAGAATGTGAGGGCAAGAGGGTGGACAGCCATGACTTCCCTGCTTTGCCTGGTTGGACAACCCCCTTCCTCTGACAGCTCAGAATTCCCCCTTGAGCTGTGTCTCACTCAGAAACCCTACATTTTGCAGAGGAACAAGGGCATCTTTGTGTTGCTTCATCTCTGCTCTTCCTCTCCAACAACCCCACAGGCTTTCTAGACTTAGAAGATTTGACCTGATGCCAATTGCTATATGGCCTGTATGCCACAGAATGTCCTAACCCCTTGCTGCCTCTTATCAAAACCATGTTGCATATCTCATCATATAGTACAGTTGACCCTTGAACAATGTGGGGGTTAGGCCACTGCGCCCCACTGCCATGCAGGTGAAAATCCACCTAAAACTTTTGACTCCTTCAAAACTTAACTACTAATAGCTTACTACTGATGGGAAGCCTTGCCCATGACAGTTGATTCACACACGTTTTGTATGGTCTATATATTATAAGCTATAGTCTTACGATAAACTTGAGAAAATGTTAAGAAAACAATAAGGATGCTGGGCATGGTGGCTCACACCTGTAGTCCCTGCTGCTTGGGAGGCTGAGGTGGGAGGATCACCTGAGCCCAGAAGGTTGAGGCTGTGGTGAGCTATGATCACACCACTGCACTCCAGCCTGGGTGACAGAGCAATATCCTGCCTCTTAAAAGGAAAAAGATAATGACTTTACTATTCATTATGTTGAAGTGGATCATCACAAAGGTCTTCATCCCATGGTCCTCATGCCGCTGAGAAAGGGGTTGGTCTTGCTGTCTTGGGTGGCAGAGGTGGAAGAGGTGGAAGGGGAGGCAGGAAAGGAAGAGAGGCAAGCATAAAGGATGTAACTTTAGGGAAACACATCATAATTTGACCTTTTGCCTTTTAATATCTCTCAAAATACATCAGTGCAGTATGAATCCTTCCACCGTTTGCTTTAGTTTCGGTGCTTATATCACAGAAAACTCCAGGTCATAAAAGAAGTCAGAAGCAGCCCTGAGTGATCAGAACCCCTCTCTCGGATGGTCTAATGGAAATCTGTTTTCTAGCGCTGCTGCTTCTATGTCTTCTTCCTCACTGTCTGGCACTGGTTTGGAAGCACTTCTCTCCATTAAGTTGTCTTCTGTCAGTTCCTCTGTGCAGGGTCTGTTAGCCCTTGAATTTCTGCAAGATCTGGATCCTGAAACTCTTCACCACCCACTTTTGCCCTATGATCTGTTTCATGGTTTCCTTATTTATTTTTAAAATAATACAGATGGGGTTTCACCTTGCTGTTCAGGGTAGATTTGGACTCCTGACCTCAGGTATCCACCCAAAGTGCTGGGATTACACCCGGCCTAATTTCCTTGACTGACTGTTGTAAATCCTATGAAGTCATGCACATCTGGACACAGGTTTCTCTGGCACAAATTTACCGTTTCACTGTGATGGCTTTCACAGCTTTTTACACAATGATGGCCTCTTAAATGATGTAATCCTTCCAGACTCTTCATGATGTTCTATCAGGGTTCTCTTTTTTTTTTTTTTTTGAGACGTAGTCTCACTGTCACCCAGGCTGGAGTTCAGTGGCCTGATCTAGGCTCACTGCAACCTCTGCCTCCTGGGTTCAAGCAATTCTGCCTCAGACTCCCGAGTCACTGGAGTTACAGGCGTGTGCCAACATGCCCGGCCAGGGTTCTCTTTCATAGCACTGACAGTTATTTCATAGAGTACTGTGTGTAATGAGTGTCAAAGGTTCTTAAGACTTCTAGATCTAGAGGCTGAAATAGTGACGTTGTGACACCATTGGTGTTAACTCAGAGTTCTGAGTGGCTGAGCACTGAAGAATGTTAAAAGGTGTCCCTTACTGGCATCAATGGAATTAATCCACAGAAAGGGTTCTTGTCCAGACGTTGTACAATCAAAAGATTAGCAGCTGTGTTTATCTTTTCCCGTTAAGTCTCAGGTGTTAGCAGCTTTATAGGTAAGAGTACTCCCTGCACAAAACAGGAGGATTAGCCTAGCCTTCCCTGCCTTCAATCCTGGGGCTCACTCTTCTTTACTAATAAATGCCCTTTGTGTTTTTTCCCCCTATCCCAGATGAGGGCAGTTTGTCTGCATTAAAAACCTGTCAACGCAGATCCTTTCCCTCCATGATTTTCTTAATGGCATCTGGGAACTTGTCTGCTACCTCTTGGTTGATGGAAGCTGCTTCTCCTGTTATCCTGACATTTTTAAAAGCCAAACCTCTTCCTAAAATTATCAAACCATCTTTTGCTGGCATGAAACTCTCCAGCTTTAGATCTTTCACCTTCCTTTGGCTTCAAGTTGTCATGTGATGACTTCACTTTTTCTCAAATCATATGAGAGTCTATAGGTATGCCTTCCTAACAGTAATCCTGCACCCTACAGAAAAGCTGCATTTTCTTGTCCTTTTTTTTTTTTTTGAGATGGAGTCTCACTCTGTAGCCCAGGCTGGAGTGCAGTGGCGCAATCTCGGTTCACTGCAACCTTTGCGTCCTGGGTTCAAGCAATTCTCCTGTCTCAGCCTCCCAAGTAGCTGCTACTGCAGGAGAAGGCCACCACACCTGGCTAATTTTTGTGTTTTTAGTAGAGACGGGGTTTCGCCATATTGGTCTGGCTGGTCTTGAACTCCTGACCTCAGGTGATCCACCTGCCCAGCCTCCCAAAGTGCTGGGAATACAGGGGTGAGCCACTGCGCCCAGCCAAAAGCTGCGTTTTCAATATGAGGTGAATAGGTATTTTGCAAAAAGTGCAAGGTTTTTGTACCTGTTGGTGTAGCTATAGTGATGCCTTCATGAATTCCCTCCCCCACTTTTTTTTTGAGACAGAGTCTTGCTCTGTTGCCATGCTAGAGTGCAGTGTCACAATCTCAGCTCACTGCAACCTCTGCCTCCCAGGTTCAAAAGATTCTCCCGCCTCAGCCTTCTAAGTAGCTGGGACTACAGGCATGTGACACCATGCCCAGCTAATTTTTCTATTTTAGTAGAGATGGGGTTTCACCACCTTGGCCAAGATGGTCTCAATCTCTTGACCTCGTGATCCACCTGCCTCGGCCTCCCAAAGTGCTGGGATAACAGGTGTGAGCCACCGCACCCAGCTGAATTTCCCATGTTTTAAACAATGGTTGTTGTTTTTTTGTTTGTTTGTTTTTTTTTGAGATGGAGTTTCCCTCTTGTTACCCAGGCTGGAGTGCAATGGCGCGATCTCGGCTCACCGCAACCTCTGCCTCCTGGGTTCAGGCAATTCTCCTGCCTCAGCCTCCTGAGTAGCTGGGATTATAGGCACACACCACCATGCCCAGCTAATTTTTTTTTTCTTTTTTTTGAGACGGAGTTTCACGCTTGTTACCCAGGCTGGAGTGCAATGGCGCGATCTCGGCTCACCACAACCTCCGCCTCCTGGGTTCAGGCAATTCTCCTGCCTCAGCCTCCTAAGTAGCTGGGATTACAGGCATGCGCCACCGTGCCCAGCTAATTTTTTGTATTTTTAGTAGAGATGGGGTTTCACCATGTTGACCAGGATGGTCTCGATCTCTTGACCTCGTGATCCACCCGCCTCGGCCTCCCAAAGTGCTGGGATTACAGGCTTGAGCCACTGTGCCTGGCCTAATGGTTCTTATACTGAATTCATTTATCTTGAAGTGGGAGCTGCAGATCTCTGGTACATACCAAGCAATTCAACTTTTTCATGTAATATCATGACTTTTCTCTGCTTCTTGGAAGCACTCTCCGTATCACAAGAGACACTTTGTAAATGTCCCACAGTGTTAGTCAAGGTTAATGGCAATGCACGATGAAAAATACCCAAAACATGATGAAAAATACCCAAGAACCTGAAGAGATCAATTTTTACTGCAACATGCAATTTCCTGGAGAGATGAATGAACTGCTTACACAGAGATGATTAGCGTCACATGGTGTTTGAAGCGGATACACCCCACGCTTGAGGTGGCTGTGAAATTATACAGCAGTACAGTATGTTCTGCAGTGAATTTTATGCACTTGGGATTCCGTGCTCATCTTCACGCTGGTTTACATTTCTCTCAACTGCAAGTGGTGCCACGTATAGTAAGTGTGTAAGTTTTGATGCATTTTTACTTTTGTAATAGATTTGGGTACATTTTGTGGTAGCAAATGATAAAATAGACCAGTATGTAAATATTTTATACATCATCGCTTCTTCTTACTTGTTTTGATATTTCTAGGCTACGTGGTTTATCTGCCAGTTTTGTCAAATTGTTGCAGATCTCCAAAAAATTTCCCAAAGTATTTACTGAAAAGAATCCACAAGGCTGGGGGTGGTGGCTCATGAGGTCAGATGGACTTAGCGACCAGCCTGACCAAAAAAAATACAAAAAAAGTTAGCTGGGCATGGTGGTGCATGCCTGTAATCTCAGCTACTTGGGAAGCTGAGGTAGGAGAATCGCTTGAACCTGGGAGGGGGAGGCTCTAGTGAGCTGAGATCACGCCATTATACTCCAGCGTGGGCCACAGAGTGATACTTCGTCTCATTTAAAAAAAGAATCCAGATTTTAGTGGACCCATGGAGGTCAAACTCGTGGTGTTCAAGGGTCAGCTGTGTATAAGTTTAACTCAGTCCCATCTACTTACCATTCTTCCAAATTAAAGTGAATCCCAGCTGATAGTCTTGGCGGGGCTGTTTTAGATTCTGTTCTCCAAAGCACTTGAGCAGGTTTTCAGGCACACTCTTGACGGATGAGTGCATGTGCACTGTGGCCAGGACCCTGAAGTGCTCACAGAGCAGCCTGTGCAGCACCAGCAGGGAGAGGGGAGGAGAGGCTGGGTTCGCGTTGATCACAATGTCTTTCAGTGCCCCATAATCCTGGGGAAAGACCGAGACAGTGTAGCCAGTAACAGTAATCAGAGCATGCGTCACTGTGCCGGGTGTGAGTCTAAGAGCCTAATGAGGGTTCTCTGACTCCTCCACTTCCATGAAGAAGGCACTAGCATCATCTCCATGTTATAGCCAGTAACTTATCCAAGGTCACTCGCTCAGGACGGAGTGAAGCTGGGATATGAGCTGACTCCACCCCCTTACCCCCAACAAATAAAAAGTTGACTTCACTGTCAAATAAAACAACGTTATCAGGAATGAAACTTTTTTTTTCTTTTTGAGATGGAGTCTCGCTCTGTTGCCCAGGGGCACGTGGCATGATCTCTGCTCACTGCCACCTCTGCCTCCCAGGTTCAAGCAATTCTCCTGTCTCAGCTTCCTGAGTGGCTGGGTTCAGGTTACCTGCCACCATGCCTGGATAATTTTTATTTTTTAAATTTTTAGTAGGGATGGGGTTTTACTATGTTGCGCAGGCTGTTATCGAACTCCTGGCCTCAAGTGATTCATCCATTTTGGCCTCCAAAAGTGCTGGGATTACAGATGGGAGCCATGGCACCTGGCCTAGGAATGCTAGTACTGTTTGTCCCTTTTATATGCAATGATTCCAGCTACTGAATCTTTCCAACACCTGACCACAGACAATTTGTGTTCATTAAGATGTTTCCATGAAGAACCCCTTAAGAGAAGGGGTCTTGGCTGGCTGGGTGAGGTGACTCACACCTATAATTCCAGCACTTTGGGAGGCGGAGGCAGGCAGATCACAAGGTCAGGAGATCGAGACCATCCTGGCCAACATGGTGAAACCCTCTCTACAAAATACAAAAATTAGCCAGGTGTGGTGGCAGGCGCCTATAATCCCAGCTACTCGGGAGGCTGAGGCAGGGGAATTGCTTGAACTAGGAGGCGGAGGTTGCGGTGAGCCAAGATTACGCCACTGCACTCCAGCCTGAATGAAAGGAGACTCTGTCTCAAAAAAAAAGAAGGGTCTTGGCTCAAGATCTCATTGGTGGTGAGGGGTGGGAAGATTCTAAAATACTAGGGATTAACTGAAGTGCCAGGACAGATTAGCCTTGTTTTCTCCCTCTGTGCAACCCACTTCAGTGCCAGTGGCCCATGGGTACAGAGGCCAGGCAATGGTTCAAGGCCACAGTTTGCTCTGGCATGGGGCACTACGAGAGGTCCAGGGGGTTGGGTTTGTCATAAATTCAGACCCATGCATAACAGCCTTTTTAGATAAAGACTTTATTTCTTCTATGCTTTCACTCTTGATTATGAATGCACTGATGTGAACACTCATGGCCAAACTCCTTGGCTTTCTGTCCGCTGCCTGCCATTCCTGACCCACTGGTCAGGCTTACACACATCAGGCTACACGGAATGCCTTGCAGGTCCCTGAACATATTGTATTACTTGATGCTGGGCCATCTGAGGTATCAGAATTTATCCGGAGCACCACACACTCTGAGAAGCCTCCCAGTACCCCAAGAATCCGTGGTCACGGCCGCTCGTACTCGACAACTCATCTGCTAGGCTTGGGCTCCCTGAGGGCCTGGTTTGTCTCATCTGAGTCGTCAGTGCATGCCAAGTACTGGCTGAATGAAGGAGCAGGGGAAGGAATACGTGAATGCCGAAGGTACTGAGGTTACCAAAACACCCTAGCCCTGGGAAAGACCCCACAACAATGCTTGCACTTTTTAGGTCTTTAAGTGCTATTCTATCACCAATTCTAGAGGAGGCTATTGGTAGGGATGCTTGGGACAAACCCTTTTGCACCCTAAAATAAATACCACTTTGTATGTCAGATTCTCCCCTAAATTAGCTGGAGCCTGTAAACGTCAATCATGCCAGCTGGCTGATGCAACTTACTTGTAATACAGCAAACTGAATTCAAGCAAAATGCATTTGAAATATGAGACTGTGACTGGCCTAAGCCATGCATTTCAAAACGATTGCTAGGATTTTTGTGCTTGGGCAGCCACGGTTCTTAAAGTCCGCCTACTATCAAAGAGAATCTGGGTTGCCCTGCTCAACCTCTGGGGAACACTGAGCAAACAAGCTGAGATCTGTTCTTCCAGGGCTCGGAGGCTGCTGGACCCATGCCTGGACTGGCAGAGGCTGTAACTCTTTTGACTCCTCCTCTGCCTACAGATCCTCCCTGTCCTCTAGTCCACCTAAGAAGTCAAGAGGCTTTAGAGCTTGTTCTGACTTCACTCCTGCCTTGGGAATCTGTTCTGTGCAAAGGAACACTCAATTAGAGAAGAAAAAACTTGAACATGCTTTTTGCTCTGCCTTTGGAAACTAGAAAGCCAAGGCATTAATCACAGTACCACAATTTCCCTACACTAACACCCAGCACAAACTGACATTTCAGCTTTCAAAACGAACTTACCTTCCCAAGCACTGAATTCAAGTCCAATGCATTGGTGGTTAAAGTTGTGGGCTCATCAGCTTGGATTATGTTGGTTACATCCAAGTCTGCATCTGGTGTCTGAATCATCTTGGAGAGACCATCAACTGCAGCTTTCAACTCATACAAACGTTTTAAAATATCATCTTGGCGGGACTCAAGAGCTTGCAGAGACGGGTTAGGCTCTTCCTAAAAACCAACAGCCAAATGTTCATTTCCTCTCCCATCAGACCAGTGTTGTTTAAATTTGATCATTTGCCACGCACTCACCAAGCCTCCCACCCTTTAAAAGAAGACATTATGGGCTGGGTACGGTCGTACAAGCCTGTAATCCCAGCACTTTGGGAGGCTGAGGCAGGCGGATCACGAGTTCAGGAATGGAGACCATCTGGCCAACGTGGTGAAACCCCGTTTCTACTAAAATACAATAAAAATTAGCTGGGCTAGGTGTCACGCTCTTGTAGTCCCAGCTACTTGGGAGGCTGAGGCAGGCGGATCACGAGTTCAGGAATGGAGACCATCTGGCCAACGTGGTGAAACCCCGTTTCTACTAAAATACAATAAAAATTAGCTGGGCTAGGTGTCACGCGCTTGTAGTCCCAGCTACTTGGGAGGCTGAGGCAGAGGAATCGTTTGAGCCCAGAAGGCAGAAGTTATAGTGGGCCAAGATTGCACTACTGCACTCCAGCCAGGTGACAGAGCAAGACTCTGTTTCAAAAAAAAAAATTATCAGGTGCTGACTGAAAATAAGTTTGAAAGCAAGTTGTGTGACAGGGAGGGCTACTACCTGTGTAATATTCTGTTACTTAATGGTAAGTCTTGAGTCATATTTCCAATTTCTTGTTTGTATATAAGCTTGCTAATTTCTACAAATGACAGTAGGATGTCTGCTCCAATAGGGCCAAAAATGCATCAGCTGGATTCAAGCTCAGTCAGGGCCCAGGGCAGTGGCTCACGCCTATAATCCCAGCCTTTTGGGAGGCCGAGAGGGGCAGATCACTCGAGGTCAAGGGATAGAGACCAGCCTAGCCAACATGGTGAAACCCCATCTCTACTAAAAATACAAAAATTAGCTGGGCGTGGCAGTGAGCACCTGTAATCCCAGCTACTGGAGAGGCTAAGACAGGAGAATCGCTGGAACCCAGGAGGTGGAAGTTGCAGTGAGTCGAGATCGCGCCACTGCACTACAGACTGAGCGACAGAGAGAGACTCCACCTCAAAAACAAAAACAAAAAACTCTAGGTCAGGAATGAAGAATGCCTGAAGCACTGTTTGAGTAACGTGGCTTGTGATGTAGAAGCTCTGAGTGCAGCTTGATCTAGTCCTTTGTGATCTGAGTAATAAAATGTTCAAGATCTGTTTCATGTCATTGGTGCCTTCTAATGTTGGCCTGTTGTTTTCCTTGCTGGGACTGGATTGTGATGTGGTATACTGTTTTTACCAATTTGTTTTAATTTATATGTATTTATAAGCAGCTTATTCTACATGTTGCTCTCATTTACCCTGGAAATGCTTGATTGCTTGCTTCCTTTTTTTTTGAGAGGGAGTTTCGCTCTTGTTGCCCAGGCTGGAGTGCAATGACGTGGCCTCGGCTCACTGAAACCTCTGCCTCCCAAGTGCAAGTGATTCTCCTGCCTCAGCCTCCCAAGTATCTGGGATTACAGGCATGCACCACCGCGCCCAGCTAAATTTTTATATTTTTAGCAGAGACGGGATTTCTCCATATGGGTCAGGCTGGTCTTGAACTCCTGACCTCAGATGATCTGCCTGCCTTGGCCTCCCAAAGTGCTAGGATTACAGCTGTGAGCCACTGCACCCGGGCTTTTTTTTTCGAGACAGGGTTTCACTCTGTTGCCCATGCTGGGTGCAGTGACACGATCATAGCTCAATGCAGCCCTGACCTCCTGGGCTCAAGTGATCCTCCCACCTCAGCCTCCCGAGTAGCTGGGACTATCAGCTCTTGCCGCCACACCTGGCTAATTTTTGTACTTCTTGTAAAGATGGGGTTTCACCGTGTTGCCCAGTTTGGCTTTTAAATCCTAGGTTCAAGTGATCCTCCTGCCTTGGTCTCCCAAAGTGTCGGGATTACAGGCGTGAGCCACCACACCTGGCAAAGATGTTTTACTGCTAATTATTTGTCTGTCCACATTGTTATCATCTCCTAGAGAAATTGCTAGAAAAGTGAGAACATGTCTTCTAAGTTCACAAATAAGAGCCCAAAGGAAGTTAGGCAGCAGACGACAAAACCAACCAACCAAAAAACCCTGCAAAACTTGGTCTTCAATGAGAGGAGACATTCTCCAACCTGGGTTGTCTTTCTGGTCTCATGGACTGTGTAGTTGAAGGAGTACTGGGCTTGTTTCCAAGACAGGGACCATTGAACCATGTCCGCTATTTCTGTCTAAGCTCTGTACTGAAATAACGGTTGTGTTACTGGGTTTCAAAAAAAGTCCCTTCCTCCTGATCTAGGCAGAAAGCCATTAAAGAAAACAGAAGGAAAACAAGCAGTGGGAGGCCAGGCAAGGCGGCTCACACCTGTAATCCCAGCACTTTGGGAGGCTGGGGCAGGCGGATCACCTGAGGTCGGGAGTTCAAGCCCAGCGTGGCCAACACGGAGAAACCCTGTCCCTATTAACAATATAAAATATGCAAAATTAGCAGGGCGTGGTGGTATATGCCTGTAATCCCAGCTACTCGAGAAGCTGAGGCAGGAGAATCACTTGAACCCAGGAGGCCGAGAGCCAAGACTATGCCATTGTACTACAGCCTGGGCAAGAGTGAGACTCCGTCTCCAAAAAAAAAAAAAAGCAGTGGGAAAACAGACCAGAAAAGTTACCGATTGACCCCTTTTGTGTCAGAATAGACAGACCCATTTCTCCTGCTGGAAACATGGGATGTATGTTTGCCATCAGAAAAGAGTGAAATATTTGAGCAGGTACATTACAAAAGAGAAGTCACAGCGGCCAGTGAACATGAAAAAAGGTCCTCAACTTAGAGAAGTCTGGAGAAACCCAAACTAAAACTACCTTAGAACACCACACCACGCCCACCAGCTTTGGGAAGGGTGCCGATATGACGGTCTTCTACCCTGCCGGTGAGAGCACAAACCAGTGTAACTACTTTGGAAAACAGTTTAGCAAAGTGGAAGCCAGACTGGCCACTGAGCCAGAGGTCTCATTCATTAGTACATACCCCATGCCTGCTCCTCTGTGTAAGAGTAGAAACTGCAGAATCATTCATAGCAGGTTAAAATGGCAAACAATCCAGCGTCCCCGAGCAAGTAGAATGGATAAGTATATGGTGCAGAGTCATGCGACAGAACAGTATACTATAGAGAAGATGAATACTTCCATTGTTACAATAAAATGACTCTTAAAATCATGTCTACAAAATAGAAGCCAGGGCTGGGCACCCGTGGCTTCTGTTTGTAACCCCAGGACTTTGGGAAGCTGGGGTTAGAGGATTGTTTGAGGCCAGGAGATTGAGATCACCTTGGATCTCACCTTTTATTTAGAGATGTAGTGAGACCCCCATCTCTACATTAAAAAAAAAAAAAAGCCAGACACATCAGAATATATACTGCATGCTTACCTATATTAAGACTATATTGTTTAGGGGCTGGGCGCAGTGGCTCACACCTTGGGAGGTCAAGGTGGGTGGATCACTTAAGGTCAGCCTGAAACCCATCTCTACTAAAAATACAAAAATTAGCTGGGTGCAATGGATGCCACCTGTAGTCTCAGCTACTCAGGAGGCTGAAGCAGGAGAACTGCTTGGACTTGGGAAGTGGAGGTTGCAGTGAATGGAGATCATGCCACTGTACTCCAGCCTGGGTGACAGAGTGAGACTCCATATAAAAAAAACAAAACAAAACAAAACAAAAACAGACTATATTGTTTAGGGACACATACTTAGTTGACAAAATAATAGAGACAAGCAGGACATAATTACCATAAAAATCAAGACCTCCAAGGCAAAGGTTTACGTGGAAAGAATGGAGCAGTGACATGTGTGTCAACCTGGGCCGTGGTGACCCTGGGGTTCGCTTTATAATTCCTCAAAATGAGCATTTATGTGCTGCTATTCACTTTTCAGAGGGTAGAATCTCTGAACTAAAAAGTTTAAGTAGCCATATGTGAAAAAAAGAAAAAAATAGATAGATTTTTATTTTAATTAAAACATTTAAATAATAGAGACAGAGGTCTTCCTATGTTGCTAAGGCAGATCTCAAACTCACGGGGGTCAAGCGATCCTCCCACCTCGGTCTCCGAAAGTGCTGGGATTACAGGCATGAATCAACGCGCCCGGCCTGGAGAGATCTTTTATTTATTTATTTTTGAAATGGAGTTTCGTTGTCATTGCCCAGGATGGAGTGCAGCGGCGCAATCGTGGCTCACTGCAAACCCCGCCTTCCCAGGTTCAAGGGATTCTCCTGCCTCAGCCTCCGGAGTAGCTGGGATTACAGGCGCCCGCCACCACGCCGGGCTAATTTTTGTGTTTTTAGTAGAGATGAGGTTTCACCGTGTTGGTCAGGCTGGTCTAGAACTCTTGACCTCCAGTGATCCGCCCGCCTCTGCCTCCCAAAGTGTTGGGCTTACAGGCGTGAGCCACGAAGCCCGGGCTGGATAGATCTTTAAAGGACAAAAGTTTGAGAGAGTCCCAGGCCGTCCGGCACAAAAGCCAGGTGGGGCCGCGAACCGGATGGGACGCACTTACTCAGGACTGGGGAAACTCCGGCCAGCAGCCCACCGCAGCGCGTGCGCACTGGGCAGCCCCACCCCGCGCTCCTACCTGCACGTGGCCTGCGCCGGGCGCAGAGCCGCCGGTCCTGCTGTGCAAGTTGGGGAGCCGGTACATGCAGGTGGGAAGCTCCACACGGAGAGGCGCGCCGCCCCCGTGATAGGGCTTTACCTGGTACATAGGCATTGCGGAACCAAAGCAAGAGGGGGTGGCGTTGCCAGACACCAACGTTCAGAAACCGTCTGAGGCCACGACTAAGGGTGACCACCTCCTTTCTGACCCTGCTGTGGGAGTTCGGGAAAACGCAGTCCGGGATGCTCTGATTGGCCCAGGCTCTTTGACGCCACGTACTCGACCTTTGACAGAGCCAATAGACGAGAAGGAGAGACGGGAAGTAGTTTCCTGCCCCGCCCGGAAAGGGTGGAGCACAACGTCGAAAGCAGCCAATGGAAGGCCAGGAGGCGGGGCGCTTGTGGGAGCCGTGAAGGGAACTTTCCCAGTCCCCGAGGCGGATCGGTTCTTGTTGCATCCATGGAGCGAGCTGAGGGCTCGAGGTGAGCGGGGCTCGCGGTCTCCCCTCGCGCGCGCCCTCCTTGAGACCTACGGCGTTCCAGCCTCCCTAGAAATGGGGGAACGTGGCGAGGCCGCCGTGTGGAGGCCCCGGAGCTACGTCCTTAGGGCCCCCGCCACCCGGTGCCCTTTGGGTGCGCCTTGAGGCTCGGCGAACTCCTCCCGGTTCTGGGCTGCGGGCAAGATTCTGCCCCGTGAGGAGTTGGGTTCGGTTTGTCCCAGGCAGGCCCTGCCGACTTCTCATCAGAGGACCGTGGACTTGGAGCTGGATAGTGAAATCCCCATAGACTGCATTTTCTTTCTCCCTGTTTTCTCTCCCCTTGTATTTTTATTTTATTTTATTTTATTATTATTATTATTTTTAGAGACGGGGATATGTCGCAGTGTTGCCCAGGCTGGAACTCCTGAGCTCAAGCGATCCACCCACCTCGGCCTATCAAAGTTCTGGAATTACAGGCGTGATGCACCATGCCTGGTCTTTTTTTTTTTTTTTTTTTTTTAAATTGAGGTTATTTTGGGGGAGGTGCAGCGTCCAGACTCATCCTAATTTGCATAGCCGCGCAGTTTTAAAAAATTCAGTGCCTGTTAGGGTATGTGATTTCTGGCTGGTGAGCTGCACCGAATCTTGGCTAGCACCGTTGGATTTCATGTCAGATTTGTAAACACGAATTTGCTCTCTGTATTTAAATATATTAGATATATTTATGTAACTACATTTAAATGTTTTGAGACATTTAAATAAATGTTTGGTCTGTATCTAAATGTACTCCTCCTCAGAATGAGTATCAGAAGCAGACCTGTAGCCTGTGGTGTGTTGCCAAATAAACTTATTTTTAGAGATGCTTTCCATTTTCTGTGAGGTCATCTGCAGTTTCACATGGTAGACAGACTTAGGTGAGATTCTTAGAAAGGTAGAATCAAGAGTAAAGAAGTTTGTTTATTTCACAAGGGTTTATTGAAGGTCTACGATGTGTTAGATCCTGGAGGACATACCCAGTGATTTTCCTTTCACGGAGGTTTCCTGCCTTCTCTTATCAAGTTATCAATTAAACTGTTTACTGGAAATTGCTAAATTAATGAACACACGGGATACATTCTTTGGATGAGCAGGCATTGGTTGGGCAGAGGAGGAAGAGGAGAGCAGTTTAGAGAGACCTGTTTATACACCGTGGTGTCTAAAAGCACTTATGTTCAGGAAACAGTCACTGTGCTAAAAATGTAGGGGATGGCCCCTACATTTTTTATTGTATCCCTCAAATTACAAATTACCAAAATATTTGGCAACAATGGTGTTTTCTTCCTTGAAAAATGAAAGCATGACCAGGTGTGGTGGCACATGCCTATAATCCCAACACTTTGGGAGGCTGAGGCCAGGAGTTCGAGACCAGTCTGTTCAACATGGTGAAACCCCATCTCTACTAAAAATACAATAATTAGCTGTGTGTCATGGTGGCTGCCTATAATCCCAGCTACTTGGGAAGCTGAGGCAAGAGAATCGCTTGAACCTGGGAGGTGGAGGTTGCAGTGAGCAGAGATCATGCCACTGCACTCTGGCCTGGGCAACAGAGCTAGACGCTGTCTCAAAAAAAAAAAAAAAAAAGTAAAAAAAAAAAAAAATGTAGGGGACTTGATGAAGGGAAAGGATTAGAGAGATTAGTTTTAAGCCTCGTGATGAATAGATTTTAAATTTCATATAGTAGGAAGTGGGGCACTAGTAAATTTTTAAGCAGAAAATTTATTTGACCAGATTTGTGATTTCAAAAATAGCTCTGGTGGTAGAGGATGGATTGGAGCAGGGAGTAAGGGGAGATAAAACCGTTGTAAAACTCTTAAAGCTGGTACAGCAAGATCTTTGAGGGTCTTTGCTAAAACAGCAGCTGGCAGCTTGAATTTGGAGTGGGGTATCAAAGACAACTACACAGGAATGTGTACAGGAATAGTTACATAACTGGTATGCAATTTCTGAGATGATTTTGACTCAGACATTATGTATTTCCCAGCACCCTCTCAGCATACTCTTTGTTTTTCGAATTATGTGGAAATGTTGCTTTCACTTTTTTTTTTTGGTGGAGTTTCACTCGTTGCCCAGGCTGGAGTGCAACATGCAATCTTGGCTCACTGTAATCTCGGCCTCCCAGGTTCAAGTGATTCTCCTGCCTCAGCCTCCGGAGTAGCTGGGATTACAGGCATCTACCACCACGCCTGGCTAATTTTTTGTAGTTTTAGTAGAGATGGTGTTTACCCATGTTGGCAAGGCTGGTCTCAAACTCCTGACCTCAAATGATCCACCCGCCTCAGCCTCCCAAAGTGCTGGGATTACAGGCTTGTGACACCACACCTGGTCATGCTTTCACTTTTCAAGAAAGAAGACACCATTGTTGCCAAAGGTTTTGGTAATTTGAGGGATACAATGTGTATTTTCTCCATGTGGATCCTAGTATAATTAGATAGTAAGTATCTGTTAAATTTGAAGTGTCTCTCCAGAATTATTTTGGGTACATGTTTAAGGAATGTAAAACAATGTTTCTATTTCTGGATATAATAAATGTATTTGTTGGTCAGGCCTGATGGCTCATGCCTGTAATATGAGCACTTTGGGAGGCTGAAGTGGGTGGGTCACAAGGTCAGGAGTTCAAGACCAGCCTGGCCAAGATGGTGAAACCTCATTTCTACTAAAAACTACAAAAATTAGCTGGGTGAGGTGGCAGGTGCCTGTAATCCCAGATACTCAGGAGGCTGAGGCAGGAGAATTGCTTGAACCCAGATGAGGGAGGTTGTGGTGAGCCAAGATTGCACCACTGCACTGCAGCCTGGGTGACAGAGTGAAACTCCATCTCAAAATAAATAAACAAATAATTAATAAATAAATGCATTTGTTAATATAATAAATGAATAGATTTGATCCATAAACTATTTACAGAGTTGAATCAGTTCCCACAGTTAAAATCAGGATGAAAATATATAGCTGAATACTTGCTTTGTTTCTTGTAACTGATTTCTTTAGTACAGAACCTGCTAAGGCCATCAGACCTATCGATCGGAAGTCAGTCCACCAGATTTGCTCTGGGCAGGTGGTACTGAGTCTAAGCACTGCAGTGAAGGAGTTAGTAGAAAACAGTCTGGATGCTGGTGCCACTAATATTGGTAAGTTTGGGAGCATTTTCAGCCACAAGAAATAATCAGCATATGTTGTATTCAAGAAACATTTGTTATTGAAAGAAGACAAGTATTGATGTAGTAATAAATTATTAAGTTAAAGTTAGCACCCATTATGTGCCTAGTACTTAGCTAGGTAGTAATAATAGCAGCTTTTATTGTGTTCTTATGGTGTGCCAGGCAGGTGTTTTGCTAAGAATTACCAAAAATATCTCATTTAAGCTGCGGAATAGCTCGGCGTGGTGTCTCACACCTGTAATCCTTGCTCTTTGAGAGGCCGAGGTGGAAGGATTGCTTGAAGCCAAGAGTTCAAGATCAACCTGGCCAACATAGTGAGACCTCGTCGATACTAAAAAATAAATAGAGTCAGGTCCCAGCAGCGGCTGCAGCGCTCTCTTCTTCTGCGGCTTTCCATGCCCTCTCCTTTTCGCTTCTGGAAACATGGCCTCTGGTGTGGCTATCTCTGATGGTGTCATCAAGTTGTTCAATGACATGACGGTGCGTAAGTCTTCAACGCCGGAGGAGATGAAGAAGCATAAGAAGGCTCTGCTCTTCTGCCTGAGTGAGGACAAGAAGAACATCACCCTGAAGGAAGGCAAGGAGATCCTGGTGGGCAATGTGGGCCAAACTGTCAACGACCCCTACGCCACCTTTGTCAAGATGCTGCCAGATAAGTACTGCCGCTGCGCCCTTTATGATGCAACCTATGAGACCAAGGAGAGCAAGAAGGAGGACCTGGTGTTTTATCTTCTGGGCTCCTGAGTCTGCACCCCTTAAGAGCAAAATGATCTATGCTAGCTCCAAGGACACCATAAAGAAGAAGCTGAGAGGGATCAAGCATGAATTGCAAACTGCTACGAGGAGGTCCAGGACTGCTGCACCCTGGCAGAGAAGCTGGGGGGCAGTGCTGTCATCTTCCTGGAAGGCAAGTCTTTGTGAGCCCCTTCTGGCTCTCTTCCTGGAGCATCTGGCAGCCCCATACCTGCCCTTGGGGGTTGCAGGCTGCCTCCTTCCTGTCAGACCAGAGGGGCTGGGGGGATCCCAGCAGGGGGAGGGCAATCCCTTCACCCCAGTTGCTAAACAGACCCTCCACCCCCTGGATTTTTCTCCTCCCTCCATCCCTGATGGTTCTGGCCTTCCCAAACTGCTTTTGATCTTCTGATTCTTCTTGGGTTGAAGCAGGCCAAGTTCCCCTCAGGTCCCCCAGTTGTAGGGGGAGCCTGCATTTTTTTTTTTTAACAACATCCCCAATCCCCACCTGTTCCTCCTCCTTCCCATGCTGCCAACTTCTAACCACAATAGTGACTGTGTGCTTGTCTGTTTAGTCCTGTGTATAAATGGAATGTTGTGGAGATGACCCCTCCCTGTGCCAGCTGGTTTCTCTCCCTTTTCCCCTGGTCACTGCCACTCATGGAAGCAGGACCACTAAGGGATCTTTGATTAAAAAAAAAAAAAAGACAATAAAAAGAAAATTTAAAAAAATAAAATAAAATAGGCCTGGAGTGGTGGCTTATGTCTGGAATCCCAGCAAGTTGGGAGGCCGAGGTGGGCTATTTGAGGTCAGGAGTTCGAGACTGGCCTAACCAACATAGTGAAACCATGTCTCTACGAAAAATAACAAAAATTAGCCAGGCGTGGTGGTGCATGCCTGTAATCTCAACTATTAAGGAGGCTGAGGCAGGAGAATCACTTGAACCTGGAAGTTGGAGATTGCAGTGAGCCAAGATCATGCCACTGCACTCCAGTCTGGGTGACAGAGCGAGACTACATTTCAAAAATAAATAAATAAAAAGAAAATAATACAACAAAAAAATCATTAATCTGCGGAATAACTGTGAGCTAGAAATGATCATTATCTCTGTTTTACAAATGAGGAAATTAAGGGACAGGAAATTTTCTTTTTTTTTTTCTTTTTTTTTTTTTGAGATGATAAAGCTAATCAGATAGGATCCAGGAAATCTGATTCTAGTACCTGTTCTCTTTAATGGCTTTATTAACATTATTTCTTTCAAAAGAAAATTCTGGTCCAAATGTGACGGTGTTTACAACTAATTGATCACAACCAGTTACAGATTTTTTTTATTCCTTCTCCACTGCAGCTGCTTCACTTGACTAGCCCCAGGGGGGAGAAAAAAGAGGAAAGAAAGAAAAAGCTGAACTATTTAGTCTGGGCTGGGAAATAACCAGAAAGAACTTTAAAAAAAAAATGAAATACACAAAATGACACTAGTGCGTTTAACTACAGCTATCGTTACTAACTCTTAAATTTGCATTACATGGGCCAGGCGCAGTGGCTCATGCCTGTAATCCCAACACTTTGGGAGGCTGAGGTGGGTGGATCATGAGGTCGGGAGATTGAGAACATCTTGGCCAACATGCTGAAATCCCGTCTCTACTAAAAAAAAAAAAAAAATTAGTGGGGTGTGGAGGTACATGCCTGTAGTCCCAGCTACTCGGGAAGCTGGGGCATGGGAATTGCTTGAACCTGGGAGGTGGAGGTTGCAGTAAGCTGAGATTGTGCCACTGTACTCCAGCCTGGTGACAGAGCAAGATTCCATCTCAAAAAAAAAAAAAAAATGCTCTGTATGTGATTATATCAATATAAAAACTTTTAGCATGAGTCAATCTTGAAGAAATATGTAAATATTTTAAACTTTTTAGATCTAAAGCTTAAGGACTATGGAGTGGATCTCATTGAAGTTTCAGACAATGGATGTGGGGTAGAAGAAGAAAACTTTGAAGGCTTAAGTAAGTTGACATTTTCTAATCCTATTATAAAATAATTGGGCCAGATGTCTCAGTTTTTAGTAGCACTATCTTGGAAAATGCAAAAACAGTTTTTTAAAGTCAGTTACTGTGGTAGATAGTATGTCTATTTGTTGCTATAGCACTTGAGATATCGTGGTCCTTACTTTATACTCTCTTTCAGCTCTGAAACATTACACATCGAAGATTCAGGACTTTGCTGACCTAACTCAGGTTGAAACTTTTGGCTTTCGGGGGGAAGCTCTGAGCTCACTTTGTGCACTGAGGTGATGCAATATTTTTATCCATTCACTTGACCCTTTAAAAAAAACCTCTCTGAAAAGTAATTAGAATCATTACTGTTTACAGTTCTATGTCTCAGTGTCTCAGCTTCTAACTTCTGAATTCTGTTTTGTCTCACTGCTGATCTAAGTCATAATACTTCTGAAATTCAGCAATAAATGAATGAAATGAAGCAAATAGTATTGTAAAAAAAGTTTTCCTTTATTAAAGCAGTAACTTCTCAATTTTAACATAACATACAGATAATAAATGATAGTTACATTGGTTTTCATTATCAACTTTTGGGGAAACATTTCACCAAAGCACTGTATAATTATATCATAGATTCTAAATTTTTGTAAATAATTACATATATATATATATTTCTTTTTTTGACAGAGTCTCACTCTCGCCCAGGCTGGAGTGCAGTGGTAGTCTCAGCTCACTGCAGTCTCTGCTTCCCAGGTTCAAGTGGTTCTTGTGCCTCAGCCTCCTGAGGAGCTGAGACTATAGATGTGCACCATCACGCCTGGCTAATTTTTGTATTTTTAGTAGAGATGGGGTTTCACCATGTTGGCTAGGCTGGTCTTGAAATCCTGGCCTCAAGTGATCTGCCCACCTCGGCCTCCCAAAGGGATGGGATTACAGGCATGAGCCACCACACACTGCCCTACATATACATTTTAATTATAATATCTTTTGGAGGGCCGGGCACGGTGGCTCAAGCCTGTAATCCCAGCACTTTGGGAGGCCAAGGTGGGTGGATCACAAGGTCGAGAGATCAAGACCATTCTGGTCAATATGGTGAAACCCCATCTCTACTAAAAATACAAAAAATTAGCTGGGCACGGTGGCACATGCCTGTAATCCCAGCTACACAGGAGGCTGAGGCAGGAGAATTGCCTGAACCCAGGAGGCGGAGGTTGTGGTGAGCCGAGATTGCGCCATTGCACTCCAGCCTGGCCAACAAGAGCAAAACTCTGTCTCAAAAAAAAAAAAATAATAATAATAATAATATCTTTTGGATTCTTTTTAAAAATTTTTGTTCCAAGAGTAGTAACAAAATAGAAATCTCTATTTGTGAATAAATAAATCTTGAGATCATTTATTGTTTTGCAGTTCAAGCTGAAAAACGAAATCAAAACTTTTATCAAAACAAAGCATGTTTAGCCCTCTCTGTCTCACTCTTTTAGATGCCAAATCTTAGGTTTTATGATGACTCCTCAACTGTTTAGATCTTGATTATCTCAGGGGGATCATCAGCTTTTTTATTTTTCTTTCTTTATTTTTGTGAGATGGAGTCTTGGTCTGTTGCCTAGGCTGGAGTGCAATGGCGCAATCTCAGTTCACTGCAACTCCCACCCACCCCCCGAGTTCCAAGTTCAAGCAATTCTCCTGCCTCTGCCTCCTGAGTAGCTGGCATTACAGATTTGTGCCACCATGCCTGGCTAATTTTTGTATTTTTAGTAGATTTTACCATGTTGGCCAGGCTGGTCTCGAACTCCTGACCTCAGGTGATCCACCCACCTCGAGGATCATCAGCTTTTTAAGAAAGTTTTGAAAGAAAAGCAAGTGAAGAAAAGAGTAGTCACTGTCCAGCATCATGGGTCTCTAACTGAACCCAACGTCCCTGGTATTCCTCTCACAGCGATGTCACCATTTCTACCTGCCATGCATCGGTGAAGGTTGGGACTCGACTGGTGTTTGATCACAGTGGGAAAATCATCCAGAAAACTCCCTATCCCCGCCCCAAAGGGACAACAGTCAGCGTGCAGCAGTTATTTTATACACTACCTGTGCGCCATAAGGAATTTCAAAGGAATATTAAGAAGGTACAGTAAATTAATCCTGGTTTTCAAGAGTATTGGTTACTATACATGAGCAAAAGACTTACTAAAGATGTTTATTCTTCAGTTGATTCTCTTCTCATAATTTGTTGAAAAATGCTTTATTTTCATCTTTCCATTAAAGCCTTAACTTTAGGATGATTTACATTTTTCCTTTTCATCACATAGTGTTGATTAAGCCTGGGCAACACAGTGAGTCCCTGTCTCTATGAAAAAAAATTTTTTTTTCTTTTGAGATGGAGTTTCACTCTTGTTACCCAGGCTGGAGTGCAATGGTGTGATCTCGGCTCACCGCAACCTCTGCCTCCTGGGTTCAGGCAATTCTCCTGCCTCAGCCTCCTGAGTAGCTGGGATTACAGGCACGCGCCACCATGCCCAGCTAATTTTTTGTATTTTTAGTAGAGACGGGGTCTCTGTAATCCCAGCACGTTAAGGAGGCCGAGGCGGGTGGATCACGAGGTCAAGAGATTGAAAAATTTTTTAAAGACCTGGTGCGGTGTCTCACACCTGTAATCCCAGCACTTTGGAAGGCTGAGGCAGGTGGATCATGAGGTCAGGAGTTTGAGATCATCCTGGCCAATGTTGTAAAACCCTGCCTCTACAAATATATAAAAAAATTAGCCAGGCGTGGTGCCCTGTGCCTGTAGTCCCAGCTACTCGGGAGGCTGAGGCAGGGAATTGCTTGAACCTAGGAGGGAGAGGTTGCAGTGAGCAGAGATCATGCCACCGTACTCCAGCCTGGTGACAGAGCAAGGCTCTGTCTCAAAAAAACAAAAAATAAAAATAAAAATTTTACTGGGCGTGGTGGCATCTATCTGTAGTTCCAGCTACTTGGGAAGCTGAAGTGGGAGGATCACTTGAGCCCAGAAACTCAAGGCTGCAGTGAACTATGATGTCACCTCTGCACTCCAGACTGGGAGACAGAGTGGTACCCTGTCTGGAAAAAGTATATATATATACATATATATTTATTTATTTTATATTAGAGACAGAATCTCTCTTTGTTCCCCAGGATGGAGTGCAGTGGCGGGATCTCTTTTCACTGCAACCTCTGCCTCCCAGGTTCAGGCGATCCTCCTGCCTCAGCCTCCCGAGTAGCTGGGATTACAGGCATGTGCCACCACGCCTGGCTAATTTTTGTATTTTTAGTAGAGATGAGGTTTCCCCATGTTGTCCAGGCTGGCCAGGCTGGTCTTGAACTGCTGACCTCAGGTGATCCGCCCACCTCAGCCTCCCAAAGTGCTAGGATTACAGGTGTGAGTCACTGCGCCTGGCCTTACATACTTTTATTTTAATAAGAATATTTTTCTTGATTTTCTGAGAAGTGAGTTATTGTAACCCTTATGAATTTGAATGCAAATGAAACAGCTAAATGTATAATTGTTATCTTTAAAAAGCAGATTTAAAAACTGTATTATATGATTACAGTTTTATAAAAACAAAACAACAGGCCCAAATGTGTATAGTATGAAGGCTGGAAGAGTCAACACTTTCATGTTCTCAGTGGTTATCCTTGCATGTGAGATCTCATGTACTTTTTGCTGTCTTCTTTTTGCTTTTTCATTTTGTGCTTGTATTTTTTTATAATCTAAAAGGTTACCGAAACATATGCCTCTTAAAATTTTTTTTACTTGTAAAGCAGTTGGTGCTAATTTTAACTTTTTTTTTTTAGACGGAGCCTTCTCACTCTGTCCTTCAGGCTGGAGTGCAGTGGTGCAATCTTGGCTCACTGCAATCTATGCCTCCCAGGTTCAAGTGATTCTCCTGCTTCAGCCCTCCAAGTAGCTGGGATTACAGGTGCCTGCCACCACACCCAGCTAATTTTTGTATTTTTAGTAGAGACGGGGGTTTCCAGATGTTGGCCAGGCTGGTCTTGAACCCCTGACCTTAAGTGATCCGCCTGCCTCAGCCTCCCAAAGTGGTGGGATTACAGGCATGAGCCACTGCGCCTGGCTGTTAATTTTAACTTTATTACATTTTTTCAAAATTTTTAATTTTCAAAATAGAACTTACCTTTTTTTGTATCTTATGGTAAAAAAAATTAGTGCCTTAGCAAAATATAGAAATGTAGAACTTTTTGTCAGAGATAACCATCATTTACAGTTTGTATATCTGTTCAGACTCCTTTTAAATTCATGTGTTTATAACTGTTGGAATAATTTTCAAGATAAATTCATAAATTAATGTAATGAAAGCAAGTAATGTAGAATGTACAGCATGCAAGTAATACAGAATTGTATGTGGTCGAAAATTTTTTTTATTTAAATTTTTATTTTTTTTTTGAGTCAGAGTTTTGTACTTGTTGCCCAGGCTGCCACCTCTACTTCCCAAGTTCAAGTGATTCTTCTGTGTCAGCCTCCCCAGTAGCTGGGATTACAGGCATGTGCTACCATGCCCGGCTAATTTTGTATTTTTAGTAGAGACAGGGTTTCTGCATGATGGTCAGGCTGGTCCCGAACTCCCAACCTCAGGTGATCTGCTCACCTCGGCCTCCCAAAGTGCTGGGATTACAGGCATGAGCTACTGCGCCCAGCTGTTTTTTGTTTTTGTTTTGTTTTGTTTGTTTTAATTGAGATAGGGTCTTGCTTTTTCACCCAGGCTGGAATGTACTGGCACAATCTCAGCTTACTGCAGCCTTGATCTCCCAGGCTCAGTGGATCCTCCCACCTCAGCCTGCCAAGTAGCTGAGACTCCAAGCCCGTGCTACCATGCCTGGCCAATTTTTGTATTTTTTTGTAGAAATGGGTCCTTCTGTGTTTCCTAGGCTGGTCTCAAACTCCCGGGCTCAAGCCACCCTCCCACTTCAGCCTCCCAAAGTGCTGGGATTATAGCCGTGAACCATCATGCCTGGTCCTGTAACTGACTTCTACTTAGCATATTGTGATTGTCTTTTTCAGTCAGTGCACACTGCCTTATTTTTTGTCATTCTGCTGCGATATGGGTATACCATAGTTAATTAACTCCTTGATGATGCTTGTTTTGGTTGTTTCTGATTTTTCATAGAGATTGATTCAGTGAACATTTTTGTATCTCTACACCAAAATGCTTGTGCTAGTCTTTCTATTATACAAAGACAGAATTCAAAAGGAGAGATTATAAAATCAAACAGAATGTATGTTTCAGTTTTTTAATTTTCATTTTTAGAGTTAGGGACTTGTTCTGTCACCCAAGCTGGAGCACAGTGATGTGATCATGGCTCACTGCAGCCTCAAAACTCCTGGGCTCAAGTGATCCTCCTACCTCAGCCTCCTGAGTAGCTGTGACTACAGGCAGGCACCGCCATGCCTGGCTAGTTTTTTTTTTAATTTTTTGTAGAGACAGGGTCTTGCTGTGTTGCCCAGGCTGATCTTGAACCCTGGTCTCAAGCAGTTCTCCTGCCCTCAGCCTGAGCGGCTGAGATTACAAGCTGTATTTTTCAGTAGTTTTACCAGGACGTATAGCACATTGGCAAGTTAGAGGATTGAGACCAGGAGGCAAAAGCTCTGCATTGCTTTCCATAGAATGTAGGAAGATACCTCTTTGCAGATCATTCGGTGAATGGTACTTCCCTTCATTTGTGAGATGTTGTGAGAACCTTGCTTTGGATGTTATAACTTGAACTGTGTAATTCCTGTAATATGAAAGTAATGTAGAATATTGTGTTTGTGTTTTTTAAACAGGAGTATGCCAAAATGGTCCAGGTCTTGCATGCATACTGTATAATTTCATCAGGCATCCGTGTCAGTTGCACCAATCAGCTTGGACAAGGAAAACGACAGCCTGTGGTATGCACAGGTGGAAGCCCCAGCATAAAGGAAAATATCGGCTCTGTGTTTGGGCAGAAGCAGGTAGTGATGGCCGTTTACTTAAACATTTCTTACTGCTCTAGTGATTAGGGTGGGTTTCCATTATCCTTTCCAGTAGAATGGAGAATAAAATCTAAGAATTGATTTTTTTTTTTTTTTTTTTGTGATGGATTCTTGCTCTGTTGACTAGACCGGAGTGTAGTGGCTCCATCTTGGCTCACTGCAAACTCTGCCTCCCAGTTTGAAGTGATTCTCCTGCCTCAGCCTCCTGAGTAGCTGGGATTACAGGCACGTGCCACCAGGCCCACCTAATTTTTTGTATTTTTTTGTAGAGATGGGGTTTTACCATGTTGGCCAGGCTGGTCTCAAACTCCTCACCTCAAATGATCACCTGCCTTGGCCTCCCAAAATGCTGGGATTATAGGCATGACCCATTGCACCTAAACTAAGAATCCGTTTTTAAAGTACCTATCACAAAAATTAATGTTCGAAAGCTGAAAGTTTTCATTCTTCCAGAGACACTCACATACTGCATCTTTTCACTCTCTCTGAAAAAATATAAATTATTGTGGGCAATGTGTGGGTTATGCATAAGGAGGTACTTGTTTCATCTTTCTCATGTCGTAAAATCAAAAGTGGTGTCCTGATGGCTCACACATGTAATCCCAGTACTTGGGAGAAGACACTGCTGGGATTATGTGTTTGAACCACTGGGCCAACAATTTTGAGGTGGAGAATTGCTTGAGCCCAGGAATTTAAGACCAGCCTGTATAACAAGGCAAGACCCCATCTCTACAAAAATAAAAATTAAAAACATTAGCTAGGTATGGTGGTGTGCACCTGTAGTCCCAGCTACTCACTCGATAGGCTGAGGCAGGAGGATTGCTCGAACCCAGGAGTTTGACACTGCAGTGAGCTGTGATTGAGCCACTGCACTCCAACCTGGGCAAGAGAGAGAGACCCTGTCTCAAATCAAAACAAAAAAAAAGATTCCTTGAATTTTTTTTGCGCTTGTAAGGTGGGTAGCTTGATAAGGAAGGAAAACAAGTAAGTTCAGTCTGTCTTTATAGGAAGTAACTGTGAATTTTTTTTCTTTTTAGTTGCAAAGCCTCATTCCTTTTGTTCAGCTGCCCCCTAGTGACTCCGTGTGTGAAGAGTACGGTTTGAGCTGTTCCGATGCTCTGCATAATCTGTTTTAGTAAGTAGATTGATTGCTGGCAAGAGAACTACAATTGAACGTTTTATCTTGAGTTGGTTTTTTTTTTAAGATAGTGATTTTAGGAGTAATTGTTTCTTTTTCTTTTTTTTTTAATAATTGTACTTTATGTTCTGGGGTTCTTTTTTTTTTTTTTTTTTTTTTTAAGAGATGAAGCCTTGCTCTGCTGCCCAGGCTGGAGTGCAATGGCACAATCTTGGCTCGCTGCAACCTCTGCCTCCCCAGTTCAAGCATTTCTCCTGCCTCAGTCCCTGAGTAGCTGGGATTAAAAGCATGCACCACCACGCCTGGCTAATTTTGTATTTTTAGTAGAGATGGGGTTTTACCATGTTGGCCAGGCTGGTCTTGAACTCCTGACCTCAGATGATCTGCTCACCTTGGTGTCCCAAAGTGCTGGGATTATAGACATGAGCCATCATGTCTGGCCAGGGCTAGTAATTGTTTATGTCTTTTATAAAACTGTGAGCAGTGCTATTGCTAAGAAAGATGATTTATACAAAGGACTCAGTTACTTAATTCACCATGTTTTGGGTAACTGGTACATTTCAGGTGGTTTCCTGTTGAGTTAGTCTTCTTTAAGGCTCTGTTTAGTTAGACTAGCTTTTAAATTGTTTTATAATTTTAAATGATTTTGACTTTTCTGGCATCTAGTGAGGCAGTTCAGCATCATTACTTTTAGTATAAGAAAATAGACACTTCCATAAATAGGATTGGTCCTGTAAAGATCTGTATTTCTTCTTTCTTTTCTTTATTTTGAGACAGTGTCTCGCTCTATTGCCCAGGCTAGAGTGCAGTGGCATGTGATGTTGGTTCACTGCAACCTCCACCTCCTGGGTTTAAGCGATTCTCCTGCCTCAGCCTCCAGAGTAGCTGGGATTACAGGTGTGCACACCATACCTGGCTAATTTTTTTTTTGTATTTTTAGTGGAGATGAGGTTTTACCATGTTGCCCAGGCTGGTCTCAAACTCCTTACCTCAGGTGATCTGCCTGCCTCAGCTTCCCAAAGTGCTGGAATTACAGGGATGAACCACTGTGCCCAGCCTAAGATCTCTTTGTTTTTTTTTTTGTTTTGTTTTTAGATCTATGTTTCTTATTCTTCCACCACTTGCTTTTGGCTTATGGCTGAAATTGTAAACATGGAGCTTTATGTCTTTATGCGAAGGTAGTGTTCTTCTGGAAATGCCAGTATCCCTGGGGTGGATCTCATGTGAAACAAGCACTTTACCAAGACAGGAGATACAAGTTTTTTATCCAGGAGATTTCGAAAGGGGAGGGAGTATGGGCAAAATCCTGAGCACAGGTGGTTAGACTTCACTGATAAACCGGGTTGGCAGTATCGGGGTTCTGAGAATGCATCTGAATGAGACCCACTCTTATGGGGCCAACGATTTATCAGGAAGGTGATAAGAGAGCTGCAACACATCATTTGGACCCACTGCATCACCTGTGGTGCATTGGTTGACTGTAGGTTCTAGAGCGTTACAGAAGGTCTGGTTCTTTGATGATGCATAAAGATTTGGAGTGTAGGTACCCATGAACTGCAATAGTGATACTTATCAGCATGTCACCTGGTGTTTTGTTTTCGTTTCACTTTAAGAATGTGCCATGTGATTGTATTTCTAATTCTTTTCACTCTGGAATCCTGCCCTTACTGTATTACTATTGAATAGCATCTCAGGTTTCATTTCACAATGCGCACATGGAGTTGGAAGGAGTTCAACAGACCGACAGTTTTTCTTTATCAATCGGCGGCCTTGTGACCCAGCAAAGGTATTTAAAAGTTTTTTGTATTCTGTGATTCTTTATGCCTTTGACTTTTCATTGACAACTTTTTTTTCTGATATAGGCAGTTTACATGGAATTTGGGACTTTGAGAAATGTGGCTGTAACATTACCTTATTTTGGGCATTTACAGAAGTCTACTACAGATGGTCCCCAACTTAAGTAGTTTCAACAGAAGATTTTTCTGACCGGGCACAGTGGCTCATGCCTGTAATCCCAGCACTTTGGGAGGTTTAGGCGAGTGGATTGCTTGAGGCTGGAAGCTCAAGACTAGCCTGGCCAACATGATGAAATCCTGTTTCTACTAAAATACAAAAAAAAAAAAAAATAGCCGGTGTGGTAGCTTACGCCTGTAATCCCAGCTACTTGGGAGGTTGAGGCAGGAGGATCGCTTGTACCTGGCAGGTGGAGGTTACTGTGAGTCGACATTGCACTCCAGCCTGGGTTACAGAGCGAGACTCTTGTCTCAAAAAAAAAAAAAAAAAAAAAAGATTTTTCTACCACTTTACCATACTGTGCAAGTTATTCGTGCAATAGATACCATACTATAAGTACTGTGTAACCACTGTTTTTCAGTATAGTATTCAATAAATTACAGAAGATATTCAACATTTTATTATGAAATAGGTGTTTTATTTTGCCTACCTATAGACTAATATAAGTATTCTGAGGCAAGGCTAAGATAGGACATTCGGTAGGTTAGGTTATCACAAATGCATTTTTGACATAGAATATTTTCAGTTTATGGGTTTATCAGCACATAACCCTATCATAAGTCAAGGAGCATTTATCTGTGTACACTTTTAAAAATTTCATATATGTATGTTCTTATGTGTATATATACATTATATTGTGTTGTTTTTATATATACATAGGCACATATTAATTACCAGTGTATTTATTATTCTAAAAACTATAGTTATTTGAAGAAATTAAATATTTTATAACATTCCATGTCATCTTTTAGTATAGACTGATTACATGGTTTCTATATTTTCTATGGGTTTCTGTATTTTCTCTTTCTTCTTTCTACTTTCCTAGGAAAATAAGGACTTAGATTAGTTCTGCCTCAAATTTAAACTGATCATTTTGATTTCTTACATGGGTTTTTTCGAGTTTGCAGCTTAGCAACACAACATTGTACATCAGTAATATTTCCTGGTTTTCTTTTTTTTTTTCTGAGATGGAGTCTTACTCTGTCACCCAGGCTGGAGTGTAGTGGCGTGATCTTGGCTGTCTGCAACCTCTGCCTCCCAGGTTCAAGTGATTCTCCTGTCTCAGCCTCCTGAGTAGCTGGGACTACAGGCATGAACCACCATGCCCTGCTAATTTTTGTATTTTTTTTTTTTTTTTTTTTTGAGACGGAGTTTCGCTCTTGTTACCCAGGCTGGAAGTGCAATGGCACGATCTCGGCTCACTGCAACCTCCGCCTCCTGGGTTCAGGCAATTCTCCTGCCTCAGCCTCCTGAGTAGCTGGGATTACAGGCACACGCCACCATGCCCAGCTAATTTTTTGTATTTTTAGTAGAGACGGGGTTTCACTGTGTTGGCCAGGCTGATCTTGAACTTCTGACCTCGTGATCCACTCGCCTTAGCCTACCAAAGTGCTGGGATTACAGATGTGAGCCACCATGCCTGGCCTATTTTCTGTTTTTCAATGAGAGTTTAGAGTTCACTTGTAATCTGCCAGATGTGGTTCAATTTCTAAATTTTGTAACCTATATTATGATTTATTAATAATTGTTAATTATAACAATGTGATATTTTGGTTTATTTTTAATGACATATGTCATAAATATGTTTCTATGTACATTGAATGTGTTTTATGAACATTTAAGCTGTGCGTGCATTTCACTAAAATTTCTTGTAGAGCGACTTTAGGTTGGAAAAAGATTTAGTTTTAGGAATCCATGATTAGAAATATCACTTTGAGGGGTGTGAGGAAACTTTTGGTGATGGATATATTCATTATCTTGATTGTGTGGATAGTTTCACAGATGTTTGTGTATATATGTCAAAACTTATTAAATTGCACACTTTAAATATGTATAGTTTATTCCATGTCAGTCATAGCTCAGTAAAAGCTGTTAAAAAATGTATCCTAGCCACACATAGTGGCTCATGCCTACAATCAAATACCAGCGCTTTGAGAGGCTGAGGCAGGTAGATCACCTGAGATTGGGAGTTTGAGACTAGCCTGACCAGTATGGAGAAACCCTTTCTTTACCAAAAATACAAAATTAGCCAGATGTGGTGGCGCTTGCCTGTAATCCCAGCTACTCCGGAGGCTGAGGCAAGAGAATTGCTTGAACCTGGGAGGTAGAGGTTGCAATGAGCTCAGATCGCGCCATTGCACTCCATCCAGCCTGGGCAACAAGAGTGAAACTCCATCTCAAAAAAAAAAAAAAAAAAAGAAAAGTATCCTTAGGCCAGACACGGTGGCTCATCCCTGTGATCCTAACACGTTGCGAGGCTGAGGTGGGTGGATCAACTGAGGTCAGGAATTCAAGACCAGCCTGACCAATGTAGTGAAACCCTGTCTCTGTCTCTACTAAAAATACAAAAATTAGCCGGTCATGGTGGTGTGTGCCTGTAATTCCAGCTACTCTGGAGGCTGAGGCAGGAGGATCACTTGAGCCTAGGAAGTGAGGCTGCAGTGAGCCGTGATTGCTCCACTGTACTCCAGCCTGTGATAAGGCGAGACCTTGTCTCCAAAGAAAGGAAAAGTATCCCTAAGAACATGCTGGTTGGTTAGAATAGCATGTTGTTAGGATGTTGGGGGCTGGGAACATTTCTCGTTTATTCTTTTCTATTCTTTGTATTTTGTGCAGGTCTCCAGACTTGTGAATGAGGTCTACCACATGTATAATCGAAATCAGTATCCATTTGTTGTTCTTAACATTTCTGTTGATGCAGGTAAGTTCCACTGGCATTTCAGTACAACTGGTGACTAATGCCTCAAAGAAGAAAATGAAATTATAAAGCTCTGCTATGATTGGAATGAAATAACAATTTATGGCCATGTAATTTTTTTTTTTTTTTTTTTGAGATGGAGTCTTGCACGGCCCCCTAGGCTGGAGTGCAGTGGCATGAATCTCAGCTCACTGCAACCTCTGCCTCCCGGGTTCAAGTGATTCCTCTGCCTCATCCTCCTGAGTAGCTGGGATTTCAGGCACTCGCCACCATGCCCAGCTAATTTCTTGTATTTTGAGTAGAGATAGGGTTTCACCATGTTGGCCATGCTGGTCTGAAACTCCTGACCTGGTGATTCGTCCGCCTCAGCCTCCCAAAGTGCTAGGATTACAGGCATGAGCCACTGTGCCCAGCTGCAATTTTATTTTTTTAAACAGAGTTCCTACTTTCTACTTAAAACTATGTTAATTGTAATATTGGGACAATGTAACTTTTTTTATGTCAACCAAGGGAGAAAGTAGACTAAATGTCCTTCCCAATTTCAGAAATAATTCATTTCATATAGAATTTTCTGATTGTTGAAATTCTGGTTTACTGACATTCAGTATTTTTTCTAGGTACTTAGAAATACATCTGCACATACCCTAAGAAATACCTTCTCTCCTCTCTCTCTCCCCACCACTCTCATATTCTTCGAGATGAGGAAATAATTTTGTATTCTGCTCTTTGTCCTTAGATGTGAATGTTTTCTTTTCCATGTTTTTAAAAATTAATCAGAAATGTGATTTTAATAGGTGAATTATATTCTAATGCATGGTTATACTTTGGTATTTTAATTTTTAAAAATATAAGTTGTTTTTAGTTTTTGGAAATTACAAATACTGTTCATATAATTAAATCATTATTTACATCTTTATTTCTTTAATTTTTTAATTTTCAAAATTTTTAGACAGAGTCTTTCTCTGTTTCCCAGGCTGGAGTGCAGTGGTATAATCTCAGCTCACTGCAACCTCTGCCTCCTGGGTTCAAGTGACTTTCCCATCTCAGCCTCCTGAGTAGTAGGGATTACAGGTGCCTGCCTCCATGCCCAGCTAATTTTTTGTATTTTTAGTAGAGATGGAGTTTGCCATTACGGCCAGGCTTGTCTCAAACTGCTGACCTTAACTGATCTGTTTGCCTCAGCCTCCCAGAGTGCTGGATTATAGGCGTGAGCCAGCTTGCTCAGCCCACATCTTCAATTATTCTTAAGATAAATTGCTAGAAGTAGAATAACTAGGTCAGTGAATATGACAATTTTAAGGCTTTTTTTTTTTTTTGAGGTGGAGTCTCGGTCTGTTGCCCAGGCTGGAGTGCAGTGGCACGATCTCGGCTCACTGCAACCTCTGCCTCCTGGGTTTAAGCGATATTCCTGCCTCAGCCTCCCAAGTAGCTGGGACTTCAGGTGAATGCCACCAAGCCCAGTTAATTTTTTGAATTTTTAGTAGAGTTAGGGTTTTGCCTTGTTAGCCAGGATGGTCTCAATCTCCTGACCTCAGGTAATCCGCCTGCCTCAGCCTCCAAAAGTGCTGGGATTACAGTCATGAACCACGGCGACCCGCCCAAGACTTTTCTGTATTGTATTCTAGACTTACCAATTTACACGCCTACCAACAATGTACTAGGAATATAGTTGTTAAGCTAAATTCAATAGGGGATAGAATATCTTACTTTAGTTTGCATATTTAAAATTATTTTTATGTGTTTGTTTGCTTTTCTTTCTCCAATTTACCTATTCAAGCCCTTCTATATTTTGTCTGTTGAAAAATTATCTTTTCCTCATTTATTTGAAAAAGCTGATTTTATAACTTAGGATTCTTAATCTGGACACTGTAATATTTTTAATAGTACTTTTGATATATACAAGTGAATGAAATAATAGATGGGGAAATATCTATTGTTAAAAGTGAATTTGGCTGGGCGCAGTGGCTCATGCCTGTAATCCTAGCACTTTGGGAGGCCAAGGCAGGGGGATCACTTGAGGTCAGGAGTTTGAGACCGGCCTGGCATGATGAAACCCCGGTCTCTATTAAAAAATACAGAAATTAGCCAGCATGGTGGCACGTGCCTGTAATCCTAGCTACTTTGGAGGCTGAGGCAGGAGAATCACTTGAACCCAGGAGGCAGAGATTGCAGTGAGCTGAGATCATGCCACTGCACTCCATCCTGGGCAACAGAGTGAGACTCTGTCTGAAAAAAATGAAAGTGAATATAAACATAATAAATGCATTTTCTTTTTTTCCTTAGAATGTGTTGATATCAATGTTACTCCAGATAAAAGGCAAATTTTACTACAAGAGGAAAAGCTTTTGTTGGCAGTTTTAAAGACCTCTTTGATAGGAATGTTTGATAGTGATGTCAACAAGCTGAATGTCAGTCAGCAGCCACTGTTGGATATTGGAGGTAAGAAAAGTACTGTGTATAGCCAGCTTCTAAAGCTTTTAGCTAATGTGTTTCCTTATTTTTTTCCAAGGTAAACTTTTTTTTTTGAGATGGAATTTCGCTCTTGTTGCCCAGGCTGGAGTGCAATGGCACAATCTTGGCTCACTGCAACCTCCGCCTCCCAGGTTGAAGCGATTCTCCTGCCTCAGCCTCCCAAGTAGCTGGGATTACAGGCATGCGCCACCACAGCTGGCTCATTTTGTATTTTTAGTAGAGATGTGGTTTCTCCATGTTAGTCAGGCTGGTCTCGAACTCTCAACCTCAGGTGATCTGCCCACCTCGGCCTCCCACAGTGCTGGGATTACAGGCATGAGCCACCACACCCAACCCATAAACTTTTTTTGATGTGAAACAAAGTCTCTTATATTGCCATTTTTTAATGTTTTTATTGAGACAGAGACTTGCTCTGTCGCCCAGGCTGGACTGCAGTGACGCCATCATAGTTCACTGTAGCATCAAATTCCTGGGCTCAAGCCACCTTCCTGCCTCAGCCTCCCAAGCTGGGACTACAGGCACGTGTCACCATACCTGGCTAATTTTTAAAATTGTTTATAGAGACAGGGTCTCACTTTGTTGCCCAGGCTGGTCTCAAAGTCCTGGGCTCAAGTAGTCCTCCTGCCTCAGCCTTGTAAAGTGCTGGAAATACAGATGTGAGCCACTATGACTAGCAAGTCTCCTGTTTTAGGTAGAGGTTGTGTCATACTAGAAGGTATGTAGCTGCAGATTTAAGGTCATCAGTTTATAAAGAGGCATGAACACACAGAGGAATATGTAGTAATATCTTTTTTTTGGCCATAATGGTAGCTTCAGTTTTTGTCAATTGTAAACAGATGATGTAATATAAGATGTATGATTAGAAGAGTCTACAGTGACTGCATTTTAACTCCCTTGTCATGTTTTTCTTTCTTTTTTTTTTGAGACAAATGTCATATGCCAATACCTGTGCCGTCACTCTCATTGCCACCTACTTGACAGCTGTCTGTGTAGCCGCGTTATCTTCTTCTCTCAGATAGGATGACCCCGATTCATAACCCTTATTATTATTAACGAAAATAATCCATTCCTAGTTAACTCAGTTAACCACCTAGCGATCGGTAGCATCTTTGCTGAATTTCTCATTACCAACAGTATTATTCCTGCTTCACCCCCTCAAACAACTATGCCACTCCATCCTAAACTCACAGCCCTAGGTGTAACCGTCTTGGGCCTCTTGCTAGCGATAGAGCTTAATCTTATAACTAATAACCTCAAACTTAAACACCCATTATACATATTCAACTTCTCTAACATACTAGTTTTTATCCAGCCATAACCCACCGTTCCACCCCCCTGACTCAAGCTTATCCACAAATCAAAATATGGCTTCACTTCTACTAGACCTAATTCGATTAGAAAAGTCTATACCAAAAATGATTTCACAAACCCAAATTTCAGCCTCCATCACCGCATCTACTCAAAAAGGCTTAGACTTTATTTCCTCTCTTTTTTTATTCCACCTATTTTAACTTTACTATTGATTATCTAACCTGTTACCCTGAGTAATTTCAATTGCAACATAAATACTTACAAATAATGGTCAACCAGTAACCACCACTCATCAACATCCATAACTATATAAAGCAGCCACACCTACAGAATCCTCATGTAATAATCCCTCTCCTCCCCCTCAAAAATTATTCAGCTCCCCACGCTATTAATCATGATTACTACCCTGTTGTATTCAACTATCCACCAAGCCAACACTAGTTCCATTAATAATCCTAATAATAAAGCCCCTCAAATGTCAATACTTGACCCTCATGTTTCAGGATATTCTTCAATAGCCATTGCTGCAATATAATCAAAACCAATCATCATACCACGCAGATAATCAAACAGACCATTAACCCCACAAAAGCCCCACCAAAATTCAACACAATACCACAACGCACAGCACCACTAATAATTAACCCTAGACCTCCATAAATAGGAGAAGGCTTTGAAGAAAAACCTGCAAATCCTATAACCAAGAGAATACACAATAAAACCATAGCATATGTCATTATTCCCACATGGACTATAACCATGACTAATGATATAAAAAACCATTGTTGTATTTCAACTGTTAGGATACTGATGACCAATACCCACAAAACATACCCATTAGCAAAAAATATGAACCACTTTTTTACTGATCTTGCCACGCCATCTAACATTTCTTTTTTTTTTTTTTGAGACGGAGTTTCGCTCTTGTTACCCAGGCTGGAGTGCAATGGCGCAATCTCGGCTCACAGCAACCTCCGCCTCCTGGGTTCAGGCAATTCTCCTGCTTCAGCCTCCCAAGTAGCTGGGATTACAGGCATGCGCCACCATGCACAGCTAATTTTTTTTTGTATTTTTAGTAGAGACAGGGTTTCACCATGTTGACCAGGATGGTCTCGGTCTCTTTACCTCCTGATCCACCCGCCTCGGCCTCCCAAAGTGCTGGGATTATAGGCGTGAGCCACCGTGCCCAGCCCACCATCTAACATTTCTACATGACGAAACTTCGGCTCACTTGTCAGTGCTTGCCTAATTCCTCAGATCATCACAGGACTATTTTTTGCCGTGCACTATACACCAGACACCTCAACCACCGTCTCTTCAATCGCTCATACCAACCGAGATGTGTACTACAGCTGAATGGTCCACTATTTCCATGCTAACGGCGCCTCAATATTTTTTATTTGCCTCTTCCTACATGTTGGATGAGGCTTATATTATGAATCATTCATACTTCTAGAAACCAGAAATATTGATATTATTCTTCTACTTACAATCATAGCAACAACATTTATAGGCTGTGTACTCCCACGAGGCCAAATATTATTCTGAGGCACTACAGTAATTACAGACCTATTACAGCCATCCCATACATTGGATCTGACCTTGTGCAGTGAATCTAAGGTGGATTCTCAGTTGACAAAGCCACCCTTACATGACTTTTTGCCTTCCATTTCATCTTACCTTTTTTTTTTTTTGAGATGGAATCTCGCTCTCACACCAGGGTGAAGTGCAGTGGCGCAATCGCAGCTCACTGCACCCTCCGCCTTCTGGTTCAAGTGATTCTTCCGCCTCAGTTTCTTGAGTAGCTGGGACTACAAGTGCACATCACCACGCCCAGCTAATTTTTGTATTTTTAGTAGAGATGGAGTTTCACCTTATCGGTTAGGATGGTCTCGATCTCTTTACCTCATGATCCGCCTGCCTCGGCCTCCCAAAGTGCTGAGATTACGGTGTAAGCCACTGCACTTGGCCTCATCTTACTTTTTATCATTGCAGCTCTAGCAACTGTTCACCTTCTATTCCTACTTGAAACAGTATCTAACAACCTTCAGGGATTTTTGTTAGACCTTGACAAAATCACTTTTCACCCTTACTACACAACTGAAGACATTCTATGTTTAATTTTTCTCCTCTTCCTTCTAATCCTTGTACTGTTTTCACCTGACCTCCTGAGCGGCCCAGATAATTACACTTTAGCTAACCGTCTCGATACTCCACCCCACATGAAACTAGAGTGATATTTTTTGTATGCATATGCAATCTTATGATCCATCCCCAACAAACTCAGAGGCGTCCTAGCCCTCATATTCTGCATTCTTATTCTAGCAATTATTCCCACACTTAACATATCTAAACAACAAAGTACAATATTCCTGCCATGAAGTCAATGCTTATTCTGAATCCTAGTAGCCGACCTACTTACACTTACATGAATTGGAGGTTATCCAGTCGAGTACCTTTTATTGTCATCAGACAGATCACATCTATTATATATTTCTCTACCATCCTTACCCTCATACCACTTACTACCCTAATCAAAAAGAAATTACTTAAGTGAAAATATCCTTGTAGTATAATTCAGTGCTCTGGTCTTGTAAACTAGAAATAGAGATCCTTTCCCCAGGACAACTCAGGAAAAAAGCGTTCTCATTTCACTGCCAACACCTAAAGCTGAAATTCTAATTAAACAATTCCCTGAACTTTTCTCTAGATGCATTTTAACTATTATGTTTGTATTAACGAGTTACCATTAATACATTAGTGCCTTTATGTACTAAGTGCATTACTGCTAGTCCCCATGAATAATACATAGTACTAAATATGCTTATTTGTACATAGTACATTTACCTATGAAAGTATATAAAACTTTCCCAACATGCATGTAAGCATGAATTAACACATCTTCACATCAGCTGTTATCACCCACATTATCATGGGTGATAATGGATACTGACCCATACTAGACCTCCTTAACATTACATAGTACATATTGTCATTCACTGGGCATAGCATATCCTAGTCAAGGAATTTCTCACCAACATGACTATCCCCTACCAAATTTTGGTCTCTTAATTTACCGACCTCCAGAAACTTATCATTCTGCTTGGGCATGTTATACTCCTCACTTCAGGCCCATAATGCTTAGGGTGACTAATGTGAAACTATAACTGGCATCTGGTTCTTACCTCACAGCCATAACACTAAGATCGCCCATACATTCCTCTTAAATAAGACATCTCAGTGGTTCAGAGACTATCACCCTATCAATCACAGGAGCACTGCCATGCATTTGGTATTTTTATCTTTTGGGGATGCTCTTACTCAACATTGTGGAAGGCCTGGTCCCCTCTAAATCAGCTGTAGATGAAATTGGATGTGATTCCTACCAAACCAGTTAATAATCACACCTATATTGCATATTCCAAGCTAGCATTACAACCATAAGGTGTTAATTAATACGTCCTTGTGGGACATAGTAATTAACCAATAGGTGCATACGCCAGCACATGTATGCCTACTTTTAACAATTTCTTTCAGATAAAAATCCACAAACCCCCCTCCCATCTCTGACTTTTTTCTTCAATCTAAATTAATGTACTCTCGTAAACCCTGAAAACAAGAGACCAAATGCAACCTAATCAAAACCCAGAGATTATATTTTAGCTGTAACTGTCTCAACCGCTACCCCTCAATTGATGTTATTTTCCTAAAAATCCTAAATCCCTTCTACTAAATTAAAACTCCATCTTGTATAATAAATGCAACAACTAATTTCTATCCCAATACTATAATAACACCTTGAATATACCCTTCTTAAAGTGCTACCCCATGTCTCATATTCTAAATCAACCACACTCTAACTTTAAACAGCATTCTTGGCCAGGTGTGGTGGCTCATGCCTGCAATCTCATCACTTTGGGAGGCTGAGGTGGGTGGATCACCTGAGGTCGGGAGTTCGAGACCAGCCTGACCAACATGGAGAAACCCCGTCTCTATTAAAAATACAAAAAATTAGCCAGACTTGTTGGTGCATGCCTGTAATCCCAGCTACTTGGGAGGCTGAGGAAGGAGAATCGCTTGAACCCAGGAGGTGGAGGTTGTGGTGAGACAAGATTGTGCCATTGCACTCCAGCCTGGACAACAAGAGCAAAACTCTGTCCCACCCCCAAAAAATAGCACTGTTAACCAAACCTCTGTCAATTCAATTTTTAATATCCTAAGCCCCCAGAACCATATATAGTTATTCACTTATATTTTCCTTCTTCCTATTTTTTAGCTTTACATTTATATGTTACACAGTTAATGTAGCTTAACTGTTCACAGCAAGACACTGAAAATGTCCAGATGGGTACATACAACTCCATAAACAAATAGGTTTGGAATTGGCCTTTTGTTAACTTTTAGTGAGATTACACATGCAAGCATCCCCGTCCTAGTGAAAATGCCCTCTAGATCACCCAGATCAAGAGGAGCAAGTATCAAGCACCCTTAAGTGCAGCTCAAAACACTTTGCTCAGCCATATGCCCACGGGAAACAGCAGTGATAAACATTTAGCAATAAACAAAGGTGTAACTAAACTATACTAATCTATAGAGTTGGTCGATTTCATGCCAGCCACCGCAGCCATACGATTAACCCAAGCTAATAGAACTCAGCATAAAGAGTGTTTAAGGTCTGCCCTCAATAAAGCTAACCTCCATCTAAGTTGTAAAAAACTCCAGCCGAAATAAAATCTATCACGACAGTGGCTTTAGTGCCCTGAAGACACAATACCTAAGACCCAAACTGGGATTAGATACCCCACTGTGCTTAGCCCTAAACTCTAATAGTTATATCAATAAAACTGTTTGCCAGAATACTACAATACTTGTAGTCAAGCAACAGCTTAAAACTCAAAGGACTTGGCAGTGCTTTATATCCCTCTGGAGGAGCCTGTTCTATAATCAATAAACCCCAATATATCTCTCCACCTCTTGCCCTCATCCTATATACTGCCATCTTCAGCAAACCCTAAAAGGGTCATAAAGTAAGCATAAGTATATACATAAAAACGTTAGGTCAAGATGTGTAGCTCATGAGGTGGCAAGAAGTGGGCTACATTTTCTACCCCTTAAAAAATATCATGATAACCTTTGTGAAATTTAAAGACCCAAGGAGAATTTAGCAGTAAACCAAGAACAGAGTGCTTGGTCCAATAAGGCCATGAAGTATGCACACACTGCCTGTCACCTTCCTCAAATGTTCTTTTAGAAATTATTGCTAGTAAAAAATTCTATACGCACATATAGAGGAGATAAGTTGTAACATGATAAGTATACTGGAAAGTGTGCTTGGACTAACCAAAGTGTAGCTCAACCTAAGGCACCCAGCTTACACCTGGAAGTTTTCATCACGACCTGATCACATTGAGCCAACTCTAACCCTAAATCTCACTAAAAATATCAAATTATCTTAACCAAACCATTTACCTTAAACACAAATATAGGCAACAGAAAGTCTCACCCTGGTGCAATAGAGATCGTACTATAAGGGAAAGATGAAAGAACTAAATCAAGCATGAAAAAGCAAAGACAAACCCTTTTACCTTCTGCATAATGTATTAACTAGAGAACCCAAGTCCCATGAAACCAGACGAGCTACTCGAGGTTAGCTAAAAGAGCATACCCATCTATGTGGCAAAATAGTGGGAACATTTATGAGTAGTAGGGACAAACCTACCAAGCCTGATGATAGCTGGTTGTCCAGACAGAATCTTAGTTCAACTTTAAACTTATCCACACAGAATTAGTTAATATCCCTGTAAGTTAACTGTTAAGTCTAAAGAGGGACAGTTCTTTAGACCCTAGGAAACAACCATTCTACAGAGAGTAAAAAGTATTATCATGTAGTTGGCCTAAAAGCAGCCACCAATTAAGAAACCCTTCAAGCGGCCGGGCGTGGTGGCTCACACCTGTAATCCCAGCACTTTGGGAGGTCGAGGTGGGCAGATCATGAGGTCAAGAGATCGAGACCATACTGGTTAACATGGTCAAACCCCGTCTCTACTAAAAAAATATAAAAATTAGCTGGGCGTGGTGGCACATGCCTGTAGTCCCAGCTACTTGGGAGGCAGAGGCAGGAGAATTGCTTGAACCTAGGAGGTCGAGGTTGCAGTGAGCTGAGATCGTGACTGCACTCCAGCCTGGCGACAAAACAAGACTCTGTTTCAAAAAAAAAAAAAAAAAAGAAAGAAACCCTTCAAGCTGAACATCTGACTATCTCAAATTCGATTTATTCTGCTGAACTCCTAACATCACATTGGACTAATCTATTGCTTGATAGAGTTTTGCTCTTGTTTGCTCAGGCTGGAGTGCAATGGTGCGATCTCAGCTCACTGCAACCTCCTCCTCCCCTGTTTAAGAGATTTTCCTGGCTTAGCCTCCCGAGTAGCTGGGATTGTAGGTGCCTACCACCACACCCGGCTATTGTTTGTATTTTCAGTAGAGATGGGATTTTTCCAGGTTGCCCAGGCTGGTCTCAAACTCCTGAGCTCAAGCTATCCTTCAGCCTTAGCCTCTGAAAATACTGGGATTTCCTGACTTCTAACAGTATAGTTTAATCTATTTTTAATCTGAAGTCATTCAGTCTGTACTTTTCTCTGATTTGTTTCTTTCTCTCATTATTTTATTTGTGAGATTCACCCAAGTCATGCAGCACAATTCTTCCATTCATTCACTATACAGTGTTCCATTATAGTCAGATATAATTTATTTGTGAATATTTGAGCTGTTTTCAGTTTGGGGCTATAATGAAGAACCCTGTCATGAACATCCTCATCCACGTCTTTTGATGAGCATAGATAGGCACTTTTTTTTTTTTGATACTGTCACCCAGCTGGAGTTCAGTGACGTGCCCTTGGCTTACTGTAGCCTCCCTTCCAGGCTCGAGCAGTTCTCCCACCTTAGCCTCCCTAGTAGCTGGGATTATAAGTGCCTTCCACTACGCCTGGCTAATTTTTTGTATTTTTAGTAGAGATGAGTTTTCACTTTGTTGGTCAGGCTGGTCTTGAACTCCTGACCTCAGGTGATCTGCCCTCCTCAGCCTCCCAAAGCACTGGGATTACAGTGAGTTTGAGACACTGTGCCTGGCCGATAGGCACTTCTGATAGGAGTAGCTATGCTGGGTTGCAGGTGTGCATACATTCAGATTTAGGAGGTACTCCCAGAGAACTTTCAAAGCAGCTGTACCAGGTTCATTACTACCAGTGGTATTTAAGCATTCCACTTGATCCTGAACTTTGTTAGCATTTGTTGTTTTTTTAATTTTACCCATTCTGGTGAGTATATGGCCAGATTGTATTTTGTGTGTGTGTGTGTGTGTGTGTTTTTGAGACAGAGTCTTGCTCTGTTACCCAGGCTGGAGTGCAATGGCGCCATATTGGCTCACTGCAACCTCTACTTCCCAGGCTAAAGGGATTCTTGTGCCTCAGCCTCCCAAGTAGCTGGGATTACAGATGTGCCCCACCACACCTGGCTAATCTTTTTTTGTATTTTTAGTAGAAATGGGGTTTTGCCATGTTGTCCAGACTCATCTCAGACTCCTGGCCTCATGCCATCCCCCTGCCTTGGCCTCCCAAAGTGCTGTGATAACAGGTGTGAGCCATCACATCTAGCCGATATTATAGTTTTATTTTGAACAACGAACTGTGTTCATCTGTTTAATTAGCATGTGGCTCTCCTCTTTTGTGAAGTGTCTGTTCACATAAGTACATCCTCTAACCATTTCAGGATAATCCCTGACCCTCTTCTCCGTTCATGTTTACTTAGGTAACTTAATGAAAGTGCATGCTGCGGATTTGGAAAAGCCCCTGCCAGAACAGCAGGATAATTCCCCTTCATCAAGGACTCGAGAAGAAAAAAGGGACGTGTCCATTTCCAGATTGCGAGAGGCCTTTTCTCTTCATCACACAGCAGAGAGCAAGTCTCACAGCCTGAAGACTCCAGAACCAAGAAGGAGCTCTCCAGGGCAGAAAAGGGGTATGCCATCTTTTAGCACTTCAGATGCCATCTCTGACAGAGGCTTCCTGGAACCTCAGAAAGAGGTAGCGAGTTCCAGTGAGGGACCCAGTGACCCTGCAGACAGAGCAGAGGTGGAGAAGGACTCTGGGCATGGCAGCACTTCTATGGATTCAGAGGGGTTCAGCATCCCAGACACAGGCGGTTACTATAGCAGCAAGTGTGTGGCCAGCTCCCCCGAGGACAGGGGCTCACAGGAATCTGTGGACTCTCGTGAGAAAGTGCCTGAAACTGACAACCCTTTTTCAGATGTGGACTGCCGTTTAAACCAGGAAGATACTGGATGTAAATTTAGAGTTTTGCCTCAGCCACGTAATCTTGCATCACCAAACACAAAGCGCTTTAAAAAAGAAGAAATTCTTTCAAATTCTGACATTCGTCAAAAGTTAGTAAATACTCAGAATGTGTCAGCCTCTCAGGTTGATGTAGCTGTTAAAATTGATAAGAAAGTTGTGCCCCTGGACTTTTCTATGAGTTCTTTAACCAAACGAATGAAGCAGTTTCATCATAAAGCAAAGCAAAGTGAAGGTGAACAGAATTATAGGAAGTTTAGGGCAAAGATTTGCCCTGGAGAAAATCAAGCCGCTGAAGATGAACTAAGAAAAGAGATAAGGTAAAGTTTTAATTTTTTAATTTTTAATTTTTATTTATTTATTTTTTGAGATTGAGTCTTGCTCTGTCACTCAGGCTGGAGTGCAGTGGCGTGATCTCAGCTCACTGCAACCTCTGCCTCCCAAGCTCAAGCAATTCTCCTGCCTCAGCCTCCCGAGTAACTGGGACTACAGGCTCGTACCACCACGCCTAGTTAATTTTTGTATTTTTTTTTTTTAGTAGAGGTGAGGTTTCAGCATATTGGTCAGGCTGGTCTTGAACTCCTGACCTCGTGGATCCACCCTCCTTGGCCTCCCAAAGTGCTGCGCTTATAGGCATGAGCCACCTCGCCAGGCCTATTTTTATTTTTTTGGTATGGAGTCTCGCTCTGTTGCCCAGGCTGGAGTACACTGGTATGATCTTGGCTCACTGCAACCTCTACCTCCCAGGTTCAAGCAGTTCTCCTGCTTCTGCCTCCTGAGTGGCTGGAATTACAGGTGTGCACCACCACGCCTGTAATTTTTGTATTTTTGATAGAAAGGAGTTTCACCATGTTGGCCAGGCTGATCGTAAACTCCTGACCTTGTGATCTGCCCACCCTTGCCTACCAAAGTGCTAGGATTACAGGTGTGAGCCACAGGGCTTGGCCACGTAGTTTTTTCTTAAGAGTATTTTGAAGCTGGGTGCAAGTGGCTCACACCTGTAATCACAGAACTTTGGGAGGCCGAGCCAAGGAGGGAGGATCAATTGAGCCCAGGAGTTCAAGATCAGCCTGGACAACATAGGGAGACCCCATCCCTACAAAAAAATTGGCTGGGCACAGTAGTGCCTATTGAAATTCCAGAATCTGCGCACAGCCAAATGCTGTTCTCTGTGGCAGGACATAGACTTCAAAAACATGGAAGACTTGGGTCTTTTAGGCCAGCACCAGCTTTTGAGAAGATGATCTATGTTCTGGGAACCAAGGCATATTCAGACAGTTCCTGGGAGAGCCTAGAATCAGCCCCAGGGGAGGTGAGATTTGTGCTGGTTTCTGGCATGCTTCTGAGATGTCCTTTTCCTTCCCTCTTGTGATGCGGGAGTCCCTGCATCATCACTCACTCTGGCAGCTTCTCTCCATCCAGCAGGCTGCAGCTACTCCTGCTCCAAGGAGGTCTGAAGCTCAACCTGAGCGGGTAGGGGCCTTTTACAAGAGTTTCTTTTGTGAGCACTCTCCCTCTTCCCTAGAGGTAGTAGCATTTTCCATTCCTGTGTTTCCTAGCATAGTAGTTAACCACCTTTTACTAGTTTGTAATGCTTTATTATACTTTTTTCCTCTTCAGGCCTGCCATGGTGGCTCATGCCTTATAATCCCAGCACTTTGGGAAGCTGAGGTAGGAGAATCACTTGAGGCTAGGAATTTGAGACCAGCCTGGGCAATATAATGAGACCCCATCTCTAAAGAAAAAAAAAAAAAAAAAAAGGTTAGTCAAGTACACTGCTGCATGCCTATAGTCCCAGGTACTCAGGAGGCTGAGGCAGGAGGCTCGATTGAGTCCAGGAGTTTGAGGCTGCAGTGAGCTATGATCATGCCATTGCACTCCAGCCTGGGTGACAGAGCAAGACACTGTCTTAAAAAAAAAATCTCTGTTAAAATCACTGGTGTGGTTTTTGTCTCTTGATTGTACTCTGACATGTCAGAATGTGTCAGCCTCTCAGGTTGCTGTAGCTGTTAAAATTGGTAATGGAGTTGGTATCAGGAGACAGACCCTCAAAGATAGGATTTGGGGATTGGTTTGGTTATGACTTGGACTTGTCTGTACTGAGCTCTTGCCAACAGGAAATGTGGGCTCAGTAATCCATGGCGTGTGGAGGCCTCACCGTTCACCAAACTGTCTCCTGTGGTTGATTGTGATGATCTCAAACTCCTGACCTTGTGATCTGCCCACCCTTGCCTACCAAAGTGCTAGGATTACAGGTGTGAGCCACAGCGCTTGGCCACGTAGTGGCATGGGACTGGGTCTTCCTGGAGCATTTATAGAAAGAAACAACAATCTCAGCTCCTTTCTTTTTTTTTTTTCTTTTTATTTTTGAGACAAGAGTTTTGCTCTTTCACCTAGACTGGAGTGCAGTGGCATGATCTCAGCTCACACCAACTTCTGCCATCTGAGTTCAGCGATTCTTCTGCCTTAGCCTCCCAAGTAGCTGGGAGTACAGGTGCCCACCACGACGCCTGGCTAATTTTTGTATTTTATGTAGAGATGGAGTTTCACCATGTTGGTCTTGAAATCCCAACCTCAAATGATCCACCCACCTCGGCCTCCCCAAAGTGCTGCAATTACAGGCATGAGCCCCTGTGCCCGGCCTAATCTCAGCTTCTTTCATCCTAAGCTCAGGCCACCTGGTGAGACCCAGAGAACGTCCCTGGCTGCTTTCACAGTCATTTCTTGTAGTCACAGCGCTGGTAATGAGGAAAATCTATTTTCACCAGGTTTAATTGTGTGGGACAACTACAGTGTTAGTTTCTCATGTGAAGGTTAGGGGAGGTGTCCATCTTTTGTCCAGATTGATTAAGATAGTGTTTAATGGCATTAGGTGTTGAAGCTACCCAGCAAAGGACCCAGTGGTGGGCCTGGCAGAGAGTAGAAGGATTGATATCCAGCACTGGCAAAAAGGTACTCTTGGACACTGTTGGTGGGAGTGTGAATTTTCACAGATTTCCCATCAGAAAGTACATATGTAATCCTGCCTCTAGTGTCTGTCTCACAGAAATATACCCACAGGTGAGTAGGTTTATGTACAGAAGTATTTGTTGCAGCTTTGTGTGTACTATTGAAATTGGAGACAACTGAAATGCCCTTTATTAGAGAATTTGTCAGACAAATTATGGTACATTCATGCAGTGAGTTCCTATATGGCCACTACAAAGAATGAAGTAGGACGGATGCCGTGGCTCACGCCTATAATCTCAGCACTTTGGGAGGCTGGGACAGGTAGATCACTTGAGGTCAGGAGTTGGAGAACAGCCTGGACAACATGGTGAAACCTCATCTCTCCTAAAAATAAAAACATTAGCTGGGCTGGCAGCATGTGCCTATAGTCCCAGCTATTCGGGAGTCTGAAGCAGGAGAATCGCTTGAGCCGGGGAGATGGAGGTTGCAGTGAGCTGAGACTGTACCACTGCAGTCCAGCCTGAGCAACAGAGCGAGACTCCGTCTTAAAAAACAAACAAACAAAAAATGAAGTAGATCTATGTGTACAGATTTGAAAACATCTCTCAGATGTGTTAAGTGATGATAGTAGTACAATATGGAGAATTAAGATTTCATTTTTGTTTTTTAAAATTAAAAAATTTATATATAGAGACCAGGGTCTGGAAGAGTATATTTCATTTAATTTCTAACAATAGCAACTGATGTCTTCTCTGGACAGTTGGATGAGTGAATAATTTTTTTTTTGAGATGGAGTCTGGCTCTGTTGCCCAGACTGGAGTGCAGTGGTGAGATCTCAACTCACCACAACCTTTGCCTCCCAGTTCAAGTGATTCTCCTGCCTCAGCCTCCCGAGTATCTGGGACTTCAGGAGCGCACCACAATGCCTGGCTAATTTTTTTTGTATTTTTAGTAGAGACGGGTTTCACCGTGTTAGCCAGGATGGTTTCAATCTCCTGACCTCATGATCCATCCACCTCAGCCTCCCAAAGTGCTGGGATTGCAGGCGTGAGCCACCACGCCTAGCCTGGATGAGTGAATAATTAATGCTATCTTTAGAAGGCGGGGTGGTTAGGGACTTTATTTTATGGTTTTGTATTTTTTTTATTACAGTGTTCCATAACAAAATCAGAAAAATAATTTTGTAAAATGTCTCATAATTAACATTTTTCTACCTGCAGTAAATCGATGTTTGCAGAAATGGAAATCATTGGCCAGTTTAACCTGGGATTTATTATAACCAAACTGAATGAGGATATCTTCATAGTGGACCAGCATGCTACCGATGAGAAATATAACTTTGAGATGCTGCAGCAGCACACCGTGCTCCAGGGGCAGAGGCTTATAGTGTGAGTTCCTTTCAGTGTTGATTCCCAAATTCCCCTCAAATTTCAGATCTAACAGGCTGAGGCTGGAGGGTCGCGAGAGGCCTGGAGTTTGAGAGCAGTCTGGGCAACATAGCGAGACCTTGTATCTACTTAAAAAAAGAAGAGATCTAGGAAGGAGGGATGTAAAAAATAAAAAGATCTAATAGTTGGCTGGGTCTGGTGGCTCACACCTGTAATCCCAGCACTTTGGGAGGCCAAGGTGGGTAGATCACCTGAGGTCAGGAGTTTGATACCAGCCTGGCCAACATGGTAAAACCCCATCTCTACTAAAAATACAGAAAAATTAGCTGGGTGTGGTGGCACATGCCTGTAATTCCAGCTACTCAGGAGGCCGAGGTAGGAGAATTGCTTGAACCTGGGAGACGGAGGTTGCAGTGAGCCAAGATCGCACCACTGTACTCCAGCCTGGGTGACAGAGTGAGACTCCTCAAAAAAAAAAAAAAAAAAAATCTAGTAGTTTATATGTGTCTATATATATGTATATGTATATATGTATTTTTCTGTAAGTATTCATATAGCAGATTTTTATACTTTTTACATAATAATAGTGATATGATTTATTGAATGCCTAGTATCTGCCAGACACTGTGGAAATAATGCATGTGTATTAGTTAATTTAATCCTCCAAAACCTATGAGGTTATTACTGTTACCTTCGCCATTCCACAGGTGGTAAAACTGAGGCACACACAGGCTGAGTAACTTCCTCAAGTTCACACAGTTAACATGTTCTCTAGGTATCAAACCTTTTTAGCTATTGAAAATGTGGATCACCAGTTAACCAGATGATCCTTTTCATGAGGGCAGTTTATAGTACAGAGTATTAGTACAGATAGTATATGGAATATGTGTGTTCAGAAAGACAGCACAGCCTGTGCGCCAGTCTTTATTTACAGTGAAGTAATCAATCAGCAGTCAGATAGTCACTGCAGATTGGGTGCAGGGGCACATGCCTGTAATCCCAGAGCTTTGGGAGGCTGAGCAAGGCATATCAACTGAGCTTATGAGTTTGAGACCAGCCTGGACATCATGGTGAAACTTTGTCTCTACAAAAAAATAAAAAAATTTGCAGGGCATGGTGGCTCACACCTGTAATCCCAGCACTTTGGGAGGCCGAGGCAGATGAATCACGAGGTCAGGAGTTTGAGACCAGCGTGACCCGTCTCTACTAAAAATACAAAAATTAGCCAGTTGTGGTGGTATGTACCTATAATCCCAGCTCTTCAGGAGGCTGAGGCAGGAGAATCACTTGAACCTGGGAGGTGGAGGTTGCGGTGAGCCATATATATATATACACACACACATATACGTGTGTGTGTTTGTGTGTGTGTGTGTGTGTGTGTGTATATAATCTTTAGCCAGACTTGATGGTGTATGCCTGTGGTCCCAGCTATTTGGAAGGCTGAGGTGGGAGGATCTTTTGAGCCCAGGAGGTTGAGGCTGCCATGATTGTGCCACTGCACAGCACTCCAGCCTGGGTGATAGAGTGAAACAGTGAGATTCTGTCTCGCAAATAAATAAATAAAATATAAAAATTATTTTAAGATAGTCACTGCAGAATTTTGTATTTCTCTCTCCTCTGCCAAACTGAATATTTTGCCCTGACTACTTTACAAAGGTCAGGTGTGATAGTATATTATGTAAAACGAAAGTCTTGTCTTAAGCAACGTTATAAGAAGAGGAGTTTTATCTGGGAAATTAAACCACATAGAGAAGTAAACTCAGATCTCAACAAGTATATCCCACATGTAGAAATGTGCTACTGAACAGCTGGAAAAACCTACCTAGTTTACTGAGTACTCTGTTTCCTGTGGAATGCACGAATTGTTTCCATTCTCAGTAAGAGTCAATGGTAATAATGAAGACAGTAAGATACTTTATAATCCTGAGATATCCCTTCCCTGTTCCTCTTAATAGTGGTCTTGGTTGTTGTTTTTTTTTTTTTTCTTTCCTTTGAGGCAGAGTTTCACTCTTGCCCGGGCTGGAGTGATTAAGTGGTGTGATCTTGGCTCATTGCTACCTCCGCCTCCTGGGTTCAAGTGATGGTTGTGCCTCAGCCACTGGAGTAGCTGGGATCACAGGCACCTGTCACCATTACCTGATTAACTCCCACTCATCCCCAGACTCAGCTCAAAGGTCACTTCCTTACCCCGGGGTGAAGTCTCACTTACGACACTGGGTGCTTTTCCTTGAGATCTGCCTGCCTCGGCCTCCTAAACTTCTGGGATTGCAGGCATGAGCCACTGCGCCCGGCCTGTAGCTACTTTAACTGCTAAAAAGAACTTTAGGAAAAGCAAATTAAAAGGAACTTCTCAGGAAGTTTTGTGACACTTAGCTGAATAGTGTTGTTACTAATGTTGTTATTTTGAAATGAATTCAAAACATAGTATTGTTTTAATTTTATTTCTGCTTTATAGTTAAATGTTTGACTTCAGGATATGGTTTGAATCATTTTTGTGTGTGTTTTTTTTTTGTATTTTTAGTAGAGAAGGGGTTTTGCCATGTTAGCCAGGCTGGTCTCAAACTCCTGACCTCAGGTGAACCACCTGCCTCAGCCTCCCAAAGTGCTGGGATTACAGGCATGAGCTACTGTGCCCGGTTGAGGCCTTGTATTTTTTAGCCATGTGGCAAAGATTACCTCTCGTCTGTGACATTTCAAGTTGGCCCAGGTAATCAGAGACCACTTTGGATTCCAGATGGACCACACTTCAAGCTGAAAGGATAAAACCCAATTCCACCCTGTCCTGCCAGCCCCTCCGCAGGGGCCCCTGTTGACCTCTTTAGCTTTTCCCATCCCTCTTCTCTCCTTGTTTCCTGTACTCAAGCCTCTGGGGCTGTCTTTCTTTTTCCCTTGGTGGCCTGAGGAATCAATCCCTATGTGGCCACAGAGCAGAAGGAATGATAGCTTTATGTGTGGCTCTGCACACATCAGCGGTCCACCCTAGGGCCTGACACAGATTGTCATCTCTGCCTAGATCATTTATCCTGCATCCTGCACCCATTTCTCCCCCATTACCTGAGTAACTCCTACTCATCCCCAGACTCGGCTCAAAAGTCACTTCCTGACCCCAGGGTGAAGTCTCACTTAAGACACTGGCTGCTTTTTCTTCCTGATCTTCCTGTCATTTGTCATCATGATCGACTTGCCTGAGTATTTGCTCAATGTCTTTCTTCCCCAGTAATCTGTTAGCTCCAGGGCCAAGCCTATGTTTGCTCACAGGCTGTCTCCTGCTTTTAGCAGTGTTTATCTTATCCAGCACTTAGGACCAGGTACAGTGGCTCATACCTGTAATCCCAGCACTTTGGGGGGCCGAGGTGGGAGGATCGCTTGAGCCCAGGAGTTGCCCAGCCTGGGCAACACAGTGAGACCCTGACGCTATTTTTGAAAAAATAGCAAAAAGTTTAAAAAAAAAAAAAGCACCCTTGTAAATCCAAGAGAAGAGAAAGATGGAGATATAATACAGGCAGAGGAAGGAGAAGGATAGCAAAATAAATGCTGTCTGTTCATTCTGTTTATAAATGCTGGAATGACCCCCCAGTGTTTCAAATCCTCCATTAGAAGGAGGGAAAATAGCATTTTTGTGATATTGTTATCCTTAAGGAAATGATTCAGAAAAGATGGAGTCATTGGGGTGGCGGCTGAGGAAAAAGCAAACTACTTTTGTAGCTACTTTAACTTTTTTTTTTTAAACATAGTCTTGTTCTGTTGCCCAGGCTGGAGTGCAGTGGTGCAATCTCAGCTCACTGCAACCTCCACCTCCTGGGTTCAAGCAATTCTAGTGCCTCAGCCTCCTGAGTAGCTGGGGCTACAGCCATGAGCCACCACATCCAGCTACTTTTTTTTTTTTTTGAGACAGAGTCTTGCTGTGTTGCTCAGGCTGGAGTATAATGGCATCATCTTGGTTCACTGCAACTTCTGCCTCCTGGATTCAAGCGAATCTCCTGCTTAAGCCTCCCAAGAACCTGGGACTACAGGCGTGCACTGCCACCTCACCTGGCCTAATTTTTGTATTTTTAATATAGACAGGGTTTTGCTGTGTTGACCAGGCTGGTCTCAAATTCCTGGCCTCAAGAGATCTGCCTGCCTCGGCTTCCTAAAGTGCTGGAATTACAGGCGTGAACCACCACGCCCAGCCTGTTGCTACTTTAACTTCTAAAAAGAACTTTAAAAAAAAAGAAAATTAAAAGGAACTTCTCAGGAAGTTTTATGACACTTAGCTGAATAGTGTTGTTATTTTGAAATGAATTCAAAATATAGTAAAGTATTGTTTTAATTTTATTTCTGCTTTATAGCTGAATGTTTGACTTCAGGATATGGTTGGAATCATTTTTGTGTTTTTCAGACCTCAGACTCTCAACTTAACTGCTGTTAATGAAATCATTCTGATAGAAAATCTGGAAATATTTAGAAAGAATGGCTTTGATTTTGTTATCGATGAAAGCGGTAAGTTAATTAAAACTATAGCGACTGGGTATAGTGGCTCATGCCTGTAATCTCAGCACTTTGGGAGGCCAAGGCAGGCAGATCACCTGAGGTCACGAGTTTGAGACCAGCCTGGCCAACATGGTGAAGCCCTATCTTTACTGAAAATATAAAAATTAGCTGGGCATGGTGGCAGGCGCCTGTAATCCCAGCTACTTGGGAGACTGAGGTGGGAGAATTGCTTGAACCTGGGAGGCAGCAGTTGCAGTGAGCTGAGATCATGTCACTGCACTCTAGCCTGGGTGACAAGTGTGAAACTCTATCTCAAATAAACAAACAAATAAGAACTATAGATTCTTGTCGTTTTAGAGCTGGGAATAATCTTTCAGGTCATATAGACCAGTGTTTTTATTTTATAAAAGATGAAAAAGCATTTTTTGACTGTCCTCTCTTTCAGATACTCATCATTATCAGTAGCTTTCAAGTGATATGTGTTCCTCAAGTAATGGATTTTTTTCAAAATCATATTTTTTTCCCCCAAATTGTATTCTTTTAGCTCCAGTCACTCAAAAGGCTAAACTGATTTCCTTGCCAACTAGTAAAAACTGGACATTTGGACCTCAGGACATAGATGAGCTGATCTTTATGCTAAGTGACAGCCCTGGGGTCATGTGCCGACCTTCCCGAGTCAAGCAGATGTTTGCCTCCAGAGCCTGTCGAAAATCTGTAAGTAAACAAAGCCTGGCTGTCAGCTCAGCTGCTCAAGCTGGAAGTCTAAGGAAGGTCTCAGTTCAGCTCCTGATTTGGTCAAGGTTATTAAATGCCTTTATGAATCGCCAGGCGCAGTGGCTCACGCCTGTAATCCCAGCACTTTGGGAGGCCTACGTGGGTGGATCATGAGGTCAAGAGATCAAGACCATCCTGGCCAACATGGTCAAACCCATCTCTACTAAAAATACAAAAATTAGCTGGGCGTGGTGGTGTGTGCCTGTAGTCCCAGCTACTCGGGAGGCTGAGTACTTGGGAGGCTGAGGCAGGAGAACTTCTTGAACCCAGGAGGTGAAGGTTGCAGTGAGCCAAGATCACGCCACTGCACTCCAGCCTGGTGACAGAGCAAGACTTCGTCTCAAAAAAAAAAAAAAAAAAAAAATGCCTTTATGATTGCCGGGGTCATTTTACACAGAGAGCTACGTAGAACATCAGAGCTGAGCATCTATGTTGTCTGCATTCTCTGTGACCTTGAACTCAATTATTGCTCTGTTACTTCTGTTAAGCAGTATTTTTTTTTTTTTTTTTGAGACAGGGTCTCTGTCTGTTGCCCAGACCAGAGTGTAGTGGCACAATCACAGCTCACTGCAGCCTTGACCTCCCAGACTCAAGCGACCCTCCTGCCCTTGCCTTCTGAGTAATTGTGACTACAGGGATGCACTACCATGCCCAGCTAATTTTTAAATTTTTTGTAGAAATGTGGTCTTCTTTTACTCCTTGTCTCAGCCTCCCAAAGTGCTAATTATAGGTGTGAGCCACCGTGCCCAGCCGGTATTCTGTCTTAGAGCCTTTGCTGACCCCAGTTAAGTGAGTGGTTGAGGCACCCTGTTCGTCTGTGGACCTTATGGGTAATAACAACATTGGTAGATAGAGATTTGCTGCTTCCAGGATTCGGTGACATTAGACAAGATACTGCAGAGTCATCAAGGCAACAGGGGTGCTGTGGTTGTCATTGCATGTGGCATCACTGCCGCTGCTCGGGTTGGTGTTGGAAGGTGGTAGCAGTGGTTACGCCTGCAGTGGGGATTAGCCAAAACAAATGACTGTATCAGCTGGTCATTGGGAAAGGCCAGGAGACCATTCCTTTATTTATTCAGTGGATGCTCCTTGAGTCCCTGCTGTGTGGCCTGCCCTGCTCCAGGTGCCGGGGACACAGAGGTGACAAGGCAGCTGCAGCCCTTGCCCTGTGGAGCTGACAGTAGGGAGAAATAGACATTCCCACAAATAAATGACACCCATTAGATGCCAGCAAGCACAGTCAAGAGATTCAGACAGTGTTTTGGGACAGGAAATGACTACAGAAAAATATGGCTAGGTGAGATGGTGGTCAGGGAACAGCATCTGGGCAGGTGGGATGGAAGCCGGGCATGGTGGCTCCACGTGTAATCCTAGCATTTCAGGAGGTCAAGGTGGGAGGACTGCTTGAGGCCAGGAGTTGGAGACCAGCCTGGGCAACACAGGCAGACCCCCATGTCTACAAAAAGTTAAAAAATTAGCCAGGCGTAGTGGCATGTGCCTGTAGTCCCAGCTACTCAGGAGGCTGAGGTGGGAGGATCACTTGAGCCGGGGAGGTCAGGGTTGCAATGAGCCAAGATCACACAACTGTACTCCAGCCTGGGTGACAGAATAAGAACTTTTCTTAAAAAAAAAAAAAATAGACTGGAACCCTCTTGGGTAAGAATTTTCCAAGTGGAGGAAGTCGCAAAGAGTGAAGCCAGAGGCCAATTGTGTGCCCGGAGAGGAGATAGGAGTGAGCAGAGCGGCATCCAGCAGACAGCCACGTAGAGTGTTGCCAGTCATGCCTAGACCGTGGGGGTCTGTGCTGTGTGTGGCAGGAACCATGGGAGAGAATAGACTGGAAGGGGTGCCATGAGTGCAGCCACTGGGGAGAGCAGCATCTGGGTTCCACGTGGGGAGTGGGTGGGATGGAGCCTGCTGTGTGAGCTTTAGATGTAATTTACAGCCATGAGATTGGGTGAAATTACTCAAGGGCAGAGTTTAATTAGAAGAGGGCCCAGAATCTGACTTCTAGCCACAGTGTTTCTTTGATAAAGACCTAATATGGGCTGGGCGTGGTGGCTCACACCTATAATCCCAGCACTTTGGAAGGCAGAGGTGGGTTGATCACCTGAGGTCAGGAGTTTGAAACCAGCCTGGCCAACGTGGTAAAACCCTATCCCTACTAAAAGCACAAAAATTAGCTGAGCATGGTGGCAGGCACCTGTAATCCCATGGGGGCAGCCTACCCAGGAGGCTGAGGCGGGAGAATTGCTTGAATCTGGGAGGCAGAGGTTGCAGTGTGCCGAGATTACACCATTGCACTCCGGCCTGGAAGACAGAGTCAGACTCTGTCTCCCCACCACAAAAAAAGACCTAATATGGACCTTCCAGTCCTAAAGTCTGTGAGAGTGTGGAGCTGAGCTCATAGTCGGGCACTTTGGATGTTCTGGGTCTTTAGTGTGACTCGGGCCTGGGGAGCCACAGGCTGCACCTTCCTTCCCACCCTGGCCAGCTCCTGCATCTCCAGTGCTGTCACTCCCTGCCCACGAGGCCTCTGCTCCGAGCCTTGCCCACCCTTCCAGCCCCATCACTGCCACGCTTCCAGCCATGCAACTGCCTTCTAGTTCCTCCCCCACCCCAGTCTCCTCCCCGCATTACACCCTTTCTCCCTGCTCTCCTCTCTACCTGGGTTCGCCACTTTCACCCTTCACCCGCTCCCCACACCTGAGCAGGTTGCCTCTCCTGGGTGCTGCCTGTCTTGGTTCACTGTTGACTTGTCTGTCCTTTTCCCACCTTGTGGAGCCCTGCCGTCACCCCAGCCCTCCAACTGTGCCTGGCAGGTGTCGGGCCCTTGGTACTGAAGGAAGAAGGAAGGTGACAGAAGGCTTCAGACTCGTCTCCTCTCCTCCCTGTCAGGATCCATGGCACAGAGCCAGCATGGCCAGGGCTGGTGCTATGGGCAGTGGGTCCGAGCCCAACAGAGGGGGAGTAACGTCTGCACCCACTGGGGGAGAGGGTCCCAGGGGTGCCACAGTCCAGAGGCAGGTGTTTGCTTGATGGACCTGTGCAAGAGGAAGGGAGTGTTGGTGCAGCTAGGGTCAGGAAGGGAGGCATTCGTGCTTAGAGGTGGGGTGCAGGCACAGCCTAGTGAGGACCAAGTCAGGACGGACAGGGCCTTTATTCAGGTGAGGGGAGAGAGCCGTGATGTGGAATGCCGTGACCTGATAGCCCTTTAAAAATAACCACTGGCTGCTGAGTAGAGAGCAGCCAGAGGGGTCGCAGTGGGGCAGGGAGGCCTGCCAGAGGCTGCTGCACTTGCCAGGGTGAGAGGTCACGGTGGCCTCTGAGAGTGGCTGCATTCTGAACAGATATGGTCACCATCTGGAGTGGAGTCTGTGCCACCGTGAAGGAGCCGCACAGGGCCTGGATTTCACAGAAAGGTGGAGGGCTGAGGTCTGGAATGGAGAGGCTTCTCTGGGGGAGGGTTTTTCAAGAAGGTGATTTTTGAGCTATAATCTTGTCCGGTCTTATTTTAGAGAAGACTGCTTCTGAATAGCTGCCATTCTGACATCAAGAAACTGTTAAAACATTGAACCATTGTGTCTCGTACTCAGGTGATGATTGGGACTGCTCTTAACCCGAGCGAGATGAAGAAACTGATCACCCACATGGGGGAGATGGACCACCCCTGGAACTGTCCCCATGGAAGGCCAACCATGAGACACATAGCCAACCTGGGTGTCATTTCTCAGAACTGACCTTAGTCACTGGATGGAATTATCAGTTTTATTGCAGATTTTTATGTTTTGAAAGACAGGGTCTTAACTAACCTTTTATGTTTTAAAATGAACCTGCTACTTAAAAAAATACACATCAGGCCCATTTAAAAGTGATCTTGAGAACCTTTTCAAACCAGATGGAGCATTGCTTGCAAAAATTGTTTTCTGTGTTTTCATGTGCTCGTATGTGTGTGTGTCCAGGCAAAAACACAAAAACAAGAGCACTTTGGAAGTTACTCAGGCCTCTACTCTGGCTGGACATAGTTTAGTCTATAACTTTCAACCCTTAACGATAATTAAATTTATCTTCGTTTAATTTCATACATTTAAAATTAGGGTCCTTTTGGGTTCGTGATTCTCAGCCCTGATTCACATTACAGTTTTAAACAAGGGGATTCTCTACTCAGCTGGAAGAAAATAACTGGATGGGACAGGAGTTACTATTTTTAAACATGCGTCTGTGTGGCCAAGGTAGCAAAGTATGTCCCTGCAGAGGAACAAAAAGAGTTTGATTTTCCCACCATTTGATTCTGTGATTTGGTTTCCTCAGGGTGTAAACTGTAGAACATTCTAGTTACTGGCTTTGAATGCTTCTGGAAATGTAAGAATCCCTGTATGTCTTTCAGATAGTTTTCATGGAACCTTGTCCTGTTTGAACTGGTCTAAAAATGGAAGTGAAGATGCCCTCTTGGGGGCTGAGAGGTGACAAATGTGGCTCCCCCTGCTGCCCCCATCCCTTCCCTGGACTGTGGTCTTCACGGAAGATGGGGCACCCATTCCTGGTTTAGAATTCCTTAGATGGAGGAGGCAGTACAGTAGTAACTGTGTCATCGTGGCCAGCACCATGCCGGCGTGGTCTGCAGGATCCCATTTAAGAACTCTGCAGATTGGGAGCTGTGGCAGGATGACAGCCCCCAAGATAGCTGTGTCCGAATCTCCAGAACTTGTGACCACGCTGCCTCACATGGCACAAGGGATTCTGCAGGTGTGACTGAGTGAAGTATTTTTTTTTTTTTTTGAGACGAAGTTTTGCTTTTGTTGCCCAGGCTGGAGTGCAATAGTGTGATCTCGGCTTACTGCAGCCTCTGCCTCCCCAGGTTCAAGTGATTCTCCCACTTCAGCCTCCCGAGTAGCTGGGATTACAGCTGCCCACTATCACACCTGGCTAATTTTTGTATTTTTAGTAGAGACAGGGTTTCACTATGTTGGCCAGGCTGGTCTTGAACTCCTGACCTCAGGTGATCCGCCCATCTCAGCCTGCGAAAGTGTTGGGATTACAGGCGTGAGCCATTGTGCCTGGCTGAGTTAGGATCTTGCAATGCAGAGATTATCCTGGATTGTCTGGTTGAGTCCAGTCCATTGGGTGAGTCCTTCAAAGGTGGAGATCTGGCTGGACGCAGTGGTTCAAGCTTGTAATCCCGGCACTTTGGGAGGCCGAGGCGGGTGGATCACGAGGTCAAGAGATCAAGATCATCCTGGTCAACATGGTGAAACCCCGTTTCTACTAAAACAAAAAATTAGCTGGGCATGGTGGTGCGTGCCTGTAACCCCAGCTACACAGGAGGCTGAGGCAGGAGAATTGCCTGAACCCAGGAGGTGGAGGTTGCGGTGAGCCAAGATCGCGCCATTTCACTCCAGCCTGGGTAACAAGAGTAAAACTCTGTCTCAAAAAAAAAAAAAAAAATGGTGGAGACCTTTCCCTGCTGGACAGAGAGAAGCTGCTTTGCTGGTTTTGGAGATAGAGGGAGGTATCACCAGTCAACATTGCAAGCAGCCTCTAGAACAGGGGTCCCAGCACCCCGGCCACAGACCAGTACTGGTCCGTGGCCTGTTAGGAACCAGCCTGCACAGCATGTGAGTGGTGGGCAAGCCAGCAAAGCTTCATCTGTATTTACAGCCACTCCCGTGGCTAGCATTACCACCTGAGCTCTGTCAGATAAGTGGTGGGCATTAGATTCTCATAGGAGCACAAATCCTATTGTGAACTGCACATGCAAGGGATCTAGGTTGGGCGCTCCTTATGAGAATCTGAAGGCTGATGATCCGTCACTGTCTCCCATCACCCCCAGATGAGACTGTCTAGTTGCAGGAAAACAAGCTCAGGGCTCCCACTGAGTCCACATGGTGAGTTGTATAATTATTTAATTGTATGTTACAGTGTAATAATAATAGAAATAAAGTGCACAATAAATGCAATGTGCTTGAATCATCCCGAAACCATCCCTCACCTACCCCCATCCGTGGAAAAATTGTCTTCCATGAAACGGGTCTCTGGTGCCAGAAAGGTTGGGGACCTCTTCTGGAAAAGATGGAAAAGGCAAGGATACGGATTCTCCCCCGGAGCCTCTGGAAGGAACCAGCATTGGGGACAAATTTACGGACTGTATGATAATAAATTTGTGTTGCTTCAAGCGACTAATTTATGGTAATTTGTTTACGGCAGCAGTGGAAAACTAATGCCTGCGTTATTCCTGTTTTATGGTCAAGCGGTTAGCAGAGCTAGGACAACCCTGGCCTGGTGCCGCCAGCACCCAGCCTTTCCCCCTGGTCTTCAGGACCAGCAAGGGCAGGACACCTGCTTGGCGCTGGCGCGCGGCCCCTTTAAGAGCACGTAGTGGGCTAGGCGGCGTCCACGGTTGCCTGGAGACCCGAGCTGAGTCTGGGACGCGGAGATCCCCGCCACTGGCTAGGCCCCTGGGCTCCTGGAGTGAGGTGAGCGCCCCAGGCCGCGGTCACGCATACGCGGGAACAGTGGAGGCGACCGAGTCCTGCTCCTTCCCGGCCTCCCAGGACCCGAGCACGTGCGTCATGGGCTAGGAGGGCCTAGGTCGGGCAGACAAGTGCAGAGAGCCCATTATTCCGGGCTGATCGTAGACACAGCCGCGCGTCATAACACGGCCTCTCCTTAAGCCCAGGAGAACAGAGGAAACATTAGGAAACACGCACTGAGAAAGGAAATTGGCTTGATTTATAGTTCACTTATTTGTAGTTCTCTGACAGAGGACCAAAAAGCCCATAGTAAAGGCCCCTCTGAATGTAGAGGTGAAAGCAGCTTGGGCTAGGTGACCCAGGGGCGCTTCGCTGAGACAGTGGTGAGTGGGAAGGAGTAAGGTTAGTGTTTAAAGAAAGAGAAGGCTTGGCCGGGTATGGTGGCCCACTCCTGTAAGTAATCCCAGCTTTGGGAGGCCGATGCGGGCAGATCACCTAGGTCAGGAATTCGAGACCAGCCTGGCCAACACGGCGAAACCCCATCTATACTAAAAATGCAAAACATAGCTAGGTGTGGTGGTGCACGCCTGTAATTCCAGCTACTCAGGAGGCTGAGACATGAGAATCGCTTGAACCCGGAGGCAGGGGTTGCAGTGAGCCGAGATTATGCCATTGCACTCCAGCCTGGGTGACAGAGTGAGACGTGTCTCAATGAATAAATAAATAATGGAGGAAGAGAAAAGGCTGGAGGTGGGAGGAGCTGGAGGGCAGGGTGTCCAGAGGATGCCATCCAAGCAGAAGAGGGCAGAAGTGCCCACTGCACCGAGTCCCATGAAAAGGGACCAGACCTTGCCTTCAACCCAGGATTCACCTATGCATCCTGCCTGATGGACCAGGGCGCTTTCACGGGGCCAGCTTTGGAAAGCCATGAAAACACTGCACTGCAGCGCATATGCCAGACAAGCAGAGACAGGTGCTAGAAACACAACTCAAGGACAACATCCCGTGCTTGTCTGGCATACGAGAGGCAATCAATCAAAGGCAATACTAGAGGGAGTAGGAAACCAATGATTTCAAGTTTGAAAACAGATCCCAGGACTTTGGGAGGCCAAGGCAGGCAGATCACAAGGTCAGGAGTTCAAGACCAGCCTGGCCAATATGGCAAAACACCATTTCTACTAAAAATACAAAAAATTAGCTGGGCATGGTGGTAATCCCAGGTAACATGCCTGTAATCCCAGCTACTCAGAGGCTGAGGCAGGAGAATCACTTGAACCCAGGAGGTGGAGGTTGCAGTGAGCCAAGATCTCGCCATTGCCCTCCAGCCTGGGAGACAGAGTGAGACACCATTTCGAAATAAATAAATTAAAATTAAAAAAAGGGGAACAACCAATGCAATGTTGAGGTTGTATTTTTATAAACTGACAATACTTGAAACTTGTAATTATTATTTTTGAGAGAGAGTCTTGCCCTGTTACCCAGACGAGTGCAGTGGTGTGATCACCACTCACTGCCATCTCAACCTCCCAGGCTCAAGCAACCCTCCCACCTGAGCCTCCTTACTAGCTGGGACTACAGGCACGTGCCACCACGCCTGTCCAACTTACTTTTTTAGAGAGGGAGCATCTTACTGTGTTGCCTAGAGTGATCTCGCCCTGATCCTCCCACCTCAGCCCCTCGAAGTGCTGGGATTGCAGGTGTGAGCCACCACACCTGGCCCTGGTAACTAATTTTTCAGACTTTGAGAGGATAATGATAAGGACATTGTGTTGTAAAGCTAAAATGTTAACTACAAATGAAAACCCCAAGTGTTTGGAGACATAATTTTTATTTTTCAGATAAAACTCATCAGTGCTTTGAAACCAGCGGCTCTGAACCAAAGGAACCATTTGATAAAAAACACCGGATCTTCTCAGGGCAATGGTGAAAGAAAAGAAAAAAGCAGACAAAAAAGGGGAGAAGTCTGCCTGCTCTCCCTCATCCCTCTCTGATAACCCAGACTTTTCCAAACAAGATGGCAATGCCACTAGGCAAGACATGTCCCCAGTGGGTGTCCCACTGCTGGGAATGCAACTCAACGAAATGAAACCCAAAAAAGACCCCCCAAACGTTCAGCAGAATGAAGATGCCACCCAATATGAAGAATCCATTCTGACCAAACTCATAGTGGAAAGGTGATTTTCATGGGGGTGCAATAGGGTGTAACCCTGCCAGTCAGGCAGTTTTTATTTTATTTTATTTTGAGATGGAGTTTCACTCTTGTTGCCTGGGCTGGAGTGCAATGGCGTGATCTCAGCTCACAGCAACCTCCACCTGCCAGGTTCACGCAGCTCTCCTGCCTCAGCCTTCCAAGTAGCTGGGATTACAGGCATGTGCCACCACGGCCAGCTAATTTTTTGTATTTTTAGTAGAGATGGGGTTTTACTATGTTGGCCAGGGTGGTCTCGAACTTCTGACCTTGCGATCTGCCCACCTCGGCCTCCCACAGTGTTGGGATGACAGGCGTGAGCCACCCAGCCGGACCTATTTTATTTTATTTTGAGACAGAGTTTCACTCTTATCACCCAGGCTGGAGTGCAGTGGCATAATCTCAGCTCGCTGCAACCTCCACCTCCCAGGTTCAAGCGATTCTCCTGCCTCAGCCTCCGGGGTAGTCGGGATTACAGGCACACACCACCACGGCTGGCTAATTTTGTTGTTGTTGTTGTTTTTTGGAGATGGAGTCTCACTCTGTCTCCCAGCCTGGAGTGCAGTGGCTCAATATCAGCTCACTGCAACCTCTGCCACCCAGTTTCAAGTGATTCTCCTGCCTCAGCCTCCTGAGTGGCTGGGATTACAGGCGTGGGCCACCATGTCCGGCTAATTTTTGTATTTTTAGTAGAGACAGGGTTTCACCATCTTGGTCAGGCTGGTCTTCAACTCCTGACCTCGTGGTCCACCCGCCACAGCCTCCCAAGGTGCTGGGATTACAGGTGTGAGCTGCCGTGCAAGGCCAGTTTTTTGGTATTTTTAGTAGAGATGGGGTTTTACCATGTTGGGCAGGATGGTCTCGAATTCCTGACCTCAGGTGATTCACCTGTCTTGGCCTCCCAAAGTGCTAGGATTACAGGCATGAGTCACTGCACCTTGCCTGAAGGTAATTTTATTTATTGTAAAAAATTATTTTATTTTAGATTTAGGGGGTTACATATGCAGGTTTCTTACACGGGCATGTTGTGTGATGCTGAGATTTGGGCTTCTAATAAGCTCATTACCCAAGTAGCAAACACAGAACCCCATGGCATATACTTAGTTTACTGTGGTAAAACATATATAACAAAATGTACTATCTTAATCAATGGCATTAAGTACATTCACAGTGTTGTACAACTATCTATTAAATAGTAACTCCTGGCCAGGTTCGGTGGTTCAAGCCTGTAATCCCAGCACTTTGGGAGGCTGAGGCAGAGGATCACTTCAGGCCAGGAGTTCAAGACCAGCCTGATGAACATGCCGAAACCCCATCTCTACTAAAAACACAAAAATTAGCCAGGTGTGGTGAAGCGCACCTGTAGCCCCAGCTACTCAGGAGGTTGAGGCAGAGAATCACTTGAACCTGGGAGGCAGAGGTTGCAGTGGGCCAAGATGGCGCCACTGCACTCCAGCCTGGGTGACAGAGTGAGACGCCATCTCAAAAACAACACCAACAGCAACAAAATCCTTCATTCCTCACCCCCTCCTTCAAACCCCTGGTAACCTATTCTACTTTATAGCTATGTACATGTATATATATATGTTCATTACCTTGAATGCCCTTTATTTCTTTGTAGCTATGAAGGGGAGAAAGTTCGTGGGCTGTACGAGGGAGAGGGCTTTGCAGCCTTTCAAGGTGGTTGTACCTATCGGGTAAGTTGCCGGCTTGAGAACCTGCAGGAAGGGGAGGAAGGTGTGGGGTGATGGTCGTAGATTTGCAAATCTTCATCACGTCCACTGATGCTTCAAAAGAAACTGGAAGCACTTCATGCTGATTTTATTCTGAACCCCAATGACCTATTTAAGGTCAAAGTAATGCTCAGCATAACAGAAGTGATTTTAGATCTTTTCTTGATTCTTTCTCTTTTTTTTTTTTTTTTGAGACATCATCTCACTTTGTCACCCAGGCTGGAGTGCAACAGCACAATCATAACTCATTGCAGCCTCGATCTCCTGGAGTCAAGCGATCCTCCCTCTTCAGCCTCTTGAATAGCTGGGACTACAGGCGTGTGCTACCATACCTGGCTAATTAATTCATTATTATTATTATTTTTTTTTGGTAGAGCTAAGGACTTGCTATGTTGTCAGGGCTGGTCTTGAACTCCTGGGCACAAGTGATCCTCCTGCCCCAGACTCTTAAAGTGCTGAGAGTGCAGGTGTGAGCCCCCACAATTGGTTGAGAACACATTTCTGTAGCTGAGGTCATCCTTAGCTGATGAAGATGAGGACTTCCCCCTAGATGCTTTTTGGAGAAGCGTGGAGCCAGCTGAAGTAGGACTCCATAGGACTCAGCTGCTGCTGAGCATTCAGACAAGCATCTTCATGCACGTGAAACTGGGCTAAGGCAACTGTGGGATAAAATCATCAGCTGTGGCCCAGGCATGGTGGTTCATCCTGTATCCCAGTACTTTGGGAGTCCGAGGTGGGCGCATCGCTTGAGCTCAGGATTTTGAAACCAGCTCGGCCAACATGGTGAAATCCTGTCTCTACAAAAAAAATACAAAAATTAGCTGAGCATGGTGGCCGATGCCTGTAGTCCTAGCTAGTCAGGAGGCTAAAATGGGAGGATTGCTTGAGCCTGGGAGGTTGAGGCTGCAGTGAGCTGTAATCACACCACTGCGCTTGAGCCTGGGTGACAGAACCAGATCCTAGCTCAGATATAAATATATGGTCAGCTGCATTCTAAGGGTTTGTTGTTGCTTTGCTTCGTTTTGAAGGGTATGTTTTCAGAAGGACTCATGCATGGACAAGGGACTTATATTTGGGCCGATGGATTAAAATATGAGGTAAGGCATATAACCAGTTATAGTTCTAAACTGTGATTGTGGGATGGAACGATCAGTTTCCCACAATTGAACAGACTGTCTTCATAGAAGTCATTCAGAACAAGGATTAAGAAAAATTCACAGAACCGGTCGGGTGCAGTGGCTCATGCCTATAATCACAGCACTCTGGGAGGCCAAGGCAGGTAGATCACGAGGTCAGGAGTTCAAGACCAGCCTGGCCAACATAGTGAAACCCCATCTCTACTAAAAATACAAAAATTGGCTGTGCATGGTGGCATGTGCCTGTAATCCCAGCTACTCAGAAGGCTGAGGCAGGAGAATTGCTTGAACTGGGACCCAGGAGGTGGAGGTTGCCGTGAGCCGATATTGGATCACTGCACTCCAGCCTGGGCTACAGATTGAGACTCTGTCAAAAAAGAAAAAAGAAAAATTCACAGGAGCAAAGGAAGGATATAGTAACTCCTGACTGCATGGGACCCAGCAGTAATTGTTGTTATTGGTTTCATTTGTGTGAAATTCTAGAAGTATTCCATGTGTTCTAAAAGCACAGAGCACACAAACGTGTGTGTGGCCTGTCCTTTTTTTTTTTTTTTTTTTTTTTAACTAATCAGCTGCCAGCAAATATAAAGCATACTTTACTTTGTTTTTTTTTTTTTGGAGACAGGGCTTGCTGTTGTGCCCAGCTGGAGTTCAGTGTTGCAATTACGATTCACTGCAGCCTTGAACTTCTGTAGCCTGTCTTGTTTTTTGCAGATGTGCATAGTTTACTATACACTCTCTTTGGCACCTTTATGTATTTATTTATGTAGTCTGAGGTGGGGTCTTGCTTTGTTGCCCAGGATGAAGTGTAGTGGTGAGATCATGACTCACTGCAGCCTCGAACTCCTAGGCTCAAGTGATCCTCTCGCCTGAGCCTCCTGGGTAACTGTGACTACAGGTGTGCGCCACAGCACCCAGCTAATTTATTTTTACTTTTTTATAGAGATAGGGTCTTGCTGTGTTGCCCAGGCTGGTCTCGATCTCCTGGGCCCAAGCGACCCTCCCACCTTAACCTCCCAAAGTGCTGGGGATTACAGGCGTGAGCCACTGCACCTGGCCTGTACCTTTATTTTTTTTAGAGTTCAACCCATATCCATTCATGCAGATCTAACTGTTTTTACTGGCTGCATGTATTCCATTATGTGGCTTTTATTTAACCTGCCTTGCAGGGTTGAGGGGACTGTGTATTTTTAAACCCATTGCAAGGACCAAATTGTTCTCCAAAGGATTGTATCAGCTTCAATTCCCACCCACAAAGTGAGTGAGAGTCTGAAATGCTAATCTAAAAATCCCCAGTGCAGAGCTGCTCACAGATGGTGTTTATAAATGGTGATGATGACATTTAAAACACATGCACGTAATGCGCTTATTCAGATAACACCCGGGCTCTGATGGAAATGGAGTCAAGCTTGGGCCGCGAAACTAGCTGCAGCTGATCAGTGAGTGGCAGGCTGCAGAGGAGCAGGGAGAGAGAGGGCTGGGCTGACCCTCACTGTCGGGGCGAGGAGGCTCTCCAAGTTCCAGGGAGCTTGAAGATTGGGCCCCCACCTCAGAATCAGGTCAGCTCCCTTCCCATGCGACATCCCGCCTTCTAGCCTGCGACTGACGTGCAAGGTTTCTGGTTCTTATTTTATTTATTTATTTTTCAGACGGAGTCTCACTCTGTTGCCCAGGCTGGGGTACAGTGGCGGAATCTCACCTCACTGCAACCTCCACCTCCTGGGTTCAAGCGATTCTCCATAGTAAAATCCTCCATAGTAGTTGAGATTATGGACGTGTCTCAGCCTCCATAGTAGCTGCGATTACAGACGTGCACTACCACGCTCCACTGATTTTTGTGTTTTTAATAGAGATGGGGGAGGGGGGTTTTTGCCATGTTGGCCAGGATGGTCTCGAACTCCTGACTTGGGTGATCTGCCCACCTCAGCCTCCCAAAGTGCAGGGATTACAGGCTTAAGCCACTGTGCCTGGCCAGTTTCTGGCCCTTAAATCGCGATGTACCAAGAAACCCCCTGTGCTTCGTTGTCTCTGGAAACTCTCGGAAGGTGGGGATGTCACTTTTGCAGCCACAGACCCTCCACTGAAGCTCAGTAAGGGGGGCTTCTGGGCAGGACTCAGGGGTCTCCTAGAAGCATCTTCAGAGAGAGGCTGAATGGCTTCATGGGTCCTGGCTAGTGATCAGGCCAGGCTTCGCTGTCCCCTTTTCTCTGCTGACTCAGCTGCTTCCAGGGAGTTCAGGTTTCTGGAAGAGAATCTGATGCCGTGGGGTACTATGCACTCTGCTGTGTGCTGCCCACTCTGACGTCCCTGGCAGATTGTGTTCCCTCGCGGGTGCCCCTAGCTCAGGCTGTTGACTGACATGTTTACAGAATATTTTGATGACCCATGGCAGAAAGAGGGATTTCTTGGCCAGGAACGGTGGCTCACATCTCTCATCCCAACACTTTGGGAGCCTGGCCAACATAGTAAAACCCCATCTCTACTAAAAATATAAAAATTGGTTGGGCGTGATGGCGTGCACCTGTAATGCTAGCCATTTGGGAGGCAGGAGAATCGCTTAAACCTGGGAGGCAGAGATTGCAGTGAGCTGAGACTGTACCACTGCACTCCACCCTGGGCAACAAGAGCAAAACTCATCTTGGGGGGTGCGGGGGGAAGGGATTTCCCCAGTCATCACGAAGCCTGGAGGGAACAGTGAATTCACCTCCTTTGAGCAGGTTCTGTTTTTGTTTTTTTTTCCATTAGAGACAGGGTCTTGCTCTGTCACCCTGGCTGAAATGCTGTGGTCTTGGTTTGCTGCAGCCTCAACCTCCTGGGCTCAAGTGATCCTCTCCCCTCAGCACCCACAAAGTGCTGGGATTCCAGGCATGCACCACTGCACCTTGGTGGCATGCACCTGTAGTCCCAGCTACTCGGGAGGCCAGGGTGGGAGGATCACTTGAGGCTGGGAGTTTGAGACCAGCCTGGGCAACATAGAGAAAGCCCATCTCAAGAAAATTTAAAAATTAGCAGGGCTTGGTGGCACACACACCTGTAGTCTCAGCTACTTGGAAGCCTGAGGTTCGAGGATCACTTGGGCCTAGGACGTCGAAGCTGCAGTGAGCTATGATTGCGCTACTGTACTCCAACCTAGGTGACAGAGTGAGACCCTATGTCCAAAAAAAAAAAAAAAAATGCCAGGCACAATGTCTCACACCTGTAATCCCAGCATTTTTCAAGGCCGAGGTGGGTGGATCACCTGAGGTCAGGACTTTGAGACCAGCCTGGCCAGCATGGTAAAACCCTGTCTCTACTAAAAATACAAAAAAATTAGCTGGGCCTGATGGCCTCCTGGGTTAAAGTGCCTGTAATCCCAGCTATCTGGGAGGCTGAGGCAGGAGAATTGCTTGAACCTGGGAGGTGGAGGTTGCAGTGAGCAGAGATTTCTCCATTGCACTCCGGCCTGAGGAACAGAGCAAGACTCTGGATTACAGATGTGAGCCACTGTGCCCTGCCAAGGTAGGTTCCAAGAATCTGAAGTTCCCCAGGTCAGGATTGGAAGCCAGCACTTTCCAATGTTACCTGCTTGCTTCTTGGAGCTCCGTCGACCTGCAACCTCCCAGTTACCTCCTACCTGAACTTCTACCCAGTGGTCGGGTCAGATGAGAGAGGATGGAAATGCAGAAAGGGAAGGAAGAGAGAGAATGCTAGGGGGATGTTCAGTGTGTGTCCACAGGAGGAGAGGCAGGAACAGAATCAGAGGCCAAGCGGCACCTGGAACCGCCCACAGAACTAGGGGTTTCCACCCCGCCCCTCGCTTCCTTTTGTCACCCCATGGCCATTCTGCTTCAGGGCGACTTTGTGAAGAACGTCCCAATGAACCACGGTGTGTACACGTGGCCGGACGGCAGCACATATGAAGGCGAAGTGGTCAACGGCATGAGGAACGGATTTGGGATGTTCAAGTGCAGCACCCAGCCTGTGTCCTACATAGGCCACTGGTGCAATGGCAAGCGGCAAGGGAAGGTGGGCGGGGCAGCCAAGGGGTGGTGGGGGAGGGGGTGGGGCAGCCAAGGGGTGGGTGGGAAGGGGGCGGGGCAGCCAAGGGGTTGGCCGGAAGGGGCGGGGCAGCCATGGGGTTGGGTGGCCTTGTGGAGGGCAGGGGAGAGGGCAGGGGAGGGGGCTGGGCGGCCACACGGAGGGAAATAGGGAGTAGGGGCTAGTGACGTTGTCCAGGGCATATCAACTTTTTGTTTATTGAGGTGAAATTCACATCACACAAATTAACCATTTTATTTATTTATTTATTTATTTTTTTGGCATGAAATCTTGCTCTGTCGCCCAGGCTGCAGTGCAGTGGCTAGATCTCGCCTCCCGGGTTCAAGCGATTCTCCTGCCTCAGCCTCAGAGTAGCTGGGACTACACCATGCCCGGCTAATTTTTGTATTTTTAGTAGAGATGAAGTTTCATCATGTTGGCCAGGATGGTCTCGATCTCTTGACCTCGTGATCTGCCCATCTCGGCCCCCCAAAGTTCTGGGATTACAGGTGTGAGCCACTGCGCCCGGCCAGGGTTTCTCTAGGTACTTAATTAATAGTTACTCAATATAATGAATATGCTTGAATATGATGAATAAAGTAATTCTGTGACTTAATATAGCACTTTATTAAGGAGCAATTGCTTTGTGACATTATCTCATTCCCCTGTGCGGCAGTTTCACCATTTTCTTGATAGTAAACAGAAAAATAATGGGTTATATGTCTTGCCTACCTGTGCCGTTGACCTCTGTGTAGTTTCTACTTTTTACGTTGACATCCTTTCAACTATCCTTGATAGTTTTAAAGATGATATTATTTGTTTTAGGGCACCATTTATTACAATCAAGAGGGCACGTGTTGGTACGAGGGAGATTGGGTGCAAAACGTCAAAAAGGGCTGGGGCATAAGATGGTAGGTATGACCGCAGCCGCCCTCAGGGTGTGGGCCCAAATCATGTTCACTTCAGATATTTAAAAGTAGGGTGCAAACGTTGTAGAGAACATTTTCTCTCTAAGCAGAGTGGAATTTTTTTTGAGGGAGCTGGGACGGAGTCATGCTCTGTCACCCAGGCTGGAGTGCAGTGGCGGATCTTGGCTCACCGTAACCTCCGCCTTCTGGGTTCAAGCGATTCTCCTGCCGTGGTCGTATCACTGCACTCCAGCCTGGGTGACAGAGTAAGATCCCATCTCCAAAACTGGCCAAATATTAACTAATCATGATACGATAAAAAAGATTTTAAAAACCCAGTTCTTACCCACCTTGTCACCTTATTAAATAATCAGAAGGTTTAATAAGGTGATCCATTCTGCTGCTCCCTTAGGACCACGTACCTATTCATTGAATTTTTTTGTGTGTGTGAGACAGAATCTTACTCTGTTGCTGAGCTAGAGTGCAGTGGTACAATCTCCGCTCACTGCAATCTCCACCTACTGGGTTCAAGCGATTCTCCTGCCTCATCCTCCCGAGGAGCTGGGTGGCAGGGTGGGTTGCCTGCCACCATGCCTGGATAATATTTGTATTTGTATTTTTTTTTTTTTTTGAGATGGAGTTTTGCTCTTGTTGCCCAGGCTGGAGTGCAGTGGTGCGATCTCAGCTCACCACAATTTCCACCTCCTGGGTTCAAGTGATTGTCCTGCCTCAGCCTCCTGAGTGGCTTGGATTACAGGCACGTGCCACGACACCCAGCTAATTTTGTATTTTTAGTAGAGACAGGGTTTCTCCATGTTGGTCAGGCTAGTCTCAAACTCCTGACCTCAGGTGATCCACCCTTTTCAGCCTCCCAAAGTGTTGGGATTACAGGCGTGAGCCACCATGCCTGGCCTGGATTTAAATACTGAGAAGATTGTATAGGTGCAAGGGTTGGATTTCTTCAAAGGAGTTCAAGGGGAATGTTTAAAAGAAATTCTTAAAGGTGAATGTCATGTAGGAGGCGACTGATTGCTTTTCTTTGGTTTCATTCATCCTAGTTATAAATCTGGAAATATATACGAAGGCCAGTGGGAAGACAACGTGCGCCACGGGGAGGGTAGGATGAGGTGGCTGACTGCCAACCAAGAATACACCGGGCAGTGGGAGAGGGGCATCCAGGTATGACCAGGTGAGCTAGCGGCTTATACCCAGAGGCGGGCATGCCGATGATTCTCAACTCACGTGTTACTATTTTTGTTTTGTTTAGTTTTGTTTGAGATGGAGTCTCTCTCTCTGTCACAGAGGCTGGAGTGCAGTGGCATGATCTCGGCTCACTGCAGCCTCCACTTCCTGGGTTGAAGCAATTCTCCTGCTTCAGCCTCCAGAGTAGCTGAAATTATAGGTGCCTACCACCATGCCTGGCTAATTATTATTATTTTTTTTGTATTTTTAGTAGAGATGGGGTTTCACCATGCTAATTAGCCTCGCTGGTTTCAAACTCCTGACCTCAAGTGATCCATCTGCCTTGGCCTCCCAAAGTGCTAGGATTACAGGCGTGAGCCACCATTCCTGGCCTGTTTGTTTGTTTTGAGATGGAGTCTCACCTCGCTCTGTCACCCAGGCTAGAATACAATGGCATGATCTCGGCTCACTGCAACCTCCACCTCCCCAGGTTCAAATGATTCTCTTGCCTCAGCCTCCTGAGTAGCTGGGATTACAGGTAACTGCCACCACTCCCAGCTAATTTTTGTATTTTTAGTAGAGATGAGGTTTCACCATGTTGATCAGGCTGGTCTCAAACTCATGATCTCATGATCTTCCTGCCTCTGTCTCCCAAAGTGCTGGGATTACAGGCATGAGCCACCATACTCAGCCTGTTTGTTTTTAGAGACAGAGTCTTGCTCTGTTGCCCAGGCCAGACTGCAGTGGTGCAATCATGGCTCTCCCTGGCTCAAGCAATCCTCCCACCTCAGCCTCCTGTGTAACTGAGACTACATATGCCCACTACCACCGTGCCTAATTAAAAAAAATTTTTTTTTAATTTTTTAAATTTATTATTATTATTTTTTTTTTGTAGTGACAAAGTCTCACTTTACTACTCAGACTGGTCTTGAACTCCTATGTTCATGAGATCCTCCCACCTCTGCCTCTTAAAGCACTAGGATTACAGGCATGAGCCACAGCCCCCAGCCCAATTTGTATCTTTAAAAAATAAAAATTTTTAAATTTTTATTTTAGGTTGGGTGCAGTGACTCACACCTGTAATCCCAGCACTTTGGGAGGCCACTTGAGGACTGAGGCCAGGAGTTTGAGACCAGCCTCAGCAATATGGTGAAACCTCATCTCTACTAAAAATATAAAAAATAGCCAGAAGTGGTGGTGGGTGCCTGTACTCCTGGCTACTTAGGAGACTGAGGTGGGAGAATCACCTGAGTCTTGGAGGTCAAGGCTGCAGGGAGCCAAGATTGTGCCACTGTACTCCAGCCTGGGCGATAGAGTGACACCCTTTCTCAAAAAATAAAAACACATAAAAGTAAATAAACAAATATTTAAAATAACAGTGAAAATCATAATGATTAAGCCAGGCACTTTGTATACACTTCACTCCACTTTATAGTAGGACGTGGTTTCAACATGATGGCCAGGCTGGTTTTGAACTCCTTCATATCTATCTAACCTGAGGGGTAGGTGTTGTTTCTGTTTTACCCATGAGGAGCTTAGAGGGCTTAAATGATCTGCCTTGTGTGACTCCAGAGTCCAAGTTCTTTGCCCCTTCCAGTTTTCATTGTATTTGTCCTAATTTTAAGTGGATTTGGGTAAAGAGAGAAACTGCTTTGTGCTTTTTTTTTTTTTTTTTTTGAGAAGGAGTTTTGCTCTTGTTGCCCGGGCTGGAGTGCGATGGGACAGTCTCGGCTCACCGCAACCTCTGCCTCCTGGGTTCAAGTGATTCTTCTGCCTTAGCCTTTTGTATTTTTTAAATACAAAAATTAGCTGGGATCACAGGCACGCGCCACTACACCCAGTTAATTTTTGTATGTTTAGTCGAGATGGGGTTTCACCATGTTGGTTAGGCTGGTCTCGAAGACTTCAGGTGATCCAGCCACCTTAGCTTCTCAAAATGCTGGGATTACAGGAGTGAGCCACCGTGCCCAGCCTGCTTTGTTCATTTCTGATGTGAGTTTGCTTTCTTTTCAGAATGGCTTTGGAACACACACGTGGTTTCTAAAGAGAATCCCCAATTCCCAGTATCCTTTGAGAAACGAATACATAGGAGAGTTTGTGAATGGATATCGTCACGGACATGGCAAATTTTATTATGCCAGTGGAGCCATGTATGATGGAGAATGGGTTTTCAATAAGAAACACGGCATGGTGAGTATAGACCTGGGAAGATCACATTTTAAATAATTATGTAAAGCCATTGAAATTATGTAAAGCAATTGAAACATCCAAGTATAATTGCAGATTTGTCTATTTCTATTTCCAGATGTATCCGTTTTTGCTTCATATATTTGAAACTTTACTGTTAGGTACATACACACTTTGGAATATTATGTATTAGTACATGGGCTCTTTTGATCATCACATAATGTTCCTCATTAACGCTGCTAATTTTCTTTTCTTTCTTTCTTTTTTTTTTTTTTGAGATGGATTCTTGCTCTGTTGCCCGGGCTGGCGTACATCCATCCAACCTCAGCTCACTGCAACCTCTGCCTTCTGGGTTCAAGTGATTCTCCTGCCTCAGCCTCCCAAGTAGCTGGGATTACAGGTGCCTGCCACCACACCTGGCTAATTTTTGTATTTTTAGTAGAGATGGGGTTTCATCGTGTTGGCCAGGCTGGTCTCAAACTCCTGAAATCAAGTGATCCACCCCTCCTCGGCCTCCCAAAGTGCTGGGATTACAGGCATGAGCCACCATGCCTGGCCAACTCTGGTAATTTTCATTTCTCTGAGGTCTATTTTGTCTGATGTAAATATAGGCACTTTAGATTTCTAATTTTAATTGTGGTAAAGTACACTTAAGAGTTACCATCTTGGCTGGGTACGGTCGCTCGTGCCTGTAATCCCAGTACTTTGGGTGGCCGAGGTGGGCAGATCCCCTAAGGTCAGGAGTTCCATATCAGCCTGGCCAACATGGTGAAATCCTGTCTCTACGAAAAATACAAAAAATTTTGGCTGGACCTGGTGGTTGCCTGTAGTAGCAGCAATTTGGGGAGGCTGAGGCAGGAGAATCACTTGAACCTGGGAGGCTGAGGTTGCAGTGAGCTGAGATCACGCCACTGCACTCCAGCCTGGGCAACAAAGTGAAACTCCATCTCAAAAAAAAGACGATTTACCATCTTAACTATTTGTAAACGCACAACTCATTGGCATTAAGTGTGTTCACACTGTTGAGCAACCAGCACCACCGTCCACCTCCAGAACTCCTTTTCACAAAAGGCATCATGTCATTCTCCATCAAATTGCATTGTCCATTTTGCATAGGATAACTTAACTGTTTTGCTAAGGTGATTACATGACTTTTTTTGTTTTGTTTTGTTTTGTTTTTGAGACAGAGTTTCGCTCTGTCCCCCAGGATGGAGTGCAGTGGTACTATCTTGGTTCACTGCAACCTCCACCTCCTGAGTTCAAGCTATTCTTGTGCCTCAGCCTCTCCAGTAGCTGGGATTACAGGCACCCGCCACTACCCCAGGCTCTTTTCTTTTTTTTTTTTCAGTACTGACGGAGGTTTCACAATGTTGGCCAAGCTGGTCTTGAACTCCTGGCCTCAAGTGATCCTCCTACCTCAGCCTCCCAAAGTGCTGGGATTACAGGCATGAGCCACTGTGCCCGGCAAAATATTTTCAATGGTCTTTGATTTCCTGTATATTTAGTGGTTATTTAATTAGTTTTTTCTGTGCGTGTGTGTGTGTGTAAGGGTGGCTTTGGTTTGCAAGTAACAGACAATCTAGTGTCATCTACCAGGTATAATACTGAATAATGCAGGCTTCAGGGTTGGTTTGACTCAGCAACTCAGTGCTGTCAGGATTTCTCTTCCGTCTGTCCATAATATCTCCCACTATGTCACTTTCACCCTTGCGGTTTTCCTCCCTCATGACTGCAGGATGGCTGCTATGGTTCCAGCCTTCACATCCGTGTACCATACTATCTAGAAGAAAAGGAGGAACTTTTTTTTTTTTTTTCTTGAGATAGAGTCTTGGTCTGTTGCCCAGGCTGGAGTGCAGTGGTGCAGTCTCAGCTTACTGCAATCTCTGCCTCTGTGTTCAAGCTGTTCTCCTGCCTCAGCCTCCTGAGTGTGGACTACAGGTGTGTGCCACCATGCCAGGCTGATTTTTATACTTTTAGTAGACATGCGGTTTCACCATGTTAGCCAGGATGGTCTCGATCTCTTGACCTTCTGATAACGCCCACCTTGGCCTTCCAAGTGCTGAGATTACAGGCATGAGCCACTGTGCCTGGTCCAAAAAGGAGGAACTCTTTATAAGAGCTCTTTACAAATGTCTTTGATTTTACAGAGCCAAATTGGGTCATTTGCCCATTTTGAATCAGTAACTGTCTATTGACCTGGGTTTGACAAATCTGCAGGAGTCTTGGCCGGGCGTGGTGACTCATGCCTGTAATCCCAGCACTTTGAGAGTCTGAGGCAGACGGATCACTTGAGGTGAGGAGTTTGAGACCAGCCTAGGCAAACACCCCATCTCTACTAAAAATACAAAAATTAGCCAGACATGGAGGTGGGCACCTGTAATCCCAGCTACTCGGGAGGCTGAGGAAGGAGAATCCCTTGAACCCCAGGAGGCGAAGGTTGCAGTGAGCCAAGATTATGACACTGCACTCCAGCCTGGAGGACAGAGCAAGATTCTGTCTTAAAAAAAAAAAAAATCGAAGAGTCTCTTGTGTGATGGGCATTCTGCTGGTCAGTAGCCTAGTTTAATAAGACACATTCTGTGGCCTAGAGGTGCTTAAAATTGCAGAAAAGTTGTGGGGCAGATACAGAGAGAGAGGAGGAGCCATAGAAAGGGGAGGTAGAGAGAGAGGACTTATACAGTGTATGAGACCCCAGGAGCCTGATGATATGTGGAGCATGTCTTCAAACAAAAAGCTCCAAACTCTTGAAAAAGCTATTGATGTACATTTACCAGTGTTTTTCTAAGAAAACTTTTTCTTTCTTTCTTTCTTTCTTTTTTTTTTTTTTTTTGAGATGAAGTTTTGCTCTCGTTGCCCAGGCTGGAGTAGGGTAGTTCAATCTTGACTCACTGCAACCTCCAACTCCTGGGTTCAAGCGATTCTCCTGCCTTGGCCTCCCGAGTAGGTAGGATTACAGGCATGTGCCATCACGCCCCGCTAATTTTGTATTTTTAGCAGAGATGGGGTTTCTCCATGTTGGTCAGGCTGGTCTCAAACTCCCAGCCTCAGGTGATCCACCCGCCTCGGCCTCCCAAAGTGCTGGGATTACAGGCGTGAGCCACCTCGCCTGGCAAAAACTCTTTCTAAACTGCACAAAGTTGTTTTTCTGTCTGCAGGGCCAATTAACTTTCAAGAATGGGCGTGTGTTCAAAGGCGAATTCTCCAATGACCACATAGCTGGGTTTCCAGATCTCAAAGTTGAATTCATCAGCTGCCAGGACCTGTCTTCAGGAGTTGCCCAAAGATTGTCTGAGAGTGCCGGTAGGAAGCGTTCACCTGTTGAAATAATATTCATCTGTTTCTATCCATGGTGTCCACTCGTGAAATTACACCAAACACTTCAGAAAACAGGAGTCCTCTGTGAGGAACTTTTTTTTAAATTTGAGACAGAGTCTTACGCTGTCACCCAGGCTGGAATGCAGTGATACGCTCACTGTTCACTACGGCCTCAAACTTCTGGGCTCAGCCTCCCCATTAGCTGGGAATACAGGTATGCACCACCATGCCTGGATAATTTTTAAACTTTTTGTAGAGACAGGGTCTCGCTATGTTGTCGAGGCTGGTTCAAACTCCTGTCCTCAAGCAGTCATCTTGCCTCGGCCTCCCAAAATGTTGAGATTACAGGTGCAGGCCATCGTGCCTGGCTAGCAACTGCTTTAAAAAATGTTTTTTTAGAGATGGGATCTCTCTGTTGCCCAGATTGGAGTGATGGGGTGTGATCATAGCTCATTGCAGCCTTAACCTCCCATTTTGGCTTCCCCAAGTGCTGGGATTACAGGCATGAGCCACTGTGCCCACCTGCTTTCTTAGTAGCTTTTTGGAATACTTTCATATCTCAGTTTGGTGAGAAATCACTGTGACATAACATTGAGAAATTTTAACATTGCTTTTCATAATTACCTCCAAGGATGGGCATGGTGGCTCATGCCTGTAATCTCAGTACTTTGGGAGGCCAAGGCAGGTAGATCGCTTGAGCTCAGGAGTTCAAGACTTGGGCAACATGGTAAAACCCCGTGTCAATAAAAAAAACAGAAAAATTAGCTGGCCATGATGGCACATGTCTGCAGTCCAGCTACTCGGGAGGCTAAGGATTGTTTGAGCCTGGGAGGCAGAGTTTGTGGTAAGCTGAGGTTGTGCCACTGCACTCCAGCCTGTGCAACGGAGTGAGGTCCTGTCTCAGAAAAACAAAACAAAAACAACCACCAAACCATAATCATCCCCTGCTTTTGCCTTTATTCGTTAGAACTGATCAGAAAGCTTGATGGCAGTGAAAGTCATTCTGTGTTGGGATCAAGCTTTGAGCTGGATTTAAATTTGCTCCTGAACATGTACCCTGAGACAGTCCAACCTGAAGAAAAGAAGCAGGTAAAATCCTTTTTATTGCTATCAATTTCATCCTGGGGAAATATAGCTGGCAGCTGCTGTCCCGTGTTGAATGTTTTTTTTTTTTTTTTGAGGCAGAGTGTTGCTCTGTCGCCCAGGCTGGAGTGCAGTGACATGATCTCGGCTCACTGCAACCTCTGCCTCCTGGGTTCAAGCAATTCTCCTGCCTCAGCCTCCTGAGTAGCTTGGATTACAGGCAACCGCCATTATGCCTGGCTAATTTTTATATTTTTGTAGAGATGGGTTTCAACATGTTGGCCAAGGTTGTCTCGAACTCCTGACCTCAGGTGATCTGCCTGGCTTGGCCTCCCAAAGTGTTGGGATTACAGGCATGAGCCACTGTGCCAGGCATGGAACAATGCTTTAGATCGGGTAGACTATACATGTTTATTCAGTTGAATTGAGATTTTTCTTTTGTTATTTTTTTGAGACAGAGTCTTGCTATGTCACCCAGGCTGAAGTGCAGTGGTGCGATCTTGGCTCACTGTAACCTCCACCTCCCGAGTTCAAGTGATTCTCCTGCTTCAGGCTCCTGAGTAGCTGGGATTACAGACGCCTGCCACCATGCCCAGCTAATTTTGTATTTTTAGTAGAGATAGGGTTTTACGATCTTGGCCAGGCTGGTCTTGAACTCCTGACCTCAGGTGATCCTCCTGCCTTGGCCTCCCAAAGTGGTAGGATTACAGGATTGAGCCACTGTGCCTGGCCACCTTTTGTTCTTACTCCGCAGGATTAAGACACGCATGGCTTGCTTCCTTTCAGGTAGAATACGCTGTCTTAAGAAACATTACAGAATTAAGAAGAATCTATAGCTTTTATAGCAGCCTGGGATGCGACCACTCTCTGGATAATACCTTTCTGATGACAAAGCTTCACTTCTGGAGATTTCTAAAGGATTGCAAATTTCATCACCACAAACTAACTGTTGCTGATATGGACAGGATATTAAGTGGTGAGTATTCCAGGTCCTTCACATCTTTTGGTTTAAAGCAGGGGTCTCCAACCCCTGAGCCTTGGACCAGTACTGGTCTGTGGCCTGTTAGGAACCAGGCTGCACAGTGGAATGTGAGCAGTGGGCAAGCAAGTGAATCTTCATCTGTGTGTTTTTTTTTTTGAGATGGAGTCTTGCTCTGTAACCCAGGCTGGAGTGCACTGGCACTATCTTGGCTCATTGCCACCTCCGCCTCCCAGATTCAAGCGAGTCTCCTGCCTCAGCCTCCCAGGTAGCTGGGATTACAGGCGTGCATCACTATGCCCAGCTAACGTTTGTATTTTTAGTAGACATGGGGTTTCACCATGTTGGCCAGGCTGGTCTCGAACTCCTGACCTTGTGATCCACCCCCGCCTTGGCCTCCCAAAGTGCTGGGATTACAGGTGTGAGCCATTGCGTCTGGCCCCTTGATCTGTTTTTATAGCTGCTCCCCATCACTGGCATTACCGCCTGAGCTCTGCCTCCTGCAGATCAGCAGCAGTATTAGATTCTGTAAGAGCATGAATCCTGTGAACTGCACGTGAGTGGGATCTAGGTTGCGCGTTCCTTATGAGAATCCAATACCAGGCGTTCTGTCATTGTCTCCCGGTACCGCCAGATGGAACCATCTAGCTGCAGGCAAACAAGATCATGGCTCCCACTGATTCTGCATGATGGTGATTTGTACAATTGTTTCATTTTGTATTACAGTGTAGTAATAATAGAAATAAAGTGGCCACACCTGTAATCCCAGCACTTTGGGAGGCCAAGGCAGGCAGATCACTAGGTCAGAAGTTCAAGACCACCCTGGCCAATATGGTAAAATCCTGTCTCTACTAAAAATACAAAACACAAAATTAGCTGGGTGTGGTGGCATGTGCCTGTAGTCTCAGCTACTCGGGAGGCGGAGACAGAAGAATCGCTTGAACCTGGGAGGCAGAGGTTGAAGTGAGCGGAGATCGTGCCAATGCACTCCAGCCTGGGCGACAGAGTGAGATTTCGTCTCAAAATAATAATAATAATAGAAATAAAGTGCACAGTAATTGTGATGCACTTGAATCATCCTGAAACCAACAACCTCCTACCCCTTCCCACCATTCATGGAAAAATTGTCTTCCACAAAATCGGTCCCCCGTGCTAAAAGGGGTGGGGACCGCTGGTTTAAAGGGCAGTATCACAATGTCACCTGGAAACCAGTTAGGAAATGTGGAGGGAGTGGGGAGGGCCTAGGTTGGGAGAAGTGTTCCAGAAATCATCACGAGGTCTTGTTCCCCTGGTGATGATGATGTACTTGAAGAGACAGTTTTATGACGAAACAGCAGTGGTAGGAGGTCAGCTACAGCAGGGCCAGCAACGCATGGCCCCGGGGTGAAATCCAGCCAGCCCACCCCCTGTTCCCCTAAATCATGCTTTACTGGAACACAGACATGCCCGTTTGCTGATGTGTCTGTGACTACCTTTCCCTAAAGCACCACAGCTGAGGGGTTGTGATGGAGATTGTCTGGACCAACAAGCCTGAAATATTTACTCTCTGGCCCTTTACGGAAAGTTTGCCTCCCTCTCTCCCCAGACCACCGATCTATAGTAAAAAAGCCCTCAATTGTCAGGTCAGAAATGGGGAGATGGCCAGGAGTGGTGGCTTCCACCTATAATCCCAGCACTTTGGGACCCAAGGTGGCTGGATCACTTGAGGTCAGGAGTGTGAGACCAGCCTGGCCAACATGGTAAAATCCTATCTCTACTAAAAATACAAAAATTAGCCAGGTGTGGTGGCATGCGCCTGCAGCCTCAGTTACTCAGTGGGAGGCTGAGGCAGTAGAATTGCTTGAGCCTAGGAGATGGAGGTTGCAGTAAGTCAAGATTTCCAGCCTAGGTGACAGAGTGAGACTCTGTCTCAAAAGGCTGGGTGCAGTGGCTCCTGCCTGTAATTCCAGCAGTTTCAGAGGTTGAGGTGGGTGGATCATGAGGTCAGGAGTTCAAGATCAACGTGGCCAATATGGTGAAATCCCATCTCTACTAAAAATACAACAATTAGCCAGGCGTGTTGGTGCACCCCTGTAGTCCCAGCTACTCGGGAGGCTGAGGCAGGAGAATTGCTTTAATTTGGCAGGCAGAGGTTGCAGTGAGCTGAGATCGCGTCACTGCACTCCAGCCTGGGCGACAGAGCGAAACGCTGTCTCAAAAAAAAAAAAAAAAAAAAAAAAAAGGTGAAGATAATCAGCAATGTCTTGGAAGAGTCTAGAAAAGGCCTTAAGTAGTCTCAGGATTGGTCTTGATTTCAAACTGGGAGGTTGATGTGATTAAATTTAACAGCTTTGGAGGTTTGACTTCTTTCAGCTGAATTCTGGGAAACAGAGTTAAAAGCTTCAAATTATCCACTTGAAAAATAAAGTATTGGAAAAAGTTCCCATTTACTTCAAAGTTTAGTGTTTGAACCATACTTAAAATTCATTTAGAATTAGCAGCACTCATCATATTGCGTCTCAGACTACTCTGGAAAACACTGGGACAAGATGTCTTGTAAAGGAGCCAGCCAGAGTGACTATTTTTTTGTGTGAGTTGGCGTCTCACTCTGTCACCCAGGTTGGAGTGCAGTGGCTCGATCTTGGCTCACTGCAACCTCCGCCTCTGGGGTTCCAGCGATTCTCCAGCCTCAGCCTCCCCAGAAGCTAGGATTACAGGCACACGCCACCATGCTCGGCTAAGTTTTTGTATTTTTAATAGAGACAGGGATTTGCCACGTTGCCCAGGTTGGTCTTGATCTCCTGACATCAGGCAGTTTGTCTGCCTCAACCTCCCAAAGTCCTGGGATTACAGGCATGAGCCACCATGCCTGGCTTTCACAGGGTTTTAAATTTTTAGCTGGACGCTTATATATGTTCAGAGCATTCTGCAATAAGTACTCTGTCCCGTCCTGTTCTTTGAATTGTATACCAGGAGCAAATAAAATAGAAGGTTCCAGCATATCCCAGGCATCCTCTCCAATTTTCTTATTTTAGCCAATAATGACATACCAGTTGAAGAAATCCATTCTCCATTTACAACAATACTTTTGAGAACATTTTTGAATTATCTCCTGCATTTGGCGTACCACATTTATCATGAAGAATTCCAGTAAGTACTACTTATTGGCTCCTCGTTGGGGGACAGGACACAGCCAAGCGGTATTATTGTCATAGTGCCCTCTTTTCTTCGGCAGCCATTTATTTTTTGAGGTGTAGTCTTGCTGTGTCGCCTAGGCTGGAATGCAGTGGCGTGACCTTGGCTCACTGCAATCTCCGCCTCCCAGGTTCCAGTGATTCTCCTGCCCCAGCCTCCCGAGAAGCTGGGATTATAGGCACGCACCACCACACCCAGCTGATTTTTTGTATTTTCAGTAGAGATGGAATTTCATCATGCTGGCCAGGCTAGTCTTGAACTCCTGACCTGAAGTGATCTGCCTGCCTTGGTCTCCCAAAGTGCTGGGGTTACAGGCGGGAGCCACAGTGCCCAGCCTTCCCTTTATATACTCTATACCTTAGAATGAAATTATTAAGTCTCGCCCATGCTCAAGGAGAAGGGAATTCCCTCTTTTGGAAGAGAAGTAACTATGATATCTTTTGATCATTATCACAGAAAGAGAAGCCCATCGCTCTTCTTGTGTTTTACAAAACTGATGACCCAGAACATTCGTCCAAATGCCTGCCAGGTAAAAGGTGAATACAAAACCAATAGAATTATATTTACTGCCATTATTTTCTCAAAATATAAGTAGGGGGTGGGTGCGGTGGCTCATACCTGCAATCCCAGCATTGTGGGAGGCTGAGGCGGGTGGATCACCTGAGGTCAGGAGTTCAAAACCAGCCTGGCCAGCATGGCGAAGCCCTATCTCTACCAAAAATACAAAATATTAGCCAGGTGTGGTGGCACATGCCTGTAATCCCAGGTACTTGGCAAGGCTGAGGCAGGAGATTCGCTTGAACCCAGCAGGTGGAGGTTGCAGTGAGCCGAGATCGTGCCATTGCACTGTAGCCTGGGCAACAGCAAAACTCTGTCTTGGAAAAAATCAAAGACAAAAGAATTATATTTACCGCCTTTTCTTTTCTCCAAAGATAAATCTGTAACCATTTTTTGAATGTCATATTTTTAGGCAATCTATTCTGTGAGCAGCAGCGGACACTCTACTCTATGAGTTACATCAGTAAGTGCTGGGAGATTTATCTAGCTTACTGCAGACCCAGCGCGGCACCTCCCCATGAGCTTACCATGAAGACGAGACACTTCCTCTGGATGCTGAAAGTAACCACCTAAGTTTGATATTGACTTTCTACTTACAAGCACTTTGATTTTAATGAAAGAAAGGCACGATATTCTAGCTATGATATGCAAACAATCAGCTGAAGATCTGGGTGCATTTTCATGACCATTGAATGTTTACTGATTCTCTTGGCAGAAGAGTGGTCTATGGTTGTGGAAGGAACAGAGCCGTCATCTGCTGGATGTGCTTGAAGATTAGGGCAAGATAATGGCTTGTGGCTTACAATATCTTTTTTTGAGATTGAGTTTTGCTCTTGTCATCCAGGCTGGAGTGCAGTGGCATGATCTCAGCTCACTGCAACCTCCACCTGCTGGGTTCAAGTGATTCTCCTACCTCAGCCTCCCGAGTAGCTGAGATTATAGGTGCCTACCACCATGCCTAGCTAATTTTTGTATTTTTAGTAGACATGGGTTTTCACCATGTTGGCCAGGCTGGTCTCGAACTCCTGACCTCAGGTGATCCACCCGCCTCAGCCTCCCAAAGTGCTGGGATTACAGGCGTGAGCCACCTCACCCACCTGGCCTACAATATCTTTACTCATGCAGATCCAGCCATTTGAAGGAAGTTGGGGCCGAGTGCCGTGGCACACACCTGTAATTTCAGCACTTTGGGAGGCCAAGGCAGGAGGATCACTTGGGCTTAGGAGTTTAAGACCAGCCTGGGCAACATAGTGAGACTCCCCTGCCTACAGAAAATTAAAAAAAAAAAAAAACTTAGCTGGGCGTGGTGGTGCACACCTATAGTCCCAGCTACTTGGGAGGCTGCAGTAAGCCTGTGATCGTGCCACTGCATTCTAGCCTGGCTGACAGAGTGAGGCCCTGTCTCAAAAAAGTCCCAAGAAAAACCAAAAAGGTGGTAACGCGGTTGTGCCTGGTGAATTAAAAAATAATAATAAGAAGAAAAAATAAGAAAAACAAAACAGGAAAACGAAGAAACACTTTGTTTGATGAACTGAAGTGTTGTCTGCTCCTAGAAGAGCAATAAAGCCAACTGAAATCTTTAAAAAAAGGAAGGAAGGACTTCAGAATGCCAAGGCAGGTGGATCACCTGAGGTCAGGAGTTCGAGACCAGCCTGGTAAACACTGTGAAACCTGTCTCTACTAAAAATACAAAAGAATTAGCCAGGCCTGGTGGCAGGAGCCTGAAATCCCATCTACTTGGGAGGCTGAGGCAGGAGAATTGCTTGAACCCGGGAGGCAGAGGTTGCAATGAGCTGAGGTCCCACAACTGCACTCCAGCCTGGGTAACAAGAGCAAAACTCTATCTAAAAGGAAGGACGTGAGGAGGATGAATGAGCTTTAAAAATACAGTTTATCAAAAAAGACTTTTTGTTTTTTTGGAAAGATGGTTTCACCATGTTGGCCAGGGTGTTCTCGATCTGTTAACCTCATCATCCACCCACCTCAGCCTCCCAAAGTGATTGGATTACAGGCGTGACCCACCGCATCCGGCCCCGATATAGGTATTTTTAATGGTTATTACTTGGGAAAATAGTGACAACATCTTATTGATACGATGTTCTCATAGTGTTGGTTGTTTTTGTTCCATGATATCATGATACATTTTTTTTTTTTTTTTTTTTAAATGGAGTCTCGCTCTTTCACCAGGCTGGAGTGCAGTGGCGTGATCTCAACTCACTGCAACCTCTGCCTCCCGGGCTCAAGCAGTTCTCCTGCCTCAGCCTCCCGAGTAGCTGGTACTACAGGTGTGTGCCACCACACCCAGCTAATTTTTATATTTATGGTAGAGACGGGGTTTCACTCTGTTGGCCAGGATGGTCTCAATCTCTTGACCTTGTGATCTGCCTCGGTCTCCCAAAGTGTTGGGATTACAGGCGTGAGCCACTGTGCCCTGCCTGTTCCATGATACTTTTAATTTGTATTTGTGAGAATACAAGAAACAGAATCAAATACTAATAATAGAGTGTTTTTACAAATTTCATTATGTTGTATACATATGGAAAACGGATAATAACCTTGTGTCTAACTGTAGGAAAATAGTTTTGTTTTTATGAACAAGGGTCTCCCCCTGTCACCCAGACTGCAGTGCAGTGGCGCAGTCTTGGCTCGTGATCCTCCCACTTCAGCCTCCTTAGTAGCTGGGACTACATGTGTGCACCACCATGCCCAGCTAATTTTTCTAGTTTTTGTAGAGACAGGTTCTTGCCATGTTTCCCGGCTGGTCTTAAACTCCTGGACTCAAGCAATCCTTTTGCCTCAGCCTCCTGTAGTGGTGGAATTACAGGTGTGAATCACTGCACCTGGCCCTTTCTATTTTTTCATTTGTTTCAAGCATGTTTGCAATTGTCCATTGAAGCTTTTTTTTTTTTTTTTTTTTTTTTTGAGGTGGAGTCTTGCTCTATCACCCAGGCTAGAGTGCCGTGGCACGGTTTCAGCTCACTGCAACCTCCGCCTCCTGGGTCAAGCGAGTCTCCTTCCTCAGCCTCCCGAGTAGCTGGGATTACAGGTGCGTGTCATCACGCCCAGCTATTTCTTTGTATTTTAGTAGAGATGGGGTTTCATCATGTTGCCCAGGCTGGTCTCAAACTCCTGAGCTCAGGTGATTCACACAACTCAGCCTCCCAAAGCGCTAGGATCAGAGGCATGAGCCACCACACCCGGCCTCACTGAAGCATTTTTGTAATGACTGTCTTACAATCTTTGTTAGTCAATTGTAGCACTGCTGCCATCTTGGTGACGGCATCTGTGTATTCTCTTTTTTTCATTCAGTTTGAGATCTTCCTGGTTCTTGGTGTGAGTGATTTTATGTATTTATTTTTTGTGATGGAGTCTTGTTCTGTCTCCCAGACAAGTGCAGTGGCATGATCTCGGCTCACTGCAACCTCTGCCCCCTGGTTCAAGCAATTCTCCTGCCTCAACCTCCCAAGTAGCTGGGATTATAGGCATGCGCCACCACGCCGGTCTAATTTTTGTAGTTTTAGGGAGACGGGGTTTCCCTATGTTGCCCAGGCTGGTCAGTAGAGTGATTTTTTAAAAAAATAGTGAAACCTGAACATTTGAGTACAGTAAGTCCTTGCTTAATATTATTGATAGGTTCTTGGAAACTGTGACTTTAACCAGTGCTGTAGGAGCTTAACTCTTCTTTATGTCAGTTATTCTATGGGAAAGTTCGTTTTGTTATGTAGTACGTTGTTTCTGTACGTGCTTTTCAGCCTCCAGCATTGTGTTATTATTTCATACCTGAGGCCAACGTGGTGGTTCACTCCTGTAATCCCAGCACTTTGGGAGGTTGAGGCAGGCGGATCACGAGGTCAGGAGTTCAAGACCAGCCTGGACAACATGGTAAAACCCTGTCTATGCTAAAAATACAAAAATAACTGGGCATGGTGGGTTGGCCCTGTAATCTGAGCTACTCAGGAAGCTGAGGCGGGACAATCATTTGAACCCAGGAGGCGGAGGTTGCAGTAAGCTGAGATCAGGCCATTGCACTTCAGCCTGGGTGACAGGGTGAGACTCCGTCTCAAAAAAAAAAAAAAAAAAAAAAAAAATTCACACCTGGACCATATTCTGTGTCCTATTCTGATGCCAAAAAATACTTTATTTTTACTTTGGAGGTACTAGGGAAGGGGTAGAGAAGTAAATACCGATGTGTGTATAGGGGTGCTGGGGTTTGGTTTGTTTTTTAAGATGGGGTCTTGCTCTGTCACTTGGGCTAGAGTGCAGTGTTGTGATCACAGCTCACCGTAGCCTCAAACTTCTGGATTTAAGTGATCCTCCCACTTCAGCCTCCTGATTAGCCAGGACTGCAGGCATACACCACCATGCTCAGCCCACATCTTAATTTTTTTGTAGAGACAGGGTCTTGCTATGTTACCCAGGCGGGTCCCCATCTCTTGGGTTCAAGTGATCTTCCCACCTTAGCCTCAGAAGATTGAGATTACAGGTGTGAGTCACCATGCCTGGCCATAAATACCCTTAATCCAGAATGCTTTTCAAAATTATCAGTCTTTAAGATATTATTTTCTGGCTGTGCACAGTGGCTCACGACTGTAATCTTAGCACTTTGGAAGGCCGAGGCAGGCAGATCAGTTGAGATCAGGAGTTCGAGACCAGCCTGGCCAACATTGTGAAACTCTATCTCTACTAAAAAATACAAAAATTAGCTGGACGTGGTAGCACACGCCTGTAGTCCCAGCTACTTGGGAAGCTGAGGTAGGAGAATTGCTTGAACCCAGAAGGTGGAGGTTGCAATGGGCCAAGATCACACCACTACACTCCAGCCTGGGTGACAGAGTGAGATTCTGTCTCTCAAACAGAAAAAAGTTATTAATTTCTGGTAAATTGTCTTAAATTATTGTATTGATATAAATTGACATTAAAATACATAGCTGTTTGCAATTATAGGTAGTTATGGTTTCATTTTTTGTTTACAGGACTTTAAAATGATAAATAAGGAATTAACAGCAACTAAATTTTTGGAGGTCATAGCAGAGGATAATCCTTTCATCTATGATGGAATTGACAGCAACTTGGAACCTGAGGTTTGTAAAGAGCCGTCACAAATGTACAGTTCCAATTCAGGCTGTTGGTTTTGCTGTGGATACCAAGAACTAAGAACAAAGATTTTTTTCTTTTTTTTTCATTAGCCTTTTTAAAATTTACAGACAGGGTCTTGCTCTGTTGCCCAGGCTAGCTTATAGTGGCTCAATCGTAGCCCACTGCAGCCTCCAACTCCTGGGCTCAAGTGATCCTTCTGCCTCTCGCCCTCTTGAAGAGCTAGGACCAGAAGTGTGTGCCACCATGCTTAGCTAACTTTTTTTTTTTTTGAGACCAAGTCTCACTCTGCTGCCCAGGATGGAATGCGGTGGCGTGATCTTGGCTCATTTCATCCTCTGCCTCATGGGTTTAAGCGATTCTCCTGCCTCAGCCTCCTGAGTAGCTGGGATTATAGGCACCCACCACCACACCCTGCTGATTTTTTTTTTTTTTTGTATTTTTTGTAGAGATGGGGTTTCACTGTGTTGCCCAGGCTGGTCTCAAACTCTTTACCTCAAATGATCCACCTGCCTCGGCCTCCCAAAGTACTGGAATTACAAGCATAAGCCACCACGCCTGGCCTTCAGCTGATTTTTTAAAAGCAATTTTTTGTAGAGAAAGGGTCTCACTATGTTGCCCAGGCTGGTCTCAAATCATCCTCCTGCCTCAGCCTCCTGAAGTGCTGAGATTACCAGATGTGAGCCACTGTGACCAGCCTAAGAACCAAGATTTGACTGAAAGCAGTCTGAACACAAGTACATAAAACAGTGTGCATGTGTGTCGGCGTGCATGTCTGTGTGTGTGTGTGTCTGTGCATGTCTCTGTGTGTGCACATGTGTGCGTATTCAGATGTCAGGAGATGAACACCTATCAATGCTCAACCTCCAAATGTGTCAGAATGATGGAATCCCTCTGTTTTCTTTTATTTCAGCTGGTTTTCCTGGAATTCTTTGAAGCGCTCTTAAGCTTTGCATTTATCTGTGTTACTGACCAAATGACTAAATCCTATGCAAATGTTCCAGGTGATGATGTGTCTGGAAATAAATATGAAAATATTTATACAATATTAAATCAGGTAACACATAATATCTTAGAATTAGATAATCTTAGAATTTCAGAGTAAGGAGCAGCTTTATTCTGGAATGGTTAAACCATCCTTAAAACCATCTTGGGTTTTAGTAACCCTTCCAGAAAGTAATTTAAGAAGTCTTTCCTTTTTATTTTTTAAAATTGTATTTCCTGTATTTTGAGACAGGGATTTACTCTGTCACCCAGGTTTGAGTGCAGTGGGGCCATCACGGCTCACTGCAGCCTTGACCTCCTGAGCTCAAGCGCTCTTCCCACCTTAGCCTCCTGAGTAGCTGGGACTACAGGCACGTGCTACCACACCCAGCTAATTTATTTATTTGTTTATTTTTTTGAAACAGAGTCTCGCTCTGTTGCCCAAGTTGGAGTGCAGTGGCACAATCTTGGCTCACTGCAACCTCCGCCTCCTGGGTTCAAGGAATTCTCCTGCCTCAGCCTCCTGAATAGCTGGGATTATAGACATGTGCCACCATGCCCAGATAATTTTTTGCATTTTTAGTAAAGATTGGGTTTTACCATGTTGACCAGGCTAGTCTTGAATTCCTTACCTCAGATGACCCACCTGCCTTGGCCTCCCAAACTGCTAGGATAACAGGTCTCAGTCACTGTGACTGGCCTTTTTGTATTTTTTTTTTTTTTTGTAGAGATGGGGTTTTGCCACGTTGCCCAGGCTGGTCTCAAACTCCTGAGATCAAGTGATCATCCTGCCTCGGCCTCCCAAAGTGCTGGGATTACAGGTATGAGCCACCATGCCCGGCCAAGATGTCTTTTTCACATTTTGAAAGTGTATATATTTTTTTTTCTTAAGGTAGGGAAAATGTGTTTCCTGGCCGTGATCCAGAAAGTGGACTCCTAGCCACAGCAGACATTTCATAATGGTCAGAGTACATACCGATGTGCCGGGTGGACCACTAGAACACACATTAACAAATCAGAGGTATTTTACTAAGAGATGTTTTGTTATATGGATCTAGTGTTTCTGAGAGTCGAAAGCCTACCCAAGAGCAGATCTGTTGAGGCACAGTTCCTGAGTCTGCTCAGGATGCTAAACAGGTCCCCAGGGCTTGCTCACAAAGATGGACACTCAGGCTGGGCACAGGGGCTCACACCTGTAATCTCAGCACTTTGGAAGGGCCAAGGTGGGCAGATCACTTGAGGTCAGGAAACCCCTTATCTACTAAAAATACACTGGAGGCCAGGTGTGGTAGCTCATGCCTATAATCTCAGCACTTTGGGAGGCCAAGGCGAGTGGATCACGAGGTCAGGAGTTGAAGACCAGCCTGGCCAATATGGTGAAACCCCGTCTCTAATAAAAATACAAAAATTAGCCGGATGTGGTGACAGGTGTCTGCCTGTAATCCCCGCTACTCAGGAGGCTGAGGCAGGGAATGAATTGCTTGAACCCGGGAGGTGGAGGTTGCAGTGAGCCAAGATTGTGCCACTGCACCGCAGCCTGGGTGACAGAGTGAGACTGTCTCAAAAAAAAAAAAAAAGGCCAGGAATGGTGGCTCATGCCTGTAATCCCAGCACTCTGGGAGGCCAAGGTGGGTGGGGGGAATCACAGGGTTGGGAGTTCCAGACCATCTGGCCAACATGGTAAAACCCTGTCTCTACTAAAAATACAAAAATTAGCTGGACATGGTGGTGTGCACCTGGAGTCCCAGCTACTTGGGAGGCTGAGGCAGAAGAATCACTTGAACCGGGAGGTGTAGGTTGCAGCGAGCCGAGATCCTGCCACTGCACTCCAGTCTGGTGACAGAGCAAGACTTTGTCCAAAAAAAAAAAAAAAAAAAAGGAAACTGAATGTTCATGTCAGCAGCAGCTCCCTTTTGACCAACAATTTGGGACTGTGATTTAGAGTTCATAGCAAGGCTCCGCTTTAAATTTATTAATGCCCATCCTTCTTGCTCTGCTCACTGGAGTTTCACACACTCTAGTGATTTTGGGAGGTAAAGGTAGAATTTTCTTCCACAGAGGAAGGGTTCTATGGATAGGGACAGCCAGTGCCAGAGATGTACAGAAGGCCCCCTGTGAGCTACCAGCTGGGTGTGCACACCTGTGAGGGAGCAGCTGGAGGCCAGGGCAGGAGCCGCCAGGAAGAAGGGGAGGAACCTCAAGGACTCACACAGGGATGGGGGTACTTTGCATTCCCAATCACCAGAGTAGAGAAGCCTTCACATGAATAAGGAACATCGGGCTGCGTACTTAAAAGTTCACTGTGTGTGTGTGAACGTGTGTGTGTGTTTGAAACAAAATCTTGATCTGTTGCCCGGGCTCAGGTGCAGTGGCACAATCTTGGCTCACTACAGCCTCTGCCTCCCGGGTTCAAGTGATTCTCCTACCTCGGTCTCTGGAGTAGCTGGGATTACAGGCATGCACCACCACACCCAGCTACTTTTTTGTATTTTTAGTAGAGACAGGATTTCACTATGTTGGCCAGGGTGGTCTTGAACTCCTGACCTCAGGTGGTCTGCCCACCTTGTTCTCCGAAAGTGCTGGGATTAAAGGCATGAGCCAAGGTGCCTGGCTCATTATTTATTTTTTTAGAGCTGGGGGTCTCGCTCGGTTGCCCAGGCTGGTCTTGAACTCCTGGGCTCAAGTGATCTGGCCACCTCAGCCTCCCAAAGTGCTGGGATTACAGCATGAGCCGCTGTGCCTGCCTCTGTTCACTGTCTTGACTGAGGTGATGGTTTCACAGGTTCAGATATGTGAAAACACATTAAAGAGTACACTTTATGTGTAGTTCATTGTAAATCAGTTACACGCCATTAAAATAGTGTGTGCGTGTGCTTGTGTGTTTGCATGTATGGATCTCTATGGAAACCAGAAGCCCTCTGATGCATGTGTGCATTCTTAGGATGCCCAGAACAAGAGTCCCAAGGAGGTCATGAGCCACGAATTGGATGCTGCTCACTCTGACAGTGCCAAGTCGTCTTCCAGCAAGTTAGGACCCTGGCCTGATATTAACAAGATAAGGAAATCAGAGGTTTGTCTTGACAACTAACTGTAGACATCTGCTGCCAAGTGCCTTCTATGTAAAGAGCTGTCTTCCATATGCTGGGGACCTAGTGGTGAATACAAAGCCCATGCTCTCGTGGACTTTACGTTCCAGGGAGGAGGGGAGACAGCAGCAAGTGAGCAGCAGCCATAGCATTTGTAGGTGTTTCCCAGGCACCAAGCAGTCCCCAGGGACTAGCTTAGCACCCCGATGACCTTCAGGTACAGCATTTCTCTCTAGGAGGGAACCCAGGCCCAGAAAAGCTCAGTAACTTGCCCACAGTCACATAACCAGTAAGTAGTGGAGCTGGGGGTTTGTACCCAGGCAGAATTTGCACCTGTTACCACAAGCTACACTTATTCCCACTTACAAGGTCTGAGTGACAGGAAGCACATCTGGCCAGGGAGAGGCCCTAGAGTTTATTCTGGGTGAGATGGGATGGCACAGGATACCGTCTGAGCAGAGGCATCAGGAAGCTTTGTGGCTTCATTGGACAAACCAGTGAGGGACTCTTGGAACTGTCCTGGTGGGAGGCAGTGGTGACTGGGACCAAGGCGGGTGACTGGGACCTGAGGTCTGAGGTGTTTTGAAGGGTGCAGGGTTTGAGAGGGCAAGAGAAGGCAAAGCTGAGTCTAAGATTTTTGGGCTGAGCATTGGCAGAACACAGTTGCCATTTATTATGAGGTGGCGGACGGAGGCAGGGGGGTGAGTTTTGGGAGCAAAATTAAATGCTTGGTTTTGGGCATGTTAAGCTTAAGGTGCCTGAATTGAGACCCAAGTGGCACGGCTGGAGATAAGACTTGAGTTCAAGGGCAAACTCCAGTTGGAGGTGGAAATGTGGGAGTTGGGGCATATACATGGTAATTAAACCCATTAGGCCAGGAGCTCATGCCTGTAATCCCAGCACCTTGGGAGCCTGAGGCAGGCAGATCACTTGAGGTCAGGAGTTTGGGACCAGCCTGGCCAACATGGCAAAACCCAGTCTGTACTAGAAAATACAAAAATTAGCCACGTGTGTTGGCAGGTGCCTATAATCTCAGCTACCTGGGAGGCGGAGGCAGGAGAATCGTTTGAACATGGGAGGCAGAGGTTGCAGTGAGCCAAGATCTGAGATCATGCTAGTGCACTCCAGCCTGGGCAATAGAGTGAGACTCTGTCTCAAATAATAATAATAATTAGAGCTATTAATATATGAATCTAAGTATGGCTAACTGTATATAATAAATACTTTCCCAATAGACTGCGGGGATATTTTCAAGTCTTCACATTTTTTTTGAGAGCCTTTCAGTAAATACAGTAATTCTGTTTTTCATTTCTTTAATAGCCTAAATATCAATATGTTATTCAGAATCAAATTGGCCAGGCACTGGCTCACGCCTGTAATCCCAGCGCTTTGGGAGGCCAAGGTGGGTGGATCACCTGAAGTCAGGTTTGAGACCAGCCTGCCCAACATGGTGAAACTGTCTCTACTAAAAATATAAAATTAGCTGGGCATGGTGGCAATTGTCTGTAATCCCAGCTACCTGGGAAGCTGAGGCAGGAGAATTGCTGGAACCTGGGAGCGGAGGCTGCAGTGAGCAGAGATTATGTTACTGCACTCCAGCCTGGCGACAGAGTGATTCTCCGTCTCAAAAAAAAAAAAAAAAAAAAAAGAAAAAGAAAAAGAAAAAGAAGAAAAAAAAAGGTGGCTCACGCCTGTAATCCCAGCATTAATCCTCCCACCTGTGAGGCCAAGGTGGGTGGATTATGAGGTCAGGAGTTCAAGACCAACCTGGTCAAGATGGTGAAACGCATCTCTACTAAAAATACACAAAGTAGTATAGCCTGTAATCTCAGCTACTTGGAAGGCTGAGGCAGAGAATTGCTTGGACCTGGGAGGCAGAGCGAGACTCCGTGTCAAAAAAATAAGGCAAAAAAGAAGTCAAATAAGCTCAAGAACAGCCTTTCTAAATTAGAAAATGTTCTAATTTATTGTAGTTTTAGCCCACGATGATATAAAAGTAATATTTTGCTTTATGATTTTTTTTAAACGGTAAAAGCCCAAGATGAAGAAGTCTCTAAGTGATGAAAGAACTTCCAAAATGAATTTTAAATCTCCTGGAAAAGGGATCACCTTTTTTTCATCTCAGAGCGGTGAGTGTTTTAATTACAGAACTTTAATATTTACAAACTGTTGCTTATGAATTGTATAATGTCTATACAATTTTACAACCTTCTTTTTTTCACTTTGCTTTTCTTAGAGGGAGAGTCTTGCTATGTTGTCCAGGCTGGACTTGAACTCTGGGGCTCCAGAGATCCTGACGGGAGGATCACTTGAGCCCAGGAGTTCCTTGAGGCTTCAGTGAGCCATGATCACGTCACTGCACTCCGGCCTGGGTGATAGAGCAAGACCCTGTCTCAAAAGAAAAAAAAAAAAAAAACAGGTAAGCAAGAACCAGGTATTTTTTTTCCTCCTTGAAACATGGTAAATTAACACTTCAGAAAGCCCAAATTCTTAAGATATTTAGGAGAAAAAAAAAGGTGGCCACATGCTGTGGCTCATGCCTGTAATCCCAGCATTTTGGGAGGCCAAGGCGGGTGGATTACCTGAGTTTAGGAGTCCGACACCAGCCTGGCCAACATAGTGAAACCCCGTCTCTACTAAAAATACAAAAATTAGCATAGTGTGGTGGTGCACACCTGTAGTGCCAGCTACTCGGGAGGCTGAGGCATGAGAATCGCTTGAACCCAGAAGGTGGAGGTTGCAGTGAACCGAGATCACGCCACTACATTCCAGCCTGGGTGACAGAGAGAGACTGCCTCAGAGGTAGCAGGAAACTCAAAGGGAAGGTTGACAATCCCAGCCAGGTCTACTGAGCCCCTGCTTGTTTCAGGTAGTCATGGAAACAGCATTCTCATTCCTCTCCCCTCGCCTTGCCGAGGAGAAGGGGGCCCACCAGAGGAAGGGGCAGAACGCGAAAAAAACATGCAGAGTCCAATTTACAGCAGGATTGTATTCGTGTTCAGCTTCATAAAACTCTATTCCAGAGAATTATGAAAGACCCAAGGATGATCAAAAGGAAGAGTTCAACATGTGGGTCAATAACATGTACGTCTTTTTCGTGAACACGCTCTTTCATGCATATAAACGTGAAGAAGTGATCAAGCAGAAAATAAGGGAGAACAGGTTACAGAGCACAGCACAGGCCCAGCAACGGAAGGAGGATGACAAACTGAAAGCAAGGTAACTTGATGAGGTCCCTCCTCTCCTTCAAGAGCTGCTGTCTCTCTTTCCCATCTTCCACAGCTGCCAGAATGCATCAGGACCAAGTGCTTTCAGGACAAGCCTATAACTTCCTAAGGGCATCTTTGTGATAAAAAGGAATCAGTAGCCGGGCGCGGTGGCTCATGCCTGTAATCCCAGCACTTTGGGAGGCCAGGGTGTATGGATCACGAGGGCAAGAGATCGAGACCATCCTGGTCAACATGGTGAAACCCTGTCTCTACTAAAAATACAAAAAATTAGCTGGGCATGGTGGCGCATGCCTGTAATCCCAGCTACTCAGGAGGCTGAGGCAGGAGAATTGCCTGAACCCAGGAGGCGGAGGTTGCGGTGAGCCGAGATGGTGCCATTGCACTCCAGCCTGGATAACAAGAGCGAAACTGCATCTCAAAAAGAAAAAATGAATGAGTATTTCATCTTTGTTCCTGGTTTCTGGCAGAGCTTCTGATGCCTTTGTAACTTCCTAAGTAATGGGGTAATGGGAGCATTTTTTGTTCTAATATTTGGTCTTGGTTTCTCATATATATATATATATTTTTAGACAGGGTCTCACTGTCGCCCAGGCTGGAGGGCAGTGGCATGATCTCAGCTCACTAAAACCTCTGCCTCCCAGGTTGAAGCGATTTTCCTGCCTCAGCCTCCTGAGTAGCTGGGATTACAGGCATGCGCCACCATGCCCAGCTAATTTTTGAATTTTTAGTAGAGATAGGGTTTCACCATGTTGGCCAGGCTGCTCTCGAACTCCTGACTCAATTGATCTACCTGCCTTGGCCTCCCAGCGTGCTGGGATTACAGGGGGAGCACCATACCCAGCCATTTTCTAGTTCTTGACCCAAGAGCTTCTAAGACGTGTGGACTCTGATGTAATGACTGTCTTTTTTTTTTTTTTGAGATGTAATCTTGCTCTGTGGCCCAGGCTGGAGTGCAGTGGTGGTGTTTCGGCTCACTGCAGCCTCTGCTTCCCGGGTTCAAGTGATTACCCGGCCTCAGCCTCCCAATTAGCTGGGACTACAGGTGCTTGCACTGTGCCAGGCTAATTTTTGTATTTTTGGTAGAGATGGGGTTTCATCATATTGGCCAGGCTGGTCTCGAACTCCTGACTCAAGTGATCTATCCCCCTCCACTCAAGGCCTCCCGAAGTGCTGGGATTACAGGCTTGAGCTACCACACCTGGCCTATGACTTTTTGTATGAAGAGATGACTGGCAGCCAGGGGACGGGATGGAAAAATTAGCCAGACATGGTGGCAGAAGCCTATAATCCCAGATATTCGGGAGGCTGAGGGAGGAGAATCACTTGAACTGAGGAGGCAGAGGTTGCAGTGAGCCGAGATGGCACCACTGCACTCCAGCCTGGGCAACAAGAATGAAACTCACCTCAAAAAATGTTTTGTAGTTTTGTTTATATACATTGTGAAATGCAGGTATGAAGGGCTGTATACTGTAAATAGCATAAAACTGGTTTTGCAATTTCGAGGTGGGCAGAGGTCGGGGGAAAGAACTACCTTCTCATGTTTGCTTTTAGGCTGAATAGCTTTATCTTGAGAGAGGAAGAGGCCAAGAGACAAGACTATGAGGTTGACATCACTGTGATCAAGGAGCCAGCAGACGTGTCGTCCTCTCACCTCATCCTGGGCCCTCCCAAGGAGGATGTGACTGTGCCCCTGTCAGCCAAGACCACCGCCAGCAAGAAGAAGAAAAAGTAGTGAGCCACAAGGACATGCACAGAGGCTTTGGACGGCAGGTGCTGTGAGATTTCCTGAGCATTACAGTTCTGAGCATTGTACTCGTGGTGTTTTAGAATACCGCCTTGGTCCACTGCATCTCAGCTTTCCTACATGGCTGAAGTCATGGGAGTTTGAGACCAGCCTATAGTGAGACCCTGTCTCTACAAAATTAAAAAATAAGCTGAGAGTGGTGGTGTCTGCCTGTGGTCCTAGCTTCTTGCGAGGCTGAGGTGGGAGGATTGCTTGAGCCCAGGAGGTTGAGGCTGCAGCGAGCCATTGCGTTCCAGTCTGGGTCAAGGACCTGCTGGCCGGTATAATCTCCAAATAGGCAACAGGAGAGAGACTCAACAGGAAACCAGGATTTTAAAAATCTTAACAATTTATTAGTCTTATTTTCCAGTAAAATATTCACATAATGTCAAAAGAATGGAATGATAGAGATATAGTCAACTACCTTTAATGAATTCCACATAAATATTTAAAATCTAAAAACCTCAGATTAGCAGACCGAGTAGAAATTGGATTCTTCAAAGCACGTATTGCTTTACCCTTGTGATCAACGCAGTCAGTCATGACAAGTAACTTGCAATGGTAAACAGAATGTTTGCTGAGTTTAAAATATGCTTTCGATGAGCCATTATCAGTCAATCCAAGAAGAAGATGTTGTTGAACTGCGTTGCACACAGTTTCTTGACCTCTTCTGCAAAAAGGACAGACAGCAGTGAGGAAGGAAGAGAGGCTTTTACTGAAAAGGTTACATGATATATAATTAAGTTGTTTTCAAGTAAAACTGGGGATGTTTGCATTGATTTTGACCTTAAATACCAGAACACCAGGCAAGATTTTTTTTTTTTTTCTTTGAGACAGAGTCTAGCTCTGTCACCCAGGCTGGAGTGCAATGGCATGATCTCAGCTCACTGAAACCTCCAGCCTCCTGGGTTCAAGCGATTCTTCTGCCTCAGCCTTCCAAGTAGCTGCAGGTGCATGCCATCGTGCCTGGCTAAGTTTTGTATTTTTTTTTTTTTTAAGAGACAGGGTTTCACCATGTTGGCTAGGCTGGTCTCAAACTCCTAACCTCAGGTGATCTGCCCACCTCAGCCTCCAAAGTGCTAGGATTATAGGTGTGGGCCACTGTGACAAGAAGTAGAGAAAAGAAGGGAAAAGAGGTGCCCAGTATACTCAGGTGAGGGGGTTAGAAGCACAAGGCTAATGATGATGTCATCTTGGGAGAGCTGATGGAAGAACATAAAAACTGACAGCAACCTTGAACTGCAGGCCAAGGGCTCCACAGAGGGGTCATGATTTTGATCTTACTAACAACAATATTAATATAAAGAGAAAAATTCAGTATGCCTGAGGGGGCAGGGGGAAGACACTTACATCAAATTTCCATATAGTGTACCTGTGGGCATCTCCCCTGACCACCACACCCACCTCTAGGGCGGGGCAGCTCTGCTGAGGTGAGGCCCCCTCTCTCCAGGGCAGCGGAGCTGTCAGAGCAGCTGCTGGGTCACCTCATGCCAAGGACAAGGCTGGCCACCTTGGTGGCAGTAAGGTGGGAGAAAACGTCTGCCTTATTCTGCCAGTGTACAGAGGGATAGTTATAACCGGCTAGGTGAACCTGGCTGCTTCTCCCTACAAAAGATATGTTTTTACCACAGGATATTAAAAAAGGACATTTTTGGCTGGGCAAGGTAGCTCACACCTATAATAAATCCCAGTTCCTTGGGAGGCTGGAGGATTGCTTGAGGCCTGGAGTTTGAGCCCAGCCTGGGCAACATATAGTAAGACCCCATCTCTACATAAAAATTTAAAAATTAGCTGAGTGTGGTGATGGATGCCTTGGTGATACACACCTGTGCTCTCAGCTACTCAGGAGGCTGAGGTGGGAGGACTGCTTGAGCCTAGGAGTTCAAGGCTGGCCTGCATGACAGAAACCCTGTCTCCAAAAAAAGGGACATTTTAAAAATACACAGTAAAGTCACTTTTTTTTTTTCTTTTAGCATTGTAGAAAATCTTTTGGCCACTGTCCAGTTTCCTGTGCTACGGGAAAGTCTTGTCAGTTTCCCAAGGAACAGAAAATGGATGAATGAAGTAGAGGCACTTGCTTAGAATCTCAACAGTCAGGATTTGTTCTACTTATGTTTTTTGAATGACGTTTCTTAATGCGGTGAAAAGACAGCTTTTAAATTGCAGCATTAAAATTCTTCCAAAATACCAAATCCTACTTACCGTTTACTTCAATCAGGTTTGCATTTTTTTGATTCAAAATAACATAGAGCTCCCGCCGATCAGACTTCTTTCCAACCACCCAGTAATCACTCATGGCTTTCACAATGATCTCCTCATCTTCATCCACTCTGCAAGAGGAGAGTTTCAAAATGCAATTGTTTATTACTCATATGGCTAGACTGTGAAAGTAAGCATTCCAAAACAAGAACAGGGAACGGAATGGGTGCCTGACATTTAAAAAGCTCAGGGGGTCCCATGTGAGGGAACCAGTGACTTCAGGGCCCCCAGGTCTGTCTAGAAGTGGCGCTCATGAAGGTGGTTCAAGCTGAGCCCGATGGAAAGGGCTCTGGATCATCTGGCTTTGAAGGAACGTCCACGTCTTTTCTTAGAAAGGGGACACCTGATTGGAGAAGTTGCTGGAATCACCTGGTAAAGTCACTGTTGATGTCACCAAGAATCTTCATTAAATCCGGGTGCACGGAAGTGAGTGACACACTGGGCGTTTTCCTCATGTGAACTGTGCTCTTCTCGGCGAGATTCATGTGGTTGAAGTAGATAAACTTAAACTGGGGTTCTTTCTCAGACCTGTAAAAACATGTCATGAAAACAGTAACACAACGGAAGGCTGGATCCAAATGATATGACTACAACTACATTCTTTTTTTTTAGATGGAGTATCACTCTGTCACCAGGGCTGGAGTGTGGTGGTGTGACCTCAGCTCACTATAACCTCTGCCTCCCTGGTTCAAGCGATTTCTCCTGCCTCAGCTTCCTGAGTAGCTGGGATTACAAGCACCCACCACCACACCCAACTAATTTTTAAAAAATTTTTAGTAGAGACAGGGTTTCCCCATGCTGGCCAGGCTGGTCTTGAACTCCTGACCTCAGGCATGATCCACCTGCCTTGGCTTTCCAAAGTGCTGGGATTACAGGCGTGAGCCACGGTGCTCAGCCTACAACTAGATTCTTAAAACACGTACAGCTCAGGCCTTGTATTTTCAATGGCTGGATCTTCAAGAATCTCAGTAAGTGAACATGGAACAGGCTCTTCATCCCACAGTAACTTATTTGATAGCAGCATGGAGCGGGGAGGTATTCCATATGACAGAATTTTCCAGAGAGCTTATGTTTTTAAACACCAAAAATATTTATAAAACTGCTGTTTTATAAATAGTAGTCACTTGGTTATTGGTTCACTTTTTAAAAAATGTAAGTGAAATCAATATAGGCCTTTGTTCCCAAGTGGAGGGGTCAGCAAACTATGACCCTGGGGACACATCTGGCCCTCTTTTTCTAAACAAAGTTTCACTGGAACATTGCCATATCCACATGTTCATGTGTTGTCTGCTTTCCCGCCAAAATGAAAGTGGAGTAGCTGTAACATATATATCTACATACAGCCCACGACGTCTGAAATACTTATCAAGTCTGCTGACCCTGATTTAGGAGAGTAATGTGTCGTTCCTCCCCCAGTGCTGGGGAATGAACGGGGAGTCCCATGGAAATTAACCTGCCTTGTAACCGAAGCCTACGACAATACGTCACAAAGCTTTTCATCATCCCCAGCGGAAAGCACTGTTACTGAAGTCACCTTTTCCACCGCAGTCTAATGGACATTTTAAGTGGAATATACCTTTTCATTTCTTGAACTGACTGGGCAATGCCACGACACTGCCGCCCAGGTCAGAGTCTGCGATCTCCTCTGGGACCTAGCGGGAAAAGCGGGGCCTTGCCGCTCCCAGGGCACCTCCCTCACCTCCCCTAGCTGTGCCCTCAATGCACACCCTGGGGCCTGGGCTGGAGCCTGAGTGCAGCCCCACCCCTGGGCTCAGAAGCCTCCTCTGCTTACTTTGGGGTTAGCAGCCACGTTCTGGAGGGCTGGGGGTGCCGGAAATCTGACCTCTGGACAAGTGGGGCACTACTGAAATACTCTACATCTAGGCAGAGAGAGAACGTGGAGGATTTAGTTTCCAGGAACATAAGAAGAAACTTCTTCTAAAACCAGAATTTGTTTTTAGTAGGTCCCTAAAGCTAAGGAAAGCATAATGACAACAAAAACTGGCAAGAGGAAGATTTTAAAAGGTTTGGAAAGAATTGCAAATTTAGTAGTTTGGGTAGACAAGGAACTTCTTAAATCAGGGATAAGGTTCTACCTTCAAAACACTATGTGGGGCCAGGAGTGGTGGCTCACACCTATCATCCCAGCACTTTGGGAGGCCAAGGAGGGAAGATCGCCTGAGCTGAGTAGTTCAAGATCAGCCTGGGTAACATGGCAAAATCCTGTCTCTACCAAAAATTAGCATTAGCATGCCTGTAGTCCTAGCTCCCCAGGAGGCTGAGGTGGGCGGATCACTTGAGCCAGGGAGGTCAAGGCTGCAGGGAGCCATGATTGCACCACTGCACTCCAGCCTGGATGACAGTGTAAGACCCTGTCTCAAAAAAAAAAAAAACCCAAAAAACAAAAAGAACAGGTAACACGTTCTTTACAGTCACTACACTTTATCACTTTCCATCTGTTAGTTCATAACCTGCGTGATCCAAACCGACTTAACTCACTTATTCCTCTTCACAGAGGAAAACCTGGCATTTTCATGGCCAAAGGATTCAATGATTCAGCAGCACTGTCAAGATGTAAGCTGTTAGCTGGGCATGGTGGCGCACCCCTATAATCCCAGCCCTTTGGGAGGCCAAGCTGAGTGGATCACCTGAGGTCAGGAGTTCAAGACCAGCCTGGCAGACCTGGCAAAACCCCGTCTCTACTAAAAATATAAAAATGAGCTGGGGGTGGTGGCACATGCCTGTAATCCTAGCCACTCCGGAGGCTGAGGCAGAACTGCTTTAACCCTGGGGATGGACGTTGCAGTGAGCTGAGATTGCGCCAGCCTGCCTGGGTGAAAAAGCGAAACTCCGTCTCAAAAACCAAAAACAACAAAAAACTCAACAAAGATGTAAGCTGTT